TAACGTTTTACGTCGAATAAGTGTATCAAATTTATTTCAAGGAGCTGTATACTAATCGAAGGCTGTACTAGAATAGGGTGAACAACTTGACGAGAGGAGCTTACAAAATAACTTGCTCACCGAAGAAAATAATAAGAGGGGAATATGGATGCATTTGACGCCCAAAAACTATAAGCCTATAACCTACACCACAGTTGCCTGCCAGTCTCGCCTGCCGAGTCAGGGCCTTGACATGGTGTGAAAAGGGCCGTGCAATTCTCAGATAGACTCGTTCTCACGCCAATGTCTTGAGACAGAATATTCTTGACGTAAATCCTTCCTGCTGAATCGTGATGCCATTGCCTGGGTTCCGGATTTGAGCAGTCTGCAAATTCACACACCTTCTTTTTACTGCCCTGAAGGCACTTGCAGCGATCAGGCATCTCGAGCCGCTCCATAACCTCCTGAATAGCGTGATCGATCCTGTCTTTGTATAGGGGCAGAGGAAACGCTCTAGCTTCATTAATAACGCGGTCGAGCTCTGCGATATTCCAAGAATTCTGGGGCATCGGAATGCCAAGGAAACTGATCGGCCTCGTCGCCGCTTTCCGGTATTCGCTAAAGAACTGCTCCTTGAAGTCGTTGGACAGCTTCTCGGTGTGTTTGAGGGCTACTGATTCAAGTTTCTGCCGAAGCTGGCGTTTAGCGAGCGCCATCGCTGCACAAATCTGCCGGTTGAGCTCGAACTTGACATGTGCGTCGACATTCGTACCGTGGTCCGGCTGCGAGGCAGAGGCATTAACCGATGCTGATATAGCTTGATGAGAAGCCTGAAAATCACCTCTTAGCTGCGACGCCTGGTATAAAACGAGCAATTGGTAAGACAAGAATTGGGTCTTGGCAGAGGCAGCAAATTCATCCGATTTGATGTGGCTAAGCATTCTCTCAACGTTGTGTGCCCACCCCTCTGAGCCCTTTTGGCGGAATAGCTCGGTATCAAATAGCTTCCTCTGTTCGGCGTCTTCTTTGAAGAACTCGACAAGTGATTCGGATAGTTGGAGCACTAGTGCGATTTCCCAGAACCCAGAGAGCATGAGAGCATCTTCAGCAAAGCATAGCGCAATATGGCCAGCATTCACATGGTCGTTCTGTATACCTTGGGCAAGTTGGACCGCGCAGCCGATTCCAGGCAAGACGGACGTGAGTACGACGGCTTTATCCATGACACTAGTATCGCTCGTGAATACATCCGCCACGGCCTTGCCATAGAGTGCGAGGCCGGCAACGCCTAGCGCACCCTCTCCAATCTTGGCGAAACCGGCGATTCTCTCAGCTCGCGGGAGTGTGCTAAGCTCACCGAGTCGTACATTCAGCTCGGTATATAGCCGGTCGTTTTTCACCAAGCCGTCATGGCCAAACTCTTCCAGAAGGCTGTCGAAATTTTCCTTGGAGCTCTGCTTGGCCACTGGTACAAGCTCGCCCTCGTCGGCTGTATTGGGCGTCTTTTCCTTTGCCGGGCGGCCCATGCAGTCCAGTGCAGACCGTTCGCAAAGGACAGGAGCCTCCTCAGGGTTCTCTGGGTTCTCAACTGGGGTGCCTTGGTTTCCCTGGACTTCTTCCACCACAGTCTTCCCTTGCTGCACATCGTAGCGGGCAATTTTGTGTGTTATCTCATTCTCAGCTCCGGTTTCTGCGTACAACGTAGCACGGAATTGCTCGAGTCCATATTGTAGAACTTGGTCAGAAAAAGTCTCGGTATCAAAGCTCTCAATTACACCGCCTTCTTGCAGCTTGCGAACTCCGCATAGGGCCCATGAGACGCAGCTCTCGGACGAGGCGTCGTGTTTGTTTGGCACTGGTACCTGGGAAAGTAAATTATCGATATCCTCAACCGAGACCGTACTAGGCTTCGTGCCGATCTTGATACGTCCAAGCAGCTTTTTCTGGGTAAGTGGGTTGACCAATCTCTTCTCATACTCGAATACCTTGAGATCCTCTCCTTCATTCACGGCATGGAAAAGAGTTGTAGATTTTCCTGGAACGTTCTCCGGAGTAACGTGTATTCCCCAATGAAATGAGTCGAGTTTCTTTTTCCAGAGCGCGAGGGGATCACGATAATACAAGGCAAGCAGAATATCGCTATTCGATTGTCGCTTGGTCTTTAGGAAGCTAGAGGAATTATTTTAATTCCGAAATCCTAAAGCCGGCAAAGATAAAATTACTAACCTTGGCGCCTCCTGACTGCCCACGTCTAGCTGGGGTAACGGACTTGACGTCAGGCCATTATTGGCCGGCACACCTAGCACGCTTATCGCTCGACTATTCAGAGACCAGACAAGTACGTATAGTAAAATAGAAAGAACCGACATGGCGCCGATATTGTACGCAGTATGGCGTACTTTTGGTGGTAGACCAGTATGAACCTGGACAAGGAAATTGATTGCATCTTGATGTCTCAAGCGCAGCGTTATATAAGTTTCGTTGATATAGTTGAAGGTACTTAAGCCATCCACTATGAGTTGGGCCCGACAGCCTCGTCGTGTAGCCCTATATTGAACAATACCTCGGAAATGCTTCTAGCGGAGATGAGATGCCATCTATTGGCAAGGTTGTGGGCTCTTGAAGCAAATCAGGCCCTGGAGTTTAGCCAGGCGTGATATAGCAAGGGGGTTATCGCCGGTAAGAGCTAATTCTTACAGAGATCGTGTGTGGAGGGCGAATTGCCTGATTTTCTGACAGAATGTCTTATCAATACATGTCACCTGCTGAGTTTAGTATTATAATTACAGCTGCTGCGGTAACATTCGTCGGCGTCTACAATTTTCGCCCTGTGGCTTCAACATCACCACCACAAGGGTCACTGCTTCTCAGTACTGTTCTTCGGCCTGGATTCTAGTTAGCAATTACTGCTAGACGCACAAAATTTTGCTGTTAGCAGAGAGATCCCTGTGCATAACCCCGAAAACTTACTTGTCCTGTCAATCACTTGTGGCTAAACAAGTAAGGTTGGATTGTACTTGGACCTGGCGCCACTTCAAGCTTTAAAAGAGACAATTGTAATATCGAGTCAAGTAGGCTCTTGGCCTCATCCGACATTTGCGCATTCTGCGGCCTAATACCCGATATGACCAGCACGCTGTTATACCGTGCGGCATGTTGTTATTCCCTCTTTTCCTTCCCATCCCTCCAGCTATAGACTAAAAGTTCACGCGGGTCGCAGAAGAATCCAAACACGGTACCTTTGTAAGCGATTGTTGTCAATGTGCTCGGACTTTTCTCCGAGCCCCTTGCCGTACTAGCCCCTCTGCTAATAGTTGTGACGTCAAACAAGCCGCCATCCCATGCAGCAAAAACAGGGGCACCGGCTTTTACAATTGTCCATTACTACTGTCAGGGGAATAAAAGACGGAAGGATGGCTGTTTAATTAGAGGGCATGCTTTTTGTGACGATTCATGAAGTACTGTTCGGGGTTGGCCTTTGCTCTAGATGCACGAGGGAAGGATTTAAAGCTAGAGCACTTCACCACGCAATTTTGACACTTTTATTGACATTTACGGGCCGTGACTAACCCGAACAGGCCGCCTAGGAAATGACTACATGGCGCTGTAGATTCTAATTCGATGCGGCCTGGTGCAACGGTTCATGCGGTGGAGGCACACAGCAAGGGTAGCCTGGATCAAAATGGAAGACTTTTCAATGGGCAACTAGAAGGCAGCGGGCCATGATGTCATGAGAGTAATTTGAATTCCTAAACCAAGCAGGCGTGGCCGCATATATGAGCTTTGTTGGGGCAGAGCGGTTCACCCATGCTGCTATACTACCCATCTGGGGAATTACCGCTGGGCGCAATGTACCGACAGCGCGGAGTGCCAATCCTTAATTTATATGAGATGATGCTTGGCAGGAGTGACAGGGGAGCACAGAATTCACTGGTTCACCATGGAAGCTCGATTTGTTTATTGCCATTACTATTCGAGTGGGTGTGCCCACCATCAAATCGTCCACTGCGAACTGGGGTCTAAGATGTAGTTTTTCGTGACAAGGAATTACTATAAGGGCTTGGAGCGTAATAACTCAATTTCATGATAATATCGTAAGATGTAAGAGAAAGGTAGGGACAAGTGACCGCTATGTATATAAGAAGAGAACGTTTATACCTAGGACTTTCACCGGGGTATGTGTTTAGTCCATGTAACACGAAGGTCGTTCATCGGTAATGCCCCTTTCTAAGGCTTTGTTATTAGGTCTTCACCGTGTAGCATGTTTGGAGAACGCCAGAAGCGGTGAATATGGCTGAATCCACACTTTGAGCATCTCACCCCCCTTACCTACTGGAGGTGGTTAGTTAGTCATGAACCTTGATCAGACGGCAACACTGCAGGCCAAAAGACACGAAAAGTGTCTGGGTTGCGCACGGGCAACTTGGTCGATTTCTAGTTGCAAAATCCCAAGCACCCATGCTTACAGGGCTACATGCCATGTTTAAACGGGGCAACAATCTGGATAGTTCAAGAACAGACACCAACCTCACCACGTCGAGAGTGGGTTCAGGTTGCCATGATTACCTTGGAGGTTTGCCCAAGGCGTATCTTGCTTGAGAGTATTCGGGGAGGGCCTCTAGAGATGGTGCGAGGCTTCTCAAGGCACAGTTAATGCCGATCCCGAGCACTACCAAGGTGCCCTGTTGGGTTCGCTACACGGGGCGTACTAAATTGAGTCAGTCAATAACTACATGCAATACGGGCTACAATCAAGATATATGAATGCATTTTTTTCATACCAGACGACAAAGAATGCTTGTGTAAGCATCTCTAAAGCAAGGCATCATCATCCTTAGAATCAGTATCAAGTTCCAGCACACGGCGCTGCCTGTTGCCAACTCCACTGCTCGTGTTACCATTACCGCCCTTTGGTCCTTCACGCAGATGTTGCCCTCGCGGACTGTTTCATTAGCGCCCCTGGTTGGTCGTGGTCCATCTTTGTGCGCTTCCCGGTCGGGGCTGACCTCCACGAAGTGCGGCTAGCCATCGTGCTTGGTTTTGGCGCCGTGCAAGGCGACAACAGTAGCAAAACAATTCTTGCAGATATTGTAGTCGGGATAGGTGGTGCACGTATAGATGCGTCTGGTCCGAAGATTGGCTAGACGAGCCCGGATTTCAGTGAGCTTCCATGTCATCAGTAGACAAAAGGGGCACCTGGGGTTTTGTAGGACACTCAAAACTTACACCTAAACAGATGCCACAGGTCATAGAAGATATGCTGTATCGCCCGACCGGCACATCATCGCCCTTTGCAAACGCAGACATGGGTTCTCTTTCAACGCCGTACTTCAACCTGCCGACAATCTCGTCATCAGTGCCGCACCGCCGAGCCAGCGTCAGGGGTGTCATTTCGGCGGCCTCCCCAAGCCTGGAAGTTGCCGTTCGGTTCTCCCCATGACGTAGGAGGATCCGGATTCCGGACGACGCCAGCATGGTCCCTCTTTTCGATCCCATGCCCTCGGCCAAGTCCCTTTTGCACTGACTCACCCCCCAGCACAGGGGCGGCCATCGATCCAAGGTGCCGCGACATCCTCACCCCCTTGGGGCCTAGCCTCGACAGGAGAGGAGTGAGGCCCGGCGTTTGCTGTCGCGGCGGTGGAGTCCAATAGACTTGCCAAACTCAAGGAGGATCTTCATGATTTCGGGTGGCCATTCACGGCCACGTGAAGCAGATTGCGGCCATCGGAGTCGGTTTCGCTCAGATTGGCACCACTGTCGGCAAGGAGCCGGACAAGGGCGGCATTCCGGATGCGGCCGACGGCTGCCCGGATCGGGGTCCGGCCCAAGCCGTCCGGATGGCGGATGTTGGCCATCCGATCAATCAGCATGCCAACCACGTCCCGGTGCGAGCCTAGAACGGTGCTCTTGATGAGGGAGTCCCCAGAACTGTGAGTGCTCTCCGGGCTTGCACCAGCATCAAGGAGGAGCCATATCAGGAGCATCAAGGCCGCCCTAAGACACTGCATCTACTGTGACGCAGGCAAGCCGCCGGAACCGTTGAAGAATACTTTGACTGCTTCTCGAGATCCCTTGCAGTAGAATAGTTGTAGTCTGCCGCAAAACGTCCCGCATGCATACCTGTGTATTAGCAACAGTAAGCAATCCTCGCGACTGGCGCAAGTGTAAGCTGGGGGCTGGGGCTACGTACGTTCAATAATGTTGTAACATCTACGCTACGGGAATAATCTCCGAGGCGTCTACAATTTTTGCCCTCTAGCTTAATGGGAATATTTCCAACCACAAGGCAACGACTTGCGGGCGCGAGAAAACACAAGGCTAACATCAATGTGACCTGTCACACAAAAAGTCCTTATCATGTCAAGTGTGTTAAGACCGGGACCGCCCTATATGCCGGGCGATATCATGCTTATCAGCTCCGGAGCCCACTCACACTAGCATCTGACGTGAGGGTAGGGTAACGAGTCAATAGTTGTTTGACTGCCGTACCTGAAGCGGCAGCATCAATTGATCTTTGGCCCCCAGCTTAATCAGCATGCTAGAACAGTTGGTGGCACTACTTCAATAACATGTCCGGTACATTGACCGGTGCGTTCCTAGGATTCTGGCTTCCGCTTATGAATTAGTGAGAGAAAATCGCAGACGCGAGCTAGGGAGCCATCATGCATTCGAATCCGCCTAGGGCTTTATTCCTGCTGATATGGTGCCGAGCTACAAATACCGACGAGTTCTTCGTTTACTTTATGCCTAATAACTTGGAATTCAGTGTCAAAGCCTATAAGTTCCTCAAGGCGCACTTGATCGTGCAAGGCCCATTCGATGGCGTCTTGGCCCCTTCTCAGGGTGCCATCTGTGACAAGGGCCTAGCTTGGAGCAATTACTCAATTCATCTAATAACAGTCTTTGGTATCAAAGGTCCTTGGTTTTCCTCAAGGCCTTGAGGGACCGAAGCCGTCTATTTATACAAGAAGTCGGTGAGGACCTTCTGCCCTAATCCCGTGACCGTAGCCCTTGTGTAACCAACGCCATTTCCGTGTAACACCATCCTTGTCATCCCGTGTCGCGAGACATAGGGGGGCTGTAATACATTCGTCAATTCAGCATTCGTTAGTGATATATATACTCATCAAAACCTACGGAGACGGACGTACCTCAAGGAGGGACATGAAGTCCATGGCATCCGCCCGACAGCTGCTGTTAAAGAGTGTGCAAAAAGTATTCAAAGACCATTTCCAAAGCGGAAACATCCGTGAATAACATTGCACCCTGAAGCACCTTAGGGACAAGTTACTTATAATTAGCAGCTGACCTACTCTGGCGAATAATTCACTACGACTTTTTGAAAAGGAATTATGCCCTTGGCACCTGGGCGAGATAAATTCTAAAGAGGGGACGTACTTGTCCTTGCATTATGGCGTAATATAATCATGATATTAGAGAACTTGACTAAATCCCTCGGTCAAGACGTTCAAGATGAATTGTTATAATTCATCAGGGTTTGTAAATCATTAACATTGTTTCTTTTATTGACCATCCCGTGTCATTTTTGTATCCCGTCATCGTGGTTTATGATGCCGGGATGGTTGAATAATACATGAGCCTAATGTCAATGAAACCCAAACGACACAATGTCTGTGACAAGGGTTCAATATGAAGGCTTGGAGCAAAAAGGGCTCAATTCAATAATAATCTCGTAGGATGTCAAAGGTCCTGAGTTGCTAAGAGGAAGGAAGAGAAGGGTGACTGCTTTATATACATGAAAGGAACGCCCGGGCCTAGGGTCCTTGCCCGGGCACGTGTTCTAGCCGTGTAACCAACAAGTCCTATATCGGCGTGAAGCCCCTTTGTTGGGCTTCGCGATCTGTTGGGCCTTTTCCGTGTAACAATGTCAATTGCACACTATTCCATCATATCCCGCCACGCCGCTTCCCAGGCTCAGGCGGTCCTTTCTTCCAATAGTTGTAGGTGTTAGACATCCAACCAACAGTCTAGACAACGTAAAACTCCCTCGTGCATGTGATGCCATGTGATGGAAAAGGCTCGTGGTCTATCGAAGCTTGACTCGGTTCAGCCCCTATTACATTCACCATAAGCCCGGTTGGTTGCCGCAATTCTCGGCTTGCTGTCTTGGATAGCAAACTTGGACCCCAATATAGGTCGTGTGAAAACGGTAAAATCTGCTGATTGGGAGGCTGGCTCATACCATCTAGCGGCGTTGCAACATGTTTGCTTTGAGACAAAACACCAGTGGCCTTGGCACTCGTCCTAAATGGCCAGGATTGCAAGTATAATTCGTAATAAGAACGCATAGTCCTAATACAATTGCCCCAACTCTTTCTTAGAGGGCTAAATATTGGCAAGCACGCGCAAGTGACTGATGTTGCAATGTGGATCTGAGTCCATAGTTCGACGTCATTCAAGGGAACTGTATGTCTGGTTAGTCGATACTACAAGGGCTGGTTTAAATAGGGTCAACGGTATACATATGCACGTGCCGTAATAGCCTCTGGGAACATATGTGTAATATACCCGGAGAATATTAGTGACTATAGCGCTTTATTGCTGGTTAATGTATACAAGTATCCGTTTTACGGTGCATTTTAACTCACAAGCCACCTAAAAGAAAAATAGAATACAAGGGTGCTTTGGGCCTGGCAGTTATTACAAGCCCGTGGATTGCTCGGAGTGGCAACATGAGTATGGCGCAATCGATGATGATGTCGATAACAGCCTCGACGAAAAAAAAGGTGTTAAAGTTGAAGCAGTGTGCTGTGCTTGGTTGTCCAGGAAGAGGCCTCACCCAGAACGCCTGGATCGGGTTGCACGCGAAGAGTTGTCCGACCTGGATGGTGATGAACCATGCCGTCGAGACGCCAATGAGCCCCTAGCCGGCCCAGCGTAACCTCGTTATAGAAAATACCCGTTGGTAAAGGAGGCAAATAGACATCTTGATGGCAAAGAGAAGAAATCAGCTGAGCGTGAATCCGATAAATAGGGACTGAGATCACGGCACGGTATCAGCAGTGTGTCTGTCACTGGAGGAGCATGCCCGGATTATTGACGTCAATACCTTTGAGTAGTTCTGGAGATGCTGACTGGCTTGGGGGGATGGGAGCTGTTTCGGGTCCGCCATTATTTCATTCAACTCCCTGCCAAAGCTGCCATCCGAGAAACCTGGAATTCGTATTAGTGATGTGCGATGTTACTGCCACCACCTTATTTCTCCAAACCTCGTTGACCCCATAGCAAAAGCGATTGAGCCCCAAGGTACGTCAGCAATGCTATTAGCATCCACCAACCGTCGGCTTGGAGACCGATCTTGAGAGTAATTTTGCACCAGAAGCGCAAAACTGCCATACACACAGCAATAGCGGTACAGGCCACGATGGTGGCCAACTGACTCCGCCCGTACTCTATGAGATCCGCGCCCATTGTGGAGTTGAAAAGACGCAAAGACGTACGAGGCGAAAGGTCAAGATGCGGACAGAGTTTGCACTTTATGTCGCGATGCAGACTATTGTACAGTTCAAGTACAGCCTCCTCATCTCGACCCCCGGCCTTGGTTGACTCTAGGCTGTCTCGAGCGTTGTAAGGATGATGTAAAGAAATATTGAATATATGTATCGGTACAGCTGAGCGCCCTCGGACTACTAAGCAGACATTCCACCCCATGCCGCCAGATCCTTCTGTTACATGCCGCATGCTGACATGGCTTTTGGTGTAGTGCCAATGAGAGCAACAAGTGACGGCTAGCTGTGTGGTGAAGTAGGTTCATCTACAACCACGCAGACAACAGTTGGTTTATCGAGCGCGAGTCGCACCCCAGAGTGATTGCCGATATCGAGGCACGCGGGTTATCGAAGCCGTGGGACCGGCTCGGTATCGTCGCCAACTGCTGCCAATACTCGCTCCGGCTAGATGGCGACGTGCTCAGAGGGCAAGGCCGCAGTCTAAGTCTGTCGGTGCTGGCCATGTGTCTCTTAAATGGCGAGATCCTCGACAACAACAGCGATACCCTGAGGCCGGTGGCGGGCCTAACGGCATCAAGCTTCCTCCAAGAGTATCTGTTTGATGAATTTAGTGCGCCCAAGGACGAACCCCGGTATCTGACATTTAATAAGGGCTGCCGATTGAGCGGCGTGGAGTTGACGGCGGGCGGTATTTCAGCAAAGGGTCATTTGTGGAAACTCGGGCGCGTCATTGACACGGCAGATGTCTTCTCGGTTGACAGATCCAGGCGTGATAGGAGTTATGACCGGGAACGGAGAAATTGCCTCTTGGACCTAATTGACTACCTCTGCGAGCAGGGCCATATTCTTCTTGCCGACCATCTCATCCGGCATCTTGATGTCGACGCCAACGCCCATGCTGGCGAGGGCTACGGCTCCTTTGCTGACATCCATCTTTACGGCATGGCCTCCCACGTCGTGGCCGCCATCAAGGCCGGCCGAAAGCTGATTCTTGGCTGCATCTGGGATCCTAAGAATAAGTACCAGCCGCACCGTGCCGTTTTCGTATTGCCTCGAAAGGACGACCGGTGTCGGCGGCCAAAGTTTGTCTTCACCTCGGCATGGCCGCGGCATCCAGGCTCCGAGACACACGACGCCAACGACCTTGACCGCCATGTCTCGCTCGGTGTGGACCTCGACGCATACCTCGTCGATGGCACGCCGCGCCTCCGGGTGCGCAACTGGCTGCTCGGCATGTGCTTCTTCCGCAAGTGCGAATGCATTGACGTTGTCTTTCCATGGCCACGGGCACTGCAGGTGAGCGGCTAAGCTATACAGGACACGATCGACGACCCGAGATATTCTTTCGGGCATCTAAGTCCTGGTACTTTAACCGCTAGCCAAAGAACGACAATATCGATCTTAAGAAGACCTTGAACGAGGGTACTACTGACATGCGCGAGCCCAAGACTGAGTCTATCGGGGATAATAATTCTGGGGTTGGTGTTATTACTAAAGCTGAGACACTTGAGATATATATTCTCTTACATGGGCGTTTACGCAGTGAATAATATAGTAACCTTGAGCTTCTCCCACCAAAGTATGGTAGTCACCGAGCATACCGACACCAGTTAGTAGATGGTAGCCTGTTTCCAGGAAAACCATTATCATTACAGGGGTTAGGCTGTCACAAGAGTAGTAATATGCGTGACAGAACCAATGCGGCTTTTGAGTACACATGTTTCTTTACTCGCCTAGTGTTTGTCAAGGTCCATTAACTAAATACATTCAGCATCCATGACCGGCATCTGCGCATCATCATTTCGTTGACGGCAGTTTGACTTTTTGCCGGGCTGTGGGAAAGGCGTTATTAATAAAATGCTTTTGGCATTTGCAAATAAACCAGACATTTATACATATCAAGTTAGCTTTCCTGCCTAGTTAGCCGGCGCAAGACGATAGTCCCACAAGAGGTCACCCATTTCATCTGTTGACAGCTCTGAGGCTACAATTACATTGACCGAATATGCCGTCGCGTTCAACGACATAATCTGGCACACATGCCCCTGTGCTCTCAGAAACTCTCGAACTCGGCTTATATATTCGGTCAAATCATCAAAAGCGTTTGCCCCAATAGAGCCAAAATACGCCCGTGTCCCTTGCCTGCTGCGTCTCCGGTTGTGCCAGTATACATCGATGACGGGGGGGCCTGACATTGTCCACTCATCCCCTATGCTCTGAGTGACGCCATTTCCGTCCAGGTATTTGCCGTCAACTATCGGGTAGCCGCTTTGCGTCCAAGTTTGCGTGGCCCTAGTATCGTCGACCTGGGCATTGTCTGATTGCCTAGCCGGCTGCTCATTGGAACAAGGTACTTGAGAGCCTGTGAGACTTTGTGCCGACATTGTTGTCATGCATGGTGAGGGTTGCAGCTGAATAAACAGAGTGTGGACCGCGATACCTGAGTTTCGTGGTTAAAACGTTTCGCAGACTGCTGACTGTGTTACCACGCACTACCTGTGTCACTGCCTAGGTAACTGGGTGCGAGACTGGTGAGTAGGGAAGAAACCCAGAGTGCATGTCGTGGTAGTCTGGCGGTCTCGCCTAATTTGTATTGTATGCAGTGTCGATGATGATGCACTGCCTATGTAGTACAGTAAGTCCGACTGTTTTCTGTGGTGGTACTGACTGGACAGCCCTAGAAGTGCATGTGACATCAATTGATTTCCATTATTTTACGCGGCCAGTTCTTGATTAGTGCAATCGCATGTGACGTTTCGGCACCTCTATGGTGTTGGTTCTCACTCGGTGCTAGCGAATGTAACCTTTTGATGTTGTTGGTTATAATATTTCAGGTAGCCCTTGCTGTTTATAGCCGGGATTAGAAGGGGCCGAGATTTGTCGTACCATGAATTGCAGAAGGACTTACGAACGGACGAATCAACCGCTTTATATCTGTCATGACATCTCAGCTGCAAGGCGCTGACAGAATATCCATCAAGTCCGACTCTGATCATTTGAGCCGCATGCTTCATGGCGCAAAGTTTTTCAGAGCCGACTATCTGCTGGTATTTCTGCGGTAATTCGGGGATGGCAAGGCTATCACTCTGCTAAGTTTTAGGTAGAGGCCATACATGATGCCCACACGTCTTGATAAGCACAGAAATAAGATATCATATCCAAGCCCATTTATGAGAGCCCACCACCGCTTTCCGTACCGTTGTTGATTATAGAAGTGTGCTGGTATCGCGGCTCTCGCGCGATTGCCAGCCATATGCTACCCAGCGTGCGTATTCTCAAGCACCTTGTCGATCATATAGCTGATGTATCCGCGCTCAACTCTCGTCTTCACCCTGGCTTGCGTAAGTTTCCTTTCTAGATAAATCCTCTTAAGCTCCAAGTCGAGGAACGCCAGGGCTATTCGATTGCGGATGGCATCATTCTCTATGCGAGACTCTAGCCGGCAAATACCGGAGAGCATCTACTCTGCCCTAATGTGACGCTGGACATAAATGGTATGTAAGTATGCTCTCTGACGTCGTTCGAATTTAGACAAAAGGGGTCCCAGGCTCTTTCAATTCACCCGCGATAGCTCTTGGCAACTATGCTCACCGAGCGTTTCCAAATATATGCACTCACGAGACAAGCGCGGTGAGAGACGGAAAGTGCTGTGTTTACGAAGGCATGACCAATAAGAACATGGCATCTACGACTATCAAGTCGAGTCCTCCATATGCACAGGCTCAAGAGATGCAGGCGTTACTCGATCCAACTGCGAGATTTCAACTTAATAAACAAAATCATTCTTCCAAGCCTTTATTACTAAGCCCTTGTTACACCTTTGGATTTTGTCACATACAAATAACACTCTCTTTTGAACGTCGTTTGTAAGTCTTTCAAGATACTCGGACGCCATAAAGTGACATCACTAACGCTCTAGTGTTTGAAGTCGAAATGTGTAGCGACTCGCCAATCGCCCTAAGTAGGCTTGATACGGTGAGCGGGTTCCGAATATTCACTACAATCTCGCGGAGCTGTTGTTTTCAAACTCCTTCCCACTGCAGGGAAAATGAAAAGTGGCCTGGGGGAAACTCTGACCATCATCACGATTTGGACGGGCCATTGGTTCAGTAGTAGTAGGTCCTGATATCTGACATTCTATCTAACAAGCACTACTAGGTAGTCATTTTAGACACTGTCAACGGCAAAGGCCAATTTCAATGGAAAAGGTCTGCTATTTATGGACACGGTCGAGAAGCCATGTAGATACTTGAACCAAAGGATCTAGCAACTTGTCAACTACGTCCGCGGTTATCGCGATAGACAGTGCATCGCTGACAATCTCATCAAGCTTCGCATCAGGCATGGCTGATAGCTCGGCCAAAAACTGTTCCGACCACTTCTTTGCATCTTCGATAGCAGACTCGGCCGGCTTGCCAGCTTTGGTCTCAGAAAGTAACACATATTTTTGCAAGTTGCGTACCGTCTCAACAGTCAGGTTATTGAAGGCCAGATTGATCTCGTCAAAGATGGTCGCATTGAGCTGCCGCACCTCGTCCGAGCCCTCCCATACCAACTCGGCCGTTCTAGCCCTGTCCGTTTCCAGTGCTGCGGTTTTCTCCTCCAATGCCGGCAGGTTGGCCAGCTCGAGGTCTGCGAAGGCTTTCCCGCCAGAGACCTTCAACGTGCCGTTTTGGAATTCCTCAAGCTCATGGCGTCTGTCCTTGACTATTGCATATTGGTCGGCGCAGGGCTTCAAAACCTCCGAGGTGGCTTCCGGAGATTCAAGTCTCTCTGTTTCATTTTTGGTGATAAACGCCTCGTAGCAATCTTCAGCATCGGATATAGCTTTTCTAAGGCTCTTCAGGTGCTCATGATAGCGGTGTAGTTGCTCTGCGATGGGTTTCCATTTATTCGCTTCGTCCAAGACTTTATTAACGCCACTAATAGCATCAATAAAGTCCCTAGCCTTGGTTGCGTCGCCTTGGAGGCTCTCGCGGGAATGGGTCACATTTGGTAATTTCTGCCAGAAGAGCAATGAGGTTCGAAAACCAGGCATCGAAGCTAGCGACAGGATTCGATTTTTCAGGTCTACTACTTTCGCGTATTTGTCATTGCAAACTTTGATGACGGCATCGATGCTATTCTTGTAGTTTTCATAGCATTTTGTAGTCTTGGACGCGGCGGCGATTAGTGGCTCAAGAAGGGCAAGGTATTTCTTTACTTGAGGGTCATTTTTCAGAGCCTTTGCTAAAATCTTTCCTGTCTCCTCCAAGTCTTCCGGTGGGATCCTGGTAAGTTTCTTCCCCACCGAGTCGGCACGCTTTTCTGTCCTCGCGAATTGCTCAAGTTCCAAGGGGCTCACAGCTATGCGAGGCTGCTCGTGACGGCCTGGACGCAGTGTATTAAACACGGGTCCAAGGAAATAGCCATTGCAGGCAGCTATAAAAAGAGCGGCGGAAAGAATAGGACGCATTGTTCTGGAATAATAACGCCGCCTAAGGCAGTGTGTATAACGTGGGTATTTTGTGAGAGACAGATGGTTGGTGGTGAGCAGCGCGAAGGAATGGTGCTATTGTAGGAGGAGGACTGGTATGCTCTCCCCTTTTTATATACGGCAGCGAAGAATAAGCATGGCATGCGGTGGGATGCTGAAATCGATCAAGGACAACTCTAGCCGCCTTTCCATGCTTTACATGTAATGCTTTAACCTGGCATAGCATGTTATCAGTTGGCCGATTGTCTGCTATGTGTTGGCCTTTATTCCATGCAGCAAACTATGGGACTCCATGCTATGAGTCAACTGTCTAACCAAATCAAGCTTATCATCATGCATAGAGCGCTCATGCATACAGCTCCTCCCATGGTATGCATAGTGTTAACTGCATATAATTGGCAATAAGAAACGCTCTATAACTTTTTACCGAGTAATCAGTCCCACTTGTATCTACCGACAAAGAGTAATGCGTATAAGGACAATGCGTATAAGGATAATACGCATAAGGATAATACGCATAAGGATAATACGCATAAGAATAATGCGCCTAAGAATAATACGCCTAATAGTAACGCAAAACTTTAGGTTATAAGGCACCTGACTAAATCAAGCTAGTCGTTATGTATACAGCGCTTATTTATACAGCTCTTAATTTATTAAAGTTTATATTGTCTTGCATGTACGGAGTAGTAATGCGCATAATAGGAACGCATAATTATAAAAGCAACGCATAGCCACACGAGAAACGCATGACTCGGCAATATATTTAGGTTTCCAAGTCTTGGGCCCCTCTAGCTTTTTATTACAAGCCAAATTATTTGGCTCTGCGATATGCTGAACTTGAGTAAGGGTTTCTATTGAACCGTAGATGCCAAGCATAATGCGAGGCGCATTGCTCGATGCACTTGCTTTTCATGACGTTATGCCCGCAAGGCGGTTTCAATGTCTCGCCACTCTTAATTATGCCCCAGGATATGCGCATAGGAATTGCGTCGCCCATCGGCCTATCCACATGGTACCTCAATGTCCCTTTTCATTCGACCAAATCTTCTCAAGCCATGGACAAGTACTTTTCAACAAAGGTGGTGGTGTAGCTAGCTCCCTTGACATGTCCTGAATCGCTTAATCATGCATAATCGCGGGCGCAATTCGCCTCCCACTGTTTGAGGCCTGCTTCCGGATGGCGATGGTATAGAAGGTGCGTAATTGGTAAGAGCCATAGAAACTGGTGACCAAAGGAAGGATAACAGTTCTTGCATTAAATTAAGAGCTTTCATGTTATGTTGCGGTTGAATGACAATACGACTTAAGTTTTCCTCGTCACTCCTAGTACGTACTACGTAATTTTAGTATACAATTTAGCGTATACATCTATCGTTGAGCCAAATACTGTGTTGCCAAATTTTATGCTTGCACGATGCTCGTGTCATGCTTGTAATTTCACTTGACTAATGAGCGATACAATTTAAACCTTAATATATCTATCAGTTTCTGCTGTGTGATGATGGAAAAGGTGTACATGTGCCTGCTCTATCATTTCATGCTCCGACAATGCTTGCCGGGGGATGCATAGTTTCGTGTGTGATAGAATGGGTCATGGGCCCATGGCATAAAGGCACCATGTGTAAATATTAGCTAGTCTTGCTAGTCCTTGAGACAGTATCAAGCATTTAATAGTAAAACTTGGCGTGTCTATTATCATGTGGCCCTGACTTGACAGTATAAATTGGTCACGTAGGCTCGCACCACTCTGCAGGGAGAGCTTTACCTCAAGACAACCTGCACGACATACCGATCTATCTATCCATCTATCTATATATATCAAAGAATCACAATGGCCTCTCTTCGCTGGACCAAGTGGCTAGTCCTACTCGTGCACGTATTGTGGGCAAGCAATATTGTTGCTGCGTTACCACCGCCAACGTACGTCTATCACGTGACTTCGAAAAAACCTAACTTTATGGGCCGTGGCGGGCTTCCTCTACAACGAGAGAGGCCCCGCGTCTGGGGTCAAGGATTGAGTGATTATATCAACACCGGTATGCGAACCGCCAACGGCCGTCTGCTATATGCGCCTCTAGGCTACCAGGAGGTGAGGCAAGCACTACGGGCTTGGGCAGACCCGACGAGTAGTTATGACCAGTTGTTGAACATAGCGGTTGGCGGCTGGCCGTACCTCTATCGGATACGTCCAGGGCCATCTACAGTAAACGGCCCACAGGATGGCTCGTTTTACCAGACAACGGGATGGCCCACAGACCAGATAGAATGGTATTCTCCGTTGCCCGACATTAGTGGCAGCCCCCCAAGCCAACAGGCCATCCACGACATGTCTGATGAAGCATTAGATCAATACATTGGCAGGCTGAAGTGGGCCGTGGTCAAGTCGCATATTGATCACTGCATGCGGGTGGCCGCAGCAGCTACACGTCCAGTACTGCGCAACAATGACCCGAACGAACAACGACGCAGGATCGATGAAATTGTGAACGCCGCTTTGGAAGGATGCCTCTGTTGTAGCACACACAACCCAAACCCTGGCCCTCCCCCAACTGGCGACCAGGCCGCCCATCCGGGCCCTTCCACGCGAGGGGATTGTGAGAGAAAATCGGCCGAGATTGTCAAAGGACTCACGCCTGATCCCGACCCGGCCCGCTGGGAAGAAGTCGCGTGGCAGCTGGTCAACGTGTGCGATCCCAGCCAGAGTGAGGAGCCCGTGGCAGGACCGAGCGGCCTCCAGCAGCGATGCCGAGAAGCCGTCGACAAGAAATTAAAACCGGTTATTGAGAAATCTGAAGCCCAGAGACGGCCTGTACCCGAGGTGATTGCCCAGGCACAGCAAGCCATTTGCAGCCCGTCTGCTTCAGACCAGGCTCCGGAGTCGTCTTCGGACGAGCCGCCGCCTAAAAAGAGCAAAGACGCGACCGAGCGCTGTAACCGAGACGTGTCTAACGTTTTGGCCGTTTTTAATGATGTCGGACCCGGTCAAGAACAAGGAATCATTGATTACTTGGTGGGCTCGGATCACGCCCCCCCCCGAGACCTGTGCTTTTCAGCCGGCGTATACGAGTACTTTTCGGGTTTTCCATGGGACATGCTCGATGATCAAGGTCAAGACGAGGCGGCGCTGCCAGCTGGTACAAGACTTCTCTACCATATCCGTGCGAGAGATGCGACGGTGTGCTAACATTAGTATTATAGAGCCGGAGCAACAACAGCCGGGTCAGGAGCCGCAGCAGGAGCAGGACCAAGACGAGCAACTCGGCGTTCAGCAATGGCCAGACTTTCTCAATCTAGTCTTGCAACGCTTTCACGTCGACGAGCGTAGGCTCGTGGTCTATCTCGATCAGAATGATGGCCTTTCATCGTTACAACAAGAGCATGCTCCTATATACAGCCTTTTGCAGCAAACCTTTCCCTCTCTTCTAGGCGTTCTGAGGCAAATAGCCGAGGCGGGCCTTACTTTTGGCTCGTGCCTCCCTGGACCGCCATCGTCACCCAAAGCCCGAGCAACCCAAGGTGCGTACTACCGATGAATCCGTCATGCCCGTGTCGAAGCCGCCCACTCATGCTCACATGTTGCTAGGCAAAAAAGACGAGCTCTGCGCCAAGGTACTCGCCGCCATAGGCGAGTCGGCAAAGGCCCCCGGCAGCAAGCAAAAGGAAAACGACAAGGCGCCGTCGACGTCTCCCAGCACGCCCCCGAGCGCCCCTCAAGACAACACCTCTCCCAGCGCCCTAAAGACTATTGCCGCCATTGGCGTTCCGCTCGCCGGTGCTGGCCTTGGCGCCTTTGCCGCATCGGCCGCGGGCGAAGGCCTGTTGGCCTCTACCGCTGCCAGCCTTGGAATCGGCGCTGCCGTGGGAACCGCCGAGGGTGTCGAGGGCGCCGTGTCCACGGTTGTTTACTCGATGCCGCAGAGAGTCGGCCAAATACTCACGAGGGCGCTTACACGCGTCTCTCGCCTCGGCCACCGATTGTCTAACCCGCTCCTGAGGCGGATAACCAGCGACGCTGTACGCGCGGCAACGCGACGAGCTGCCGAACGCATCCCGCTGCTGCCGTAAACGACTGGGGAATCGGGTTGCGATTTTCGTGCGCGATGGAGAGGAGCGACACGCAGCATTGTTGGCTGTGGTTGCAGTGTCGAGTAGTTTGGCATTTTGTAAAGCTATGTAGTGCCGGACAACTGGGCGCTGTCCAAGATTGAGTTTAGAATGAGAGTGATCCCAAGAATAAAGGCACCATGTCGCATGTACCACTGGCGCAAGCTCCCGATACTGAATGACGCCGTACTTGATCATGTTGAATGGACCTGGGACGTCTGGCCAGACTGCAATTACTGGCTGTCTTTGCGGCACTTTAACCCTGGATATCGATTTCAGATCCAAAACTGCATGTTTGGTCGGGATTGGATAATTTGCCCGTCTTTCGGCGTCGAGTTTAACAGAGACTTGGCGGTGAATCCGAAGACGTTGCAGTTGCAGTTGCATAAGACCGCGGCTGTCATCACTTGATATCCTAGTATACGTAGTGCCTGGTATATACGACCATAGCCGCCAGTAAAAATCACGATCCCGTCCGATCTCGTACGATAACCTGGCGAGCGCCGGATTAGTAGTTGGGTCGGTGACGACCAGCGAATACCCGGTGTTGTATGTTTTTTTGCATCTTCTTGATAAAGACATGTTTCTTTTTTCCCTCCGTGTCTTTGTAAAAAGACGTTGCAGCTCTATTGGTCCGAATGGTTGGCGGGCATTATCACAGGGTTTGTGCGAAAAAGCACAGCGCGAAATGGGTCTCCTGAACCGAACCTCGGCTTGCATGGCCTATTTACTTTTACAGTTGAAAACGACATTTGAACTTGTGGCATGACGGAATTGTGCTAGCTGCATAAGCATCAGATAGAGAGAGGAATGAGGCCTTCATATACCGCGTGGGAAGCTTGCCTATTCTGCGCTGTGCGCATACCGCTGTAACCCACATCGTGTCATAGTCCAAAAGCAAACTCTCTATATATCTTGATTACATCTTTCAGTCGTACTATAAAGCATGAACTTGGAATTCGTGGAAATACCCAACTTGGTATAGTTGCCTGAAATACGCAAGGAGATAGCGCCTGAAAAGTACATGTCAGTCACAGGTGCCTCACTATCAAAGAGAAGAGCATCGTGACACCTCCCCGTACAAACAGCATTTCGACTAATTCATAGCAGAGGCACTGCATAGGTGGCATTCGGCAGCTTGCATTCAGGAGAAACATGTGTTCAAAATACGGCGACCAGCGAAAGATCAGACGAGACTACATGCATACCAAGATGAACCCATGCCATGCTCACGCGCGGCCATTCTATTCAACACCATTTAGTCGCCTTTATTAACCACCCGCGGGTGATGGCTCAAGCCCTGCCTACTTGAGATCGTAGAAACGCCGAATACATGTTGCGCGCCTTGCACAATCCCTTTGCTTGGTTACCCGTCGTCCTGTGGGTGTCCTGTGGGTGCAAGGTCCGTACAGCTTTCAGATCAAAGACTGAACAACTCTTTAGCATAAAGATGGAGGACCCCCTGGGCAAGTCTCTTACAAAAATATGATGATGGTACATGTTGGGGCACGGAGCCTGGTTGAACATTTTGCCCGTCCCGTTGCACGAGTCGCACTTGTCAGCGGTGCCTGCTTTCAAGCCCTTGATACAATAACAATCCATGGTAACGCCTCTCGCCTTGTGGCACATGGGGGCATAGCACCAGAAGCATAGGCAGTAGCGCAAGTGCCCGAGCACGTTGGATAAGCTCCGAAAGCTCCCTTTGCAATTGGGGCAGATCAACCCATACTCGTCGGAGCCCTCTATCCGCCGACTTTCAAACAAGATGCATCTTTTTTCGTGATTGTCTAAATAAACGTAGTCTTGATTGCAATTGAGGCATTTTTTGCTAACCTGGTTAGCTATGTGAAAAGTAGAACCTCGGCAAAATATCACCTCGTCGGCGAGGTTTCTACATACCTGGACGGCATGGTCAAGTTGGGCGAAATTGCTGTGCGTATACTAATCTCTGGGAAATTTATCTTGAATTGGTGCTTCCTTTTTGAAAAAAGTATCAAGGTTTCTGGAGAAATCCTCGGCGAATGGCTATTTGCTAACGACTAGATGCAGTAAATAGGCCCGTTGAGCGTGCAAGGAGAAAACAGAGATTATATAATAGAACAGATATGCTGTTTTTATCACAAGTCTCTGTGATATCTTCATTCACGCCTTCCGGAACCTTATCGGCCAAACTATTACGTGTGAATCGCATATTGAAAGATTGAATCGCGAGCGAAAAGGGTGAGTCAATGACCCAGTGATGCTACAAAGTATATGCGCGTGGGGTTATTAACGAGGTAGATTACAACAAGGCTTTTCCCCGTGTTTGCCTCTAAATCGATATACTCATTCAACCCCCGAGCTCTCCATTGCATCACAGTAGACACTGGACTCGTGCCAGCCCGCAAGTGAATCTATGCGGCGTCTTCACGCGAATCACCAGACTACGTCCATATCTTGGACCAGTGTTTTGCCCTGCGCCCATTTTCGTTTTGCGCTTCTAGGCAGAATCCTGCGCTTTTTACCGGGCAGTTTCAACAAGCCGTCGCGCATGGCTGTCAAACCGCCCCGTACACGTCAGTGGCTTGCAACTCTAATTGCAAGGTTTACATGAAAAGATATCCTGCCGTTTGATCCGGAGCCTGAGCCATATACCCCGATGTTTTGTTTGCGCACGTAGCTTTCCGAGGCTTGTAAGCAAATCGCCGCATCCGGCTTTCAACTTCACCAAGACATGTCCACCAGAGATGTTATTCGCCGGCCGGACGGCCCCCAAACTTTCAAATGTTCTTTTTCGTCTGACGAAATTGCACGTCTACACTATTTACATCCTTTAGCCTTTGCCTTTAACTTTAGCATTTCTCATGACGCCAGCTCTGGGCCGAATACCCAGTCGACTTCCCTTTGCTTCCAATTATGCCATGCCCCTACCTAATGATGATATTTTTTATACTTTGTCCCGTTAACCTTCCTTTCTATATACCTCCGCACAGTTACCCTCTATTCATACTCTGCCACAGCAGAGGGGACATACCGTCCTATCAGTCGAATTCTACAAAACTGCGGTTGGCCCCTGCTGCTTCACTATGTAAATCCAGACTCTCCTTCACGTCCCTTCTATTGCCTGGACACCTCAACTGGCCAAATACCTGTCCACACCCCAACCCATCTGCTTTAATATTCATACCATCAAACTTCTCATCATGATTGCCAAAATTTTCATCGCCGTCTTAGCTTCTGCTACGGCCGTTCTCGGAGCACCATACAAATACGGCCACGACCAAGCCATCATTTCTGTACCGGTCCCCGAGCACGAGACGACGCAGTCTGATAACCGTCCTGTCACCAACGTCTTCACCGCGCCCAACGACCTTGCGCCACCACACGAGGAGCCGTATTGGCCGGCGGGATCGAACCCGCGAAAGTACGAAGAAATCGAAGGATGGATACTTTTCACCGAGCAAAAGTTGCAGGCGCGCATCCACGGCAACACCTTCTGGAATGTCAAGGGTAAACTCGACGACAAGTTCCCCGTTGGTAGCTTTGAATTCGACCCCGTCACGTTTACGCTCAGGCTCCCGGAAGATTACAATGGCCGATTTACTGGACACGCGGGCAGAGGGGAAATCGTCTTGCGGTGGGAAAAGTCGGGCGCTACTATTGCCGGCAGAAGCCCGATTGGTGATTTTTCCTTCAAGGGAGAAAGCTACATTGACTACTCTCCATGAGACTTGCGCCCCAGTAGGCATTGACAGGTTATTTGGTCTGCATTAAGTTGGGATGGGTCTGACGCGACTTGGGCACCAGGAACAGGAAGCATTGACACCATCCATGTCGCTTGGTCCTTGGTCCCTGGGGAAAGGCCTCCCACCATGCAGTATTGCTTATTAATTCGAGTCCCTTGCCGTTTTTTATGAATATGCGTCTGCCGCGTGCTTCCTGCGGTCTATTCTTCTGCACGGGATGCAGGCCGCTTTTACTAGCTACGGTAATATGATGCTACCTAAATAAGCTTGCTTGCGCTGTCAATCTCTGCGACCTCTCTCCGCTATGTCATGACGTGGTATCTTCGGTAGAAGGAGTTTCAAAGGCAGGCTTACAGTGGTCAAGAACAGCCTTGCTTGCGTGCAAAAGACAAAGGAGTGAATGAGCCGCAGGAAAGACAACTTTGAGAGCACTTATGCACGTAATGCAGCCGTCTGTTAGGCTCACGGGCGGGAGTCTAGCTTTGCGAGTCTCATAAAGGGGCCTCAGCCTATCCAACGCCCAACAGAAGTCTTCTTCTGACTCGCCGCTTAGAAATGCAAATACAAGGCAAAAGGAGCGTTGGCAGGCATCGACGCCAATCTTGTCCAGCAAAGGCATACCAGACTGTATTTGATTTTTAAGGTGCAATTTAACGGCAGCACATGGCAGATATCCGGGTCCCCGTGGACCTAGGCACTGCCTGTGACGAGGGTTTAGCAAGGTTCGGAACGTAAAGGTTCACATTCAAAGATAATGTCAAAGAGTGTCAAAGGTCCTTAGTTTTCTAAGAGGAAGAGAGGGATTAGTAATAACCATATAGACATAAAAGGAGCGCCTGGGCACGTGTTTAGGTTATGTAACAAACAAGTCCTTTGTCGGTAAGGTAAGGCCCCTTCGTTGAGTCTCACGATCTGTTGGGCCCTTGCCGTGTAACACTGCCGTAATCGACGGTCTAGAAATGGAGACCCAAGGAAGGAAATCGACCAGACTCCTTCTGACACGTCATCCTGTCTTGCGGTGAACATTGATGGGCTGATTCTTCATATGCATGAGAGAATGCCAGGAATCAAGCATAAGTTAACCCGACGTGAATAGGTGTGCACTTTATATAGCTGAAACTCTTGTGGAGCACTGCAATAACTTGTAGTGCGTGGTGTTGACTCACGAGCTTGAATGTATGCGATATGCATTAACAAGCTCAAAAGTTCATGACTATTATAGTAGAAGTTATGACTCGGGAAAAGTGGATTGTTAAACACTTGATTTAGTGTTAATAGTACTATTATCTTATATAATTTACGGCGGGAACTTGTGAAACGTGAAACCGTGATAGCGACAGTTTGATCCCAGTCCGCCCGAGAGCTATTAGCGAGATATTTGGTCCATCTCCCTCGAATAGAATATCCTTATTATTTGCATGACTTATTAGCATAAAGTCAAGGGGCAGTATTTAATCAGGTATCCACATAAGTTGCTAAAATTTTACCTCGGGCATGAATTAACACACCTCCTTAAAACTGTTATTTTCTATGCGGCATATACAGAGTAATTTTAATCCTTGTACTACTAATAAGGCATTGTCAGAAAAACCTGTTAAATAGCATTAATCGTGCCATGCCCCGATTTTTTGGGTTAAGCAAAGCTCTCACCACCGACGAAGAAAAGTGGGACGTGGCTAATGCGACGATGCTACAGAGTAGAACATATATATATATATATATATATATCAATTGATACTAGACATTATTCTATGAATTCCCTTCCCTTATACACTTTACTTGCCGCTCAATATTCATTGCAGACTAGTACCCACCAACCCACTACCCTCAATTATCAAGATGAAATACTTTATCCTTTTGCTTGCTGCTTGTGGAAGCCTGGCGGCCGCCCTAAAGTACCCAAGTGTCGGTGACATTATTCTCCACGCACGAGTATGCGAGAAAGCTGAGAATATTGATGTTAAACAATGCAAGAGAGCGTTTGTTAAATACGTCAGACAATTTGTGGCTGACCATCAGCATCGTAGTGTTAGCGATGAGATATTTTGGAACACCATGAAGCAATGGAGCCTTCTGAGGGTTCTTGGCGATGAAATGGAAAGTATTGCCCATTCTTCTTACCAAAACTATACCTCGCTAACCTTGTAACAGACACCAGTAAATTATGCCCTTTATTGTGATGATGGCGATAAGAAATTCAAGTGCGAACCTTCCGAGGTAACAGCATCTTTTTTCTTCAAGCATTTATTTTACTGCTAATACCAGCGCTAGTTGAATACGAACAAGTTGGATTGCCAATCAGTTTCTACTCGTGCTGGACAGAATTGCCCAGATGAAGATTGCCTCCCGTTTAGCAATCTCACGAGCTTTTGCGATGAGAAAGGAGGAGTAAGTGCCCCAAACTATTATCATTATAACCGGAAGAAGATACAGCATAAGCTAATACAGTGAGCTTCTCTAGTGTGAGACGTGTCGCGACGCGGGCACTGTGAAAAATTCTCGATCCATCGCTTATAAGCAGGAGCCTGCTAATAGCGCTACATTAAAGAAAAGGTTTGGAGGGGCTCTTGTAAGTGCCGAAGCTCTGTCTAGCATTCAATGCAACCAACATGGTGTTAACCTCTAGCTCTAGTTGAACTTCTCCTGCACGCTTAAACAGGGTGATGGGTCTGGCAATATGACAAGGGCTCAATAGATGGCTTCGAGTCAATGGCTCAATTCATCTAACAACAGTCTTTGGTATCAAAGGTCCTTGGTTTTCCTCAAGGCCTCGTTGACCAAAGGAGTCTTTAAATACAACAAGTTAGTGAGGGACTTTGCCCTAGTCTCGTGACTGTAGCCCTTGTGTAACCGTGCGGCCATTTCCGTGTGGCAGGCCAGGACCCGATACAGGGCCCGGGGCGTACATGTAATACCACAACTTCGTAATAGGCCCCCATGAACAAGCCACACAGGTAGCTTCGATGGTTGGAATCCATCTCTCAACATGAAATACCGGAGACGTAGGGTTGACGAGTCCGAAGCAGACAGGCCGGGGAGCTGTGTTTATTTGTCCATGTTGACGCAGCGATAAGTGCTCCCACTACGGCCGGGATCGGGAACGGACGAGACGCAAGGCGGATCAAGGGCCGGGCTAATATCTAGAGCCGCACTCCGCCCTTTGCGCTTGTTTGGATTCCCAGTAGCATAATGGCGCAATGCCCCGGCTGCCTACGCGGCATTGTCTAGCGTTTGCCCAAGGCAAAAGCAATGTCTGGTTTGTTTGTCGCTGTAAGACAGTGGTGACTAAAACAAACTGCTTCCGGAGGCCAGAGTCACGGTGGTGTTGCAACAGAAACGTTGTCGGCTACAACTCTGAGCCGTTTGCCACGGGCAAATCGGATGCCAGTTCCAACCACTTTGGTCGGTCTGCTTCGTAAATCGCTTTTAGAACTTTTCGCGCCCGGCGTGCCAACAAAGTGCAAAGGAAACAAACGGCGTACGGTGTCATGGTGGATTCGGTCGCTCACCTACCAGACTCGTTTCGGAGATTGATTCGAACGCCCCACAGACAGAAAGGCCAGTCTCGCACCGCAGGGCCGGGATAGCAGTCCGGAGCGCAAGGGCTAGAGCCAAGGTGAGCAAAGTCCGTCTTCCATGATGGAATGGCATCTCGGCGACATGCATCGAGCCGGCACGGTCGTTGACCCCGGCGGGCGAAGTACCGTGCCAACGTACATGTGTAAGTTTGCAACTATATACTTGTACGCCGCCGGATAATAGCTGCAGATGTCTAATACGCCTCTTGCTCTGCATAATATCGCTTTTGACACCAAACGACTCGCCGTTGCCCCTTGTATGCCGTCCGGGGAAATGGGTTCAAAGGACCACCGGAAGGGCGACAAAGCACCCGATACGCCAAATCATGATGCCCAAGCAAGAGAAGAGGCCGATGTTCAGAGCACGAATGCGCCGTCAGTCCAGCACGTCAGCGAAAAGGAGCAAGAGCAACCCGCGGCTCAAAAAAAGAGGCAGAAGGCGTGGCTTCACTGTAGACGCTTCTACTTGTGGTACCTGCTTGGGGTGATTGTCTTTTTAGTCATTTTCCTACCTTTGCTGTGAGGCCCAATGCCACATCACAAACACTTACGACACCCGTCTAACTAAAGGCAGCTTCAAAGTCATCATACCCGCCATCATTCAGGCCATCATTGCCAAACAGGGGATTCCCCTTGTAACCGGCGAGGCCAACACCACCTCTGCAGAGCACGTCGTGTTATCGGTAGGGACGACACTCAACACTCCCCTGGGGGCGACATTAGATCCGTTTACTCTCCTGCTGTACGACGAGAAAACAAAGCCCTTTACGCCCTTTTTCAACCTCTCCATCCCCAAGATACACGCCAACAAGGAGACGGATATCCAAATCAACGCCGAGACCATGACGGTGCTCAACGAGACGGAGCTGGTCTCATGGGCCGACGGCCTCGTCGACCAAGACGAGAGGCTGATCTGGATCCGCGGCGACCCCAAGGTGCACTTCGGCTCGCTGAGCGCCACGCCCCGGGTCGACAGGAGCGTCGCGGTCCCCGGGCTCAAGGGCCTGCAGGGCTTCGGCCTCAAGGACGTCGCGCTGATGCTGCCGCCGGACAAGGACGGCCGAAACGTGGTGGGCTCGGCCACGGTGCCCAACTGGGGATCCCTCCACATCAACGTCGGCAACGTCTCCCTCAACGTGTATACGGGCGACGTGCGCATCGGGCTCGTGACCCTGTACGACGTGTTTCTGGCCCCGGGCAATAACACCGTGTATCTCAACGGCACGGTCGACATCGACCACATCATTCAGAACCTGGGGCCCGTCCTCAATAGCCAGGCCGCCTCTTTGAGCAGGGGGCTGATCGAGGTCAATGTCACAGGCAATGCCACCTTTATGAACGGCCAGCGCGTCACGTACGTCGAGGATATTCTCAAGGGCCGCAAATTCAAGGCTTCGTTGTCGATTACCAAGCTCTTGAGCGTGCTGGTCGGCGGGCTCGTGGGCAACGGCAGCGACGGCGACTTGGTTCGTGTGGTGGGCGATTTGTTTGGCAACGAGTCGTTTGTCGATCACGTCGCGGGGCACTGGAACATTACCAAGAATGCGTCTACAAAGGACACGGGTTCAAGGGCATTCTCCCCTTGGTGAATGCATCTGGGGGTGTGGTGGTTGAAGCCCCCGGGTGTACTTGGACTTGTCTTGCGCAAAAGGGTCACTTTTGCAGTCATGCCGGTGCGTACGGTTACTTTGTGTATATATTTCTATAGAGTTTATAGAGTTTATTTATACGGCCATTTATGAACGGGTGTGCAAAGTTGGAAACTTGACACTTGCATCCACGGCGGTGTCACCGCGTCTCGAGCGTGCAACAGCAACCGATGCCCCAAGGTTCGCCAGCGTGGTTTACTTCTAGTCGAACAAATTTGAACTTTGTCTTTGCTGCTGTCAAGGCCGTTGGGCACAATACCAGACCCCTCCACAATTGGTTCGTTGGCAACCGCCGACGGGAGATCAGAGTCATCAGACGCGGATCGGGAAAAGATCCACCCAGCCAGAACTTGTGCGGAGAACGGAGCTTGGCTAAAGGCCCCGAGCGGAACCTCGGCCGGGCGGAGTGATTATCGATCCTGGCCGAACTCATAAACAAGAGGCAGTCCGCAACACCGAAAACAACTAGAGTGACCTGGCCGCCATACCCCGCCCCCGGAATGCCCCAGGTTTCGTCTGTTTTCACTCTTGTACCAGTATGCAGTGCATGGTGTTACACCAATGCATCGATTGATGATATCAACATGTCCGCGCCAGATCTGTCGGTTGTCATTGCCGTCCAATGCCGCGCGCAAAGGGGTATATAGTACGCCATGTCAATGGCTACGGAGAGATTCGACCTGCACTCCCCAAGACTACAATTTGACACCTTGATCAAACCCCATCCCATCCAAAATGTCTGAAGTGGACGCGATTCAGCTTCCCCAGAGCTACGTCACCCCAGCAGACAGCCATGTCCGCATCACCAACCACCCTGCCACCAGCGGCGGCGTGACTCCCATCCTGGTGGCAACGCTGAATCGGCCGCAAAAGCTAAACGCCATCTCGTCGGACATGATTTACGCCTTGATCACTCTTTTCAAAACCGTCCACGCAGACCATCGCGTCAGGGCCGTCATTCTCACCGGCGCCGGCAAGGCCTTCTCCGCCGGCATCGATCTCACCATGGACACGAGCAACTTGAAAAACGCCGCGCCGCCCAGCGAGATGCGAGATCCCGGCGGCACGCTAGCTCTGGCCATGTTCAACTGCAGCAAGCCCATCATCGTGGCCTACAACGGACTGTCCGTCGGCATCGGCATGACATCCACCCTGGCCGCGACGATTCGGTACGTAGCCCCGACTCCAGACTCCATTGGGATGAAAGCACGCGCAGACGACTTCTTCTTCTGACCTTTTGAATTGCAGCATTGCTCCCCGGGCCGCCGAGTTCGGGTTCCCCTTTGCCCGCATCGGCCTCACCATGGAGTCGTGCAGCTCCTTCTTCCTACCGCGAATGGTGGGCTACAGCAACGCGACATATCTCCTGGCCACGGGGAAGCGGTATCCCGCCGACGCGCCCGTCCTCAACGGCATCTTTGCCGAGCTGGTCCCGGAGCCAAAGGACGTCCTGCCACGGGCCGTCGAGGTCGCAGAGGACATTGTCTCCAACGTGAGCACCATGGCCGTGTACCTGAATCGCCAGCTGATCTGGAGGAATCCGGGCTCGGCTGAGCGCGCCCATCTCGTCGACAGCCCGCTGCTGTACGACATGTTTAGTGGAAAGTGGGTTTATGCCTCGCGCCGGGAAGTCCAGTCCATGGCCATTGTTGACTGACTCTGCTGTCTGTAGTGATCACCAGGACTTCAAGAAGGCCTTCTTTGCCAAGAAGAAGCCCTCGTTTTCGGCGGATATCTGGAAGGACGCGCCGCGCGGGTATCCCTGGTGGGACGAGCTGTCTGTCCAGACGCGTCAGCCACCGAAGCACACGGCCGACAGTAAGCTTTGAGCCAGCCTCTATGAGGACTTGAACGACAGAGATGCGGCCCATGGCGAGGAAAGGAAATTTGTGCATGGCCATGTACTGCACGTTGTCCGAGTGTATTTGTGTTAGGTGTACGTCTAGTTATATAAGGCGGGCCATGTTCACAAGAGAGTTGTTTGCGACATTTGGTCTCGGAGTGGCCTTGAGCTACCGAGCTTTGATTCACCTGAAATCCGCATGACCCGTGACAATTTTCTGCATCACTGCGTCGTCAAGTCTCGCCCATTTTCTGCATCTCCTTCTCAATCACAGCCCACGTCCTTGGTGGAAAGTACCCCATCATCCAATAGTTCTCTGAATGATCCTTGCCCAACACCGCCATGACATTTCGCAAGGTCGCGTCGTGTCCCAATACAAAGGACTGGTGGTAAATCATGGTACCCGGTGGATTGATTCTTTGCTCCTCGGCTTGCCCAGTCGTCACCACAGCCGGCGAAAAGTCTACCAGCTTCACAAAATCGGCCTTTGTCCAATTCGAAATCGTAAACAGCTCTCCGTTCCATACACCGGGAAGAAGAGTAGGGTCCCCGCCAGCATCCAGTATCTTGCAAAGTGCAAACAAAAAGGTTCGAAGTTGTGGTGCTGTGGCTTGCGTTACTAGGGCCTCTCTGCATCTCGATGCAATGACCCCAAGAGGTTGTCGCGCATCGTCTTTCGAGAGCTGAACACTTGACCCAATCACCACGTTTTGGATGTACACTCCGTCCGACTCTGCGAGCTCGGGAATACGCGATCGCAGGTCCAAGGCACCCAGCGCATTGACGGGTCGTGGCGATGGCTGGGCTAGGGCAACCATTCTGACGGCCCATGCCATGATGACATCGCCTTCACTGACCCAGGGAGCCTTCTCCTGTCCTGATCCCGACACCGCAGCTTCATCCAGTGCTTGCCGACGAAGCTTGGCCATGGCCGCCTTGGGCAAACAAATCGTTCGGGACTCTATGGTGCGTTCCGTAAGCACACCCCACAAGAACAGCACAACAAAAAGGAAGAATTTGAACCCGGTGAGCATTGTCCGTCTCAGCAGCCATTCATCGCCGGGCGCAGCATCTTGAGCAGCGGCATAAAGGACATCGTCTTTGGCACCAAGCAAAGCCGGAACTTGGTCCTCTTTGCCGGCAAGAACCAAGGACCAGGCCTTCAAAAGTCCCTGAAGGCTCATCCCGTCCATCAGAGTATGCGGCCAGGAAATTGAGACCAGGGTCGCGTCGGTGAACGTCACGACATGCAGAGACACCTGGGGGACATCCCGGCTGGCAAGTTGTCCGATTGTCGATGGTGCATCGGGTCGGACTGAAAGGGAGCGGAAAGCCGAGGCAGGCCGTTGCAGCGATGGCTTCTCAGTTGGTGACGGGAGGTCCTTGGCAAGAGAGTGTTCACCTATGGCCACGTCAAAGGTCTCCTTTGTGTATGCCACCGGCGGGCGCTCCTTTGTAAAGGTTCTGGGTACGTGCATCTCCAGCTTGCCCCCTTTTCCAACTCGCAACCTCCCACCCAGCTTTCTCCAGTCGCCAATCTCGAACAGGCGCCACAGAGCAGCGCTAAGCTGGTCGCCGTCGAGGACGTCGTTGAAACGCAGGGTCCAGGCCATTATGAGATTTTTAAGGCCCCGGCTATTGTCCATGAAATGGGTCGGGTAGATGTAGTCGTCTGCCATGGCGGATTGGTGCTTGTGTACCGAGTACCGCGTGCAGGGAACACCGAATGAGTGCGCCGATTTACTCGAGTAGCCAAGGCGTCAAGTCGTCTCCTCTACGGCATGTGCCCAGCGTTATCAGTGATCACTCGTCGTCGACTCTGAGGCGTTTTTATTCTTGTCTATTACCAACTCGACGATTTGTAAATGCCACGTTTGCGCAGTAACCTGATGGCCGATTAGCTAATGAAGATCCCAGCCGTCATGACCCCTGCCGAGTGCCTGGATTACATCGCCAGTCAGTGGGATGGTGCGGTGGCCAGCGCCCACGTCCAGCGGACCTAATCGAAGTGGTAAGTTCAAATGTTGGATAAAATGGCATGCCGTGTTAACGTCCAGCGCCCGCGTGACAAAATGCAGTCTATTCCTGAGCTACTCGTGGAGGAAAAGAATGATTTGCCTGGTGTCAATTTTGCACGTGATCTCGCACCATTTCGCGTCTCCCGCGGCGCGTCTCCAATCAGTGAATTAGAGATTCGAGACAAGCTTCCCCGCGGCATTGAAATGTTCGGCTCACACCCTGGTCTGACAATTGTGCACATTTTCACGCCACTTACCGTCGAACGAATGACCAACCCAGGGAGTTACGATTATTATTCGCCATAATTCGGGTCATCCGGCATAATTTGTCAATCCAATAAACGGCCAGCATCATGACCGAGTTGACGGGTAACGAAAATTGGCCACGAAACCGTCCACCGAGTTTGCTAACAAATGCTCAGAGGCCGATACCATCAGAATCCTCGTCGCAACAGACAACCATGTCGGCTACGAAGAGCGCGACGCCATTCGCAAAGATGACAGCTGGCGAACTTTTGACGAAATCCTGAATATTGCTCGAACTGAAGATGTCAGCATGATATCATGGCCATTGCCAGCTCACCATGCTCCCCCCTCAAGCTAACATGTCCGGCAGGTTGACATGGTCTTACTTGCTGGCGACCTCTTCCATGAAAATAAACCCTCACGAAAGTCCCTCTACCAGGTCATGCGTACGCTGCGACAAAACTGCCTCGGCATGAAGCCGTGCCCTCTCGAGTTCCTCTCCGATGCTGCCACCGTCTTCGAAGGCGCATTTCCCCATGTCAATTACGAAGACCCCGATATTAATATTTCGATACCTGTATTTTCCATTCATGGCAACCACGATGATCCCTCGGGAGACGGCAACTACTGTTCGCTCGACTTGTTACAAGCTGCCGGCCTGCTGAATTATTTTGGACGAGTAGCCGAGGCCGACAATATTGAGGCCAAGCCAATTCTCCTCCAAAAAGGCATTACAAAACTCGCCCTGTTCGGTTTAAGTAATGTCCGAGACGAACGAATGTTTCGGACTTTTCGAGACCATAAAGTCAAGTGGTTCAGGCCAAATGTGCAAATGGGCGATTGGTTCAATATGCTCGCTGTCCACCAGAATCATCATGCACACACCGCGACATCATATCTCCCCGAGAACGTACTACCGGACTGGCTTGACTTGGTGGTTTGGGGACACGAACACGAATGTCTCATTGATCCTACACAGAACCCCGACACAGGCTTTCACGTCATGCAGCCTGGCTCGTCGGTAGCCACGTCACTTGTGCCAGGCGAGGCGGTGCAAAAGCACGTGGCCATTTTGAGCGTAACAGGCAAGGATTTCAAAGTTGACAAAATCCCATTAAAGACGGTGCGCCCTTTCGTGACTAGAGAACTCGTTCTGGCTCAGGATAAGCGATTCAAGGGCTTAGACAAGAAGAAGGACAACAGACAAGAAGTGACCAGGCGGCTAATGGAAGTTGTGGATGAGATGATTGACGAAGCAAATGCAGATTGGGAAGCCATCCAGACAGATGAAGAGGCGCTAGAAGAGCGACCGCTGCCTCTGATTCGGCTCAAGGTCGAGTACACGGCCTCGGATGGGGGTCTGTTTGAGTGTGAGAACCCACAGCGATTTTCTAACCGATTTGTTGGCAAAGTTGCCAATACAAACGATGTCGTCTACTTTTACCGCAAAAAGACTTCACAGCGTAAGTACCGAATCTCGTTGGCTATTTTGGCTCGGAGCAGGACTAACATACTTGGCAGGCAAAGCTACAGCCACGCTTCCCGAAAATGTTCTCGAGGCCCTCGCCGACGGTGCCGACGCCGTCAAGGTAGAGGCGCTGGTACAAGACTTCTTATCTGCCCAGTCTCTTAAAGTCTTGCCGCAAGGCCCCTTTGGAGACGCGGTAAATCAGTTCGTTTCAAAGGACGACAAGCATGCCATGGAGCTGTTTGTCTCGGAACACTTGACGGGCCAAGTGAAGCAGCTCCTCGGGCTTGAATCCGATGATGAGGATCTCGACGGTGCCATGGACATTTACAGAACCAGAGTTGAGCAGCAAATGACCAGCGGCCCCGGCAAAGGAATGTTTAGTACTGATAAAAAACGGGTATTGAAACCAAAACCCGATACTTGGGATAGTGATTTCGACGGTAACTGGGAGGACGAGCCTGATGCATGGACATACGAAGGTTCTACCCACGACTTGAGTCTAACCACGACACAAGGGCCTGGGCGGACGGGTAGAAGCAGGGCAGAAGCTCACGGCGAAGAAATGTCCGACGATGAACCAGCACCGCGGCCTGCCAGACGAACAGGCAGAGGAACGAAAGCAGCTACCACAAAAGCCGCCGAGAAGAAGGCCTCGGCCCAGAAAGCCCCGGCACGGGGACGCAGTCGTAAAAACGTCGAACAAAGCGAGGAAGAGGAAGAAGATGTTGTCATGGAATCGGAAGAGGAGCCTGCACCACCACCCAAATCCACCACGAGGGGGAAAAGAGCAGCAGCAACCAGAACAGCGGCATCAACGACGGCGAAGAAGACTACGACGCGGGGTGCCGCAAAGTCCAAGCAAACAAAGCTAGACTTTTCACAAAAGAGCGGGGGCGCGAGTCAGAAGGCTTTTGAAATTAGTGATGATGAGATATCCGACGATGATGCGTTCGAGCCCGCTCCCCCGGTTTCAAGTAGAACGAGGAGAAGATGATGGCAGACATGTGGCCCTGCACATCTAGGCCGCGGCACATGCGTCGTAAAATATATATACCCAATCCAACGCACAAGCCTGTTCATCTCCAAGGCTGTCTTGTCTGTCTATCCATAATGTTGTTGCCTGTCCAGTACTCCGTAAGATACTCCCCGAGTCACACATCACCGCCCACAACCTCCTCGGACAATTGACTCGCGAAATACGCCTCCATCTCGGCCCACCAATCCTTGATGCCCCGAACATCGCACCACGCCAGCTCCCACGGGTCCTGAAACCACCACCTGCCCCGGCCCCTGTCGCTCGCATACTTCTTCAAGCTGCCCCCGTCGAAGCGGTGGTTCTTGACGCCCGTCAGCAGCACGGCGCTCCCGACCCGGGGGTTGAATTCGTCGGGGTCCAAAAACACCGCCAGGTGGACCTGCTTGGCCGTCGAGGGGTCCGTGATGCGCGCCGTGCGCTGCCTGTACGGCGGCAAATGGCAGGACTCGACGGCCGACAGGGACGCCACGATGGCGAGGACGTTGCACGACCAGTTCTGGCGGTAGGGCAGGTTTGGTATCGCGCGCAGCGTGGTGAGCTTGAGGGGGGTCTGGACGTCGTGCCAGTCCCGCGGCAGCGCGACAGGCAAGGCCGGTTTGCTGGGGTGCGCCGGCGCCGGTGTCTTGCTGGCCGGGAACGCAAGAGCCTCAAACTCGTCAAAGGCGCCCTCCATGTCGTCGTCGTCGTCGTCGTCTTCAAACTCGTCGCCGTCGCCGGGTGCTTGGCCGGCCGGCTCCGGCTTCGTGGGCGTGCTGGCTCCCGAGCCCGCGGGCGACGCTGCCTCGTCGGCGAGCTGCTGCTCGTCGTGCATCCTGCGCACGTCGTCGTTGCACCCGAGCGTCTTGACGTCGTGGACGACCAGGTACACCATTTGCTGCTGCGGCTTGCCGGCGTCCGCGGCCGTGGTCCTCTGGCGGAGCTGGAAGTCCTGCACGCAGACGTAGCTGCCGACGGTGATGTCGCGCGTGTGCACGAAGCGGTGCATGGAGTCGGCCAGGAGGGCCTGGATGCAGAGCTCGCCATCGCCGAGCAGCAGGCGGATGACTTGCCAGCGGCGAGACTCTGTGAGGGCGATGGTCTGTATGTCCTCGACGAGGAAGATGGATCCGGGGACGGCGAAGCGCGTGCGCACTAGGTCCTGGATGATGGGGCAGAGGGTGAAGGAGGCCGCGTCGGGGCTTGATGGTTCCATCGTTTGATAACGGGACGGGGAAGCATGATGAGTTGCGTGAGGCGGCTTGGTGAGTGTGGCCGCGTGGTGGTTGGCGTCATGTTTGAGTGCAGCGTGAACTTGGGTGTGTCGTGGACACTGGGTGGGATACCGGGTAGCTCAATGCTCGGGTGGTTTTTTGGTGCCCACTTGCAACGCTTGATTTGTGCTACGGGCAAGGGAAATATAGTAGGGTAAAGACCTCTAGTTCAATGTTACATATTCTTTCAAATTTAGGCTGGTCATGTGGTGACATCAAATGCTTGGGCCGTTAAAGATTTGAGAAGCCTTCGCTGTAATAGTTGGGAAGTGTCTGGTAAGATAGCTGACGGGCCTAGTTTCGCTATGCGTGGGGTGGAATAAGGCCACATGAGATTAATGCAAAGTCTGGTTTACTACCAAGCTCACAGAGTTACTGCAGACACAAGCGCTTAGCCAGAGCATAATAATACCGAAAAAAAAAATGTGTAAGAAAAGAAAGAAAGAAAAAAACTGTGAACTCTAAAAAAATCTCTCCCGCCGGGAATTGAACCCGGGTCTCAAGCGTGACAAGCTTGCATACTGACCACTATACTACGGAAGATGTTCAGACGTTTTTCGCCTGTCGTAGATGGATCAGCTCCTGTTGGGGAAGGACGCCGTTATTTTACCTTATACAGCTTAGCCACAAAACCGCGGTCAACTAGTCGCCGTTGGGAACGTCTATAACAATCTGCAGCTCTTACAGTGAACATGTCAAAAAGAAATATACAGTAACTACTATCAAGGATATAATTAATAGATACATGGATAAGATTGACGCATGCTAAGGCAAACATCACCCAGGTGGCCTCAAATCATACTATATTTGAAACTGCTAGCTCCGCCGTTGACCCACGCCGCGTGTATTCGAGATGCCATACATGACAACTACGAAAGGTATTTTATGCACAGTGTCAAGTTTATCTGTTTTTCATCCAACCTCGATATTCGTGCAAAGGCTATATTAGGTATGACCGAATAAAATTGTCAGGGCCTTTGTCAATCTATCGGCCAGATTGTCAGCGCTTCGGACGAATTTGATACTGAAGCTTCCTCTTTAGTGAGCGCTATTGATAAGTCGAATCTTCTGAAGGTTATCACATTGAATAGTGGGTTTTTTTCTGACCTAGCCAAAGGTTTAGGTGTTGAAAAAGCCTACAAGTCGCGATAGTCTTTTTAGCTGTGTGCGTACAAGCTAGTAATTTGGCTTTTATAGATGATATTATTATTGTATCTTGCTTAATTACTATCCAGCTGATAAGTCTGTTATATAGTCGAATTATCGGGACCTTGTGGCAACTTTCGGGTCTGTTATTTGTTTGCAACGGCTCGATAATTCAACTGTTTAGCAGGCTTATCAGCTAGACAGCTAGCAGGAAGAATATATACAGTAACAATATCGTCTATAAAAGCCGAATTACTAGTTTTTACGTATATAGCTAAAGAGACTATCGCGACTTGTAGGCTTTTTTAAGACCTAAACCTTTAGCTGGGCTCAGGGTTAGGGTTGACTTATCAGTTGCAGGCAGCCTTCTTCGTCATGTCGATACCAATAAGAGCTGGATTCGACAGGCCTATTAAAGAGGAAGCTTTGATATTAAATTCGTCCAAAGCGCTGACAAACTGGCTGACGGATTGACAAAGGTCCTGACAGGCCAACGTTTGACCGCTTTATCAAGCAGCTAGGGCTAGTCAACATATCACGTTGATAGCTACATGTATGGTTTGAATTGAATAGTGGACGAGTCCTTGGATTGAAGCCATCTAGGGAGGGAAAACAGGCCCTTGAGCGTTGACACAACATGATCAGCATCATTGAAAGAGACCAAAACGACTAAAATGCAACTTGCCTCGATATGTATCAACAGCTCTAATAGCCAGCTTCGATCCAAGCTGCGGGGGTGTGTCGACGGAAACGGAAACAAAAACGGAAAGGGCCTCGTAAATCGCTTTCGGATATTTAATACGGAGAAATTCCTCAATCGACAACTTTCTAGGAATCTATAAAACGGGCCCAATCTCCCTGGCTGGATAGATAAATATAAGGACTCGTCAGCTGTTCAATGCAATCCATGGCTTTCATTCGTGACAGTCATGAAATTAACACCATGTGCCTGGTTATACCTAATCAGTGAACCGTGACAAAGTAAATGATATTCTATACCAGATAAATTACATTTTCCCTATACTATTTGTGTAGAGGGATATAAGATAAATTTCTAGTATAACGTTGTTTATCTTATACTTGCAAATACTTCGTGTCAGCCAAGTAAACAGTTAATAGTCTTCAAAGCCTTGTCGAATAAATGTTCATTCATCTCGTAGCAGCGTCTGGTAATAAACCCATCAAAGGCCACAGAGAGCATCAGGATGTGCATACCTACAAGTTGGATCGGGCAACGTGGCCAAGGACCGCCATGTTGGGACCCCTTGGCTCCGTGGCTCAGCAATCCAACCTGATAGCCACTCTGATACAACCGAGAATCTTAATCTATCCCCTGTAAAAACTTGTTCTCCGCCGGAGCCATGAGCCGCTCGTTGCCGATGTGTTGACGTTTCAAATGCGTGGAGGTGGGACCGGGAACAAGGGGACCAAGACATCCGGACACGGCTAAATCATTAAGGAGGTGCGAGCATATTGGGGGTACGGATAAGGCCCGAGTCAGGAATCCATGGTCAGCCAAGATTTTTATCTTCTTCATGCCTGGCCGGAACTTGTGTGGAAGCCAATATACTTGGAATCAACGGTTCAGGCGTCAAAGGCTAGTAATATATGCGCATTTTGTTGCCTGTTTAATATCAGTTTTAGATCTCGTCCACACTTCATTTCGCCGTTTCGCCAATGGGCTTCTTAGAAGCATTGAGACGTACTATATGAGGCGTCAAGTATTTATGCGGGAACTTTTGTTTTTTACAGATTGCTTGTGTTGGGGCCTCGACGTCAAGAGGACACACTTACAAGTTGGACATTGAGGATATTCGGCCAAGCGCTGCTATTGCTGCGTCTTTTTGCTCCCCAGCTTGCATATGTGGTGGCTAAAGCCGATGACTACTCTGACACCTGCTGCCAACGAAATGTTGATGCAGGCCATGGGCAGAGTGGAGAGGGCCGGGGGTGAGGCTGTTATATGCAGGCGCTTGGGTTGCTGTTACTTCTGCCGCTGCTGCTGAACTTGAAGCTTTTAGGCCAGACTAGTCGAATCTGTGGGAATATTATTCAGAATATCTATCCAATATCCTGGACTCTCTCCCTGCTTCGCTGCATCTGCCTGCCGCGGGCTTTAGGTAAAAGCAACGGAATCACAAGATGAACCGTGTATTTACACGGCAGAGACTTGGACTACTTTTTCATGGTCCAGTTACCCATGAGTGGTTTATTTGGAACTCGTTCAAGGGACGCCCTCATGCATCATGTTGAAGAGGCACTGCCACAGCTGGGAACTGCAGTCCAACGTTGCCACGAAATTGTCCGCCTTTGCATTGAATAACGCAAAACACACACACAGCAAAATATCCACCTTTTCCCATATCTGTTCAGGATTAATGTCATTTGTCTTGCTCGTCTCTCTGATCCCGGGCCTGGCAAAGCCGAAATCCTGGTCTCCAAGTTTCTACCGTCGTGAAAGGCTGGAACTTTTGTTCTTGAGAGACTTGAATGGCCCGTCAATCGTATTGGGTCTGGCGGGCATATTACCTCTGTTATAATGGCTGACTTGCCGGACAAGCAGAGTCAGGGATGGAATCATGCAAGCGCTTCGCTTTACCGCCCACGGGGCAAGTGGCAACAGTAAACCGAGAGCAAGACAAACCTTGAGATTGTGTCATGGAATAAGGGAGAAGAGAGAAGAGAGTACTGTAGCATTTCGCATTTCACATCTCAGTGAATGACGAGCCTCGCAAATGAGCCAATGGCTGGACTGGTGAGAAGTCGCGTTGCCACGACCAAATTTCCTTTCCCTCAGTTGCATGGTTGCCATATTTTTCTGTATTACGAAGTTGTTTCGTATATATTAGGAGAGTTGGGATATGGATTTGAAGTCTCGACCGGAAACCAAAAGTCAGAGAAGCACAGAAGCCAAGGAAGGAAAGGGGGATCCGAAGAGGATAGACTAGAGATTCTACCAAAGTGGCTCAGTTCATACCATGGCGAATATGAATAGGGGAAAAGGTCATAAATAGGCCGCTGGAGAACAGCTCGAGACCAGAGATGGACACAGAATCACCTCGACAGCCGGTCTTTCCTTCAATATTCTCGCCTTGATAGCTCTCCCGTCGTTACCACTTGAGATTCACCAACACCACTGCCAATATTTCATCACACTTGACTTTTTTGACACTAAAAATGATTCCGTCTGCTCTTCTTCTACTATTGCCCATGACGGCCGCAGCGCCTGCCTCGAAGCGCGCCGAGCCCGCCCCCCTGATCGTTCCCCGTGATGACTCTGGCGTCTTCCACGGCCAATATACCGTCATTCTAAAGGATGACAGCGATTCTCAAGCTCTAACTAATGTTATGGAACTGATCCCAGGTAATGCCTCGCAGGTCTACGGGAACCTGTTCAAGGGCTTTACCGCGGAGCTTGATGAAGCTAGTCTCGGGGCCCTGCGAGACCACCCTGCGGTATGGCTGCTCCCCATTCCACTCACCCGACGGCTAGTATACCCGTTACTGATGGTGATCAGGTCGACTTTGTGGAAATGGACCAAAAGGTCTCTCTTCCCGACGAGCCGCAGGGCAAGGTGGACGCCGTCGAGGCAGACCCCAACGCGACGGCCCCTGTTGTCGGACCGCAGAGCCCGGTCCCCTCGCATCCTGATCAAGTTTTCCGACGATACAATGGCTTGACGCAATATCTAAACAACCCTAACGGCGGCGAAGGCGTCTGTGCCTATGTCGTTGACTCGGGTGTGGACGTCACCCATCCGGTACGCCGTCCCCTCGACGCCCACTTCTCCCATGCGAGCCGCGCGGCAAGCCGTCAACAGGACTAACCTGAAGGCAGGAATTCGGCGGTCGAGCGCACATGGTTAAGTCAACGGTGGACTGGCATGGCCAAGACTGGGTCGGCCACGGCACGCACGTTGCCGGCATCCTCGGCAGCAACAGCTACGGCGTGGCAAAGCGTGTGACCATCTACGGCATCAAGGCCCTTTCCGAGCGGCCCGACGCCAGCGGCATATCGAATATGATAGCCGGCTTGGACTACGTCGCACAGGACGCACCCCATCGCCACTGCCCCAACGGAATCGTCGTCAACCTGTCGGCGGGCATAGCCGAAAGAATCTATGCTCTCAACAGGGCGGCTCGCGGGCTTGTCGAGAGGGGATACTTTGTAGCCGTCGCGGCAGGTAACGAAGGCCACGATGCCAGGTTCAACTCGCCTGCTTCCGAGCCGTCCATTTGCACCGTTGGCGACTATAGGTACCGGGATTCCAACTTTGGCCCTGCCGTTGATATCCAAGCGCCTGCCGTCAACGTTCTCTCTACTGTCCCCGGCGGCCGCATTGTAAGCTATCCCTATCGCGGTCATGCTGTTGCCGTCTGAATGATGCTAACGTTTTTTTTATTTCAGTATCGCCTGACTGGCACTTCTATGGCCTCGCCCTTTATCGCTGGTCTTGCTGCGTCCATAGCTTCGGCCCATCATCAACGTGCCGGTCCGGATCTCTGCGCGTGGATGGTGCAGAGGGCTACTCCGCAATGATAGTGCTAGGAGCCGGTTGGATTGTTGATGCCTGCAATCTCAAATAGCATTCAGTGGTGCCGAGCACTTGATTGCTGAGCTTTGGAATCCCGAGCAGGACTTACTTTTGTGTACTTGGGTGTGTGCAGCAGGCTGTATGCTTGCAGGTATCAAGCTTTTTGTATGTACAGGACATTCTATTCTATTCTCACCAAAAGAAAAAGTGTCACGAGTGCCTTTTGTTATTTTGTATTTTGTAGTGCTGGCTCAAACCCGACCCGTATGAGAGATGCTGCATCAACGAGCGCATCCGTGTCGAGAAACACGGCCGAGGGGTGAATCGTGCCGTCAAATTGATTGAATACGGCATATGTTATGGACTCACTACAAGCTAGCTATCCTACCCCGGTTTCAGGAACTACTAGTCCATACCAACATTAAAGGAACTCTGCCGAGTGGTGCACTGGTGAGATGTGTCATGTGTGCCACGGCTACTTGGTGTCAAACTCTATGCTTGAGGAGGGTGTGGCACAAGTTACAACCACCCGTTTTTCAACCTGCTCGTAATCATTCCCTTGTTCCCGCTCTGTAGATCCAAAATGGTGGTTCCATCACGATAACCAAGCACGGTTCTAGCTACCACGTGTACATCACCATTCGGCGGAAGCAAAACCATTTTTAACAAACTTGTATTACAGTGGCCGTGGGTTCGGTGTGCTTTTTTCAAGGTATTCGGCGCCACGTCAGATCCGGGAGGGAGTGCTCGCGGCCTTCGCCCCGGGTGTAACAAATCTGCTGCAAGTCGGGCTTCACACCGACGGCAATCAACTTGCCCGAATGGCCGCACGAGCTGTTTTCTTCTGGTGATGTATTCTAGCTTACATATATTTTGACAGCAACACTATCGCAGTTACTCGTATTGTACGGCATCGATTATAGCCCCTTGATTCTTTTCAAGTCAAGCGCCTGTCGCCACCAGCCGACGCGAGAACCAGACGTACCTGCGGAACAAGATGCGCAAAATGACTGTTCCCGACGACACACAATGTCCTTGGCGGGCGTCACTTGGCTGACGAGCAGAAAATTTCGCATCACGAAGTACAGCCGAGTTCCAGCATGCTTAGGCCTAAATACCTCCTAATAATGAACAGTGCTGCATATTCAGCCATGAGCAACTTCAACATGGACCCTTGTACCAAAGTAACCTGTTACAAAAAGAAGAAGAATAAACATTCACTGCGGATGGGCATGGTCCAACACACCGCCGAAATCCAGATCGACAGACCAAGAATTGGGATCGGGCAGCATGGCATAAAAGTCAAAATCCTCAAAACTACCAAAGTTCTGCACCCAGTCCATCTCGCTCCGTCGGGAAACAGACGCATCACGAGACGAGGGCGCATGGCCAACGCCCGCCTCGGACGCAGTCGACGGCGTCTCCTGCACCTTTTGGAGCAGCTTGCGCAACGCCGGGCCAACAGAAACAAGCAGGTGCCTCTGGTTCATCAAGGCAGCGCCCCTGTCGAGAATGCAGACGGTCTGGCTCACAATATCGAGGATGCGGGCCTTGTCCATCCAGATGGTGCCGGGGTACTTTGTCACCACCTTGAGCAAGAAGACGACGGCAAAGGTAATCATCATGTCGAAGCACAGCGAGAGGCCGTTGAGCAGCAGCTGCACCTCCTGGTCGGCGTTCAAGGCGCCCAGGATGGAGGCGGCGCAGACGACGGCCGTGTTGGCCACCTCGTGCAGCTCCGGCGCCAAGGGGGTCGACGCCGGCTCGGGCCCGGGCTCCGCGTGCAGGCCCCGGAAGGCGTGGGAGCAGAGGTACAGCTTGGCAAAGTTGAAGTGAAGGCCGACGCCCTTGGCGGGATAGTTGCCGACCTTTTCGTGAGGGCGGAAGCGCTCGCGCCAGTCGGCGTGCCACGTGTCGAGGGCGATGGCGAAGCGGCGCAGCTGAGGCATCTGGGAGGGCGAGACGGGCTTGGCGGTCTCGGTGCCGAAGCAGTCGAATATGGCGCCGTAGACGGACCATATCTTGACCTGGGAGACGAGGCGGACGTCGTCCTCGACGGCGTGCTCCGTCTCGAGCAGCGCCGCGGCCGAGTTGATGCTGACGCACTCGTGGGACATGGGCGGGCGGCCGTACAGGACCGACGTGTGGTGGTCGCACACGTAGACGTGGTAGTAGAGCCGCGTCTCGAGGTATGCGTCCCGGTCGCCCTCGAGGGCCTTGTATATCGCGTGGTGGAGTTGGATCTCGGACGCGATCCGCACGGCTGCATCACCACCAGACGTCAACTCGTCAAGCGGCCACGGCACACGGCGCACGGGGAGACATGGAGCTTACCGGATCCCGACGACGCCCACGACAGGCTGCTCAGCCAGAAGCCGCCGATGCAGAGGCCCCGGACGTCGTCGGTGTTGTGCTGCCGCGACAGCGACCCCGTCGTGAAGAGCATCTTGAGCTCGGCGAGACACGCGTCGTAGAGATGGCCCAGCTGCGCGGAATGCAGCGCCCCGACGGTGCACACGGCCGCCGTGAGCAGCGGCGAGCTCTCCATGGCCGCCTCCAGGCTGGCCTCGTCGCCCAGGATCCGGTACAGCAGGTGGTCGAGCCGGTCTTGGTACACGGCGAACAGGACTCTTGCTTCCTCGAGCGATATCAACCCCTTTGACACGAGATGCGGCTTTCGCGATGCGTTGCCTGCCGAGGCTCCGGCGCCGGGCACCTGGGCAATGCACGAGGCCGGCATCGACGACGGCTCACACTGCGGATCGACGGTGATTTGCCATGAATGGTCAGGCAAAGGGTCGACGTGGCTGCTGCTGCTGCTGCTGCTGCCGCCCGCGGGCGTGGTGCGCTGACCATGTCCCAGCATGGCACTGAGCTCAGCCTGCTCGCCAAATAGCTCACGCAGTTCCGGCATGTCGAGCTTCTTTGCTACGGCGCCAATGGCATGCTCGAGACGCTGGACCCTTTGCCCGACGGCCTGCTTCCAGCTAGAGCCGGGGTTAACTTGGCGTCACACCATACATGGAGACGAGCTGGCTGCCGCGACGAACCTGATGTCCTCTTCTAATAGCATCTGCAGGCTGCGGTTCACGGTGCACGGAAGAGATCGCTTCTTGCACCGGGCGCACGGGGCCTTGCCATTTGTCATGTGGCACTTGATCTGGAGGACGTCAGCCAGGGATACATGTACCACACGTTTTGGTGGTATTTATTTTTGACCTTTTGCCGGCGACACGCAACGCAGGCTGTAATCTTTCTGCTGATTTCGGGAGGCTTGCCGTCGCCAAAGGATTCTCTCAGCGCCGCCACGCCAGGGAGACACGGGGCGTTGCTCTCCATGATGGCGAAGTCAACCAGCCAATCCCCAGTACAAGATATCCAATGCACAGAGGGCTTTGCCACGGCAGCCAGGCCAGGTAGCAGCCAATACGGTAACAGAGCAATCAGCCTCTCGCATCATATGGTGTATCTAGGAGAGAGTCTCACGAGTTGGGGATGAATGTCGGTCTTCCCCCCGACTCCGTTGCCCCCGCCGAGCAGCTCCATCTTTCTCAGACACGGAGCAACATTGCATTGAACCCACGTGGGATGAGCTCAGCTTAGCAATGGCTCCGGGAGGATTCGCCAACGGCTGCTTAATCAGCTGCCATTGCAACCTCGATTGAACTTGGCATTGGAAGTTTTGCACCAGCATCTCCCCAAGGCACTGGCGGCCCTTGCCACTACCGCCGAAGCAAAGAAATTGAAACGATAGTATACAGTGAGAGTTACCGCTCGGATCGCGAAAAACAAATACCGGGTGGCATCCCCCCATCAGACCAGTCCAAGGCGGGAACTGCGGCCTCAATTTCGCGTCCGACCGGGTCCCGGACTCCCGGTCCTTGATGGGGCCGGCCGGCGCAGACGGCGCCCCGACTTGGCCGTTTCCGTGGGTTGGCAAGGCCGCCATACAAATGACGAGTGGGGTCGCGCTTAAACAAATTGAATGCTATTGGAAGCACATCTCAATTTTGAAAATGCCATGCACCGAAATCTGCCCTGTTCTTGGGTGCGTGCAGAAGTATGAGGGGGATCAAAAGCACGACGAGTACGGAGTAGTGCCGACGACCGGGCATGTAAATAGACAGTGGCCAACTACGTCTTATTCCGAGTAGAGATTTCACAAAATCCCCGATGCGGGTTCGAGATCCATGCAGGATTATTGATTTTTTTACTATTTCCTACTTTAATTTTGTACCTTATCCCAACGGAATATCATAGGTTGTGGTTAGCCTAGTATGACTGGCGGATTACACTGCTTATTCGCACGAGACAGGACCCAATACATGTACCCATTGGGCATACATACATCCCCGACATGACTCAGGAGGCATAAACAGCCACATGGTCAACCTCCATGGCAGCGCCCCTACCGCACCGTCTCGTTTGTAGGCGTCTTGAAGCCGCACCGGCAACGGCGTCGGCAAAGGCGCCCCCAACAGCCACGTTGAACAGCACCATCTTCCCGTCAGCAGCCAACATTTGCCAGGCCCCGGCATCGCCCAGGTCATGGACTCGGATTCGTTGTGACAAGGGTTCAATATGAAGGCTTGGAGCAAAAAGGGCTCAATTCAATAATAATCTCGTAGGATGTCAAAGGTCCTGAGTTGCTACGAGAGAGGAAGAGAAGGGTGACCGCCTTATATACATGAAAGGAACGCCCGGGCCTAAGGTCCTTGCCCGGGCACGTGTTCTAGCTGTGTAACCAACAGGTTCTGTATCGTCGACGCCCCTTTGTTGGGCTTCGCGATCTGTTGGGCCTTTTCCGTGTAACATTCGTTGCCCCCAGCCCGGCGGTCCACCTCCCACGAATAGGTGTGCCTAAAACCCCGTATTTAACAGCCGTCCTCAAGCCACCTCTGCAATATAATGTGCTAGTCAGCGCAGCTGCGAGGTCTTTGGCAGCACCCCCGTCGTCAAATCTTCACTTGAACGAGTTCCATGTCATGCATGAGAACCGGAGCCGGGGTGGAGAGGCGTGAAGCGCAAGCATGAATAAATCGTCAACTATTCATCTTTGTGGATGGAAAGAGCCATAGGAATAAACGGATATGAAGAATTTCGGGACTATCATTTTTTACAGTAGCAAGACGAACATTGACACTGGATATGAGTTCCTTATAGCATCAGTTGACCGTTAATGCTACAACTCGTCGCGTCCTTGGTGAGATGGGTTGAGCAAGACACGACATCTCCCATACTCCCCAACGTACCTATAATATAGTACAAGTCATCTTCGGAACGCGACTGCAGAAAACGGACATTTCTTAGGACACAGGAATAACAGGACTCGAAGAATTGCAGCTTCGAAGACAGAGTCGGGCAGCGTCTGTGGACCAATCAGCGACATGACGAGGCACTAACCCGGATTTGGTCGCAACAGCCAAGCTCCATCAGCTCACGCACAACTTGACTTCTCCCACGAAACGCCGTCTGTGAGCCCCAACAGCTCGCCATGAGCAAAACACCAACCCATCTCCACGACACCGATGCGTTACCAATCAACAACACCGCCGCACGGCGCCATCTCACGCTCTTGGCTCTCAAAGTCACTGCGCGGTTCTACAAGTGGGATGGACCCTGTGTCCCCCTGTCCCGCCGCATCATGGTCAAGACGGATGAGAGCATTGGCCTGACCGAAGCCGCGACCATGGCCTTCATTGCTGCCCGGACGAGCATCCCCGTGCCCCGCGTGCATTGCTCATTTATCCACAAGAACAAAACGTACATCGTCATGGAGCGCATTCGCGGCAAGACTCTCGCCGCCGCCTGGCCAACTCTTTCTGAGCCGGAGCTCGACGACATCTTGGCCCAACTGCGAGACATGCTCAAGGAGCTGCGGGCCCTCCCGGCTCCGGGTGTTGCAGTAGAGAGTTGCGTGGGCGCATCACTGCATGATTTTCGGATTCCCTGGTCCGAGACAAGATTTGGGCCGTTCCCTTCCATACGGGCATTTCACTTTTGGCTGCGCCAAGGGCTTCGGCCAGAAGAGCACCACCTACAGCGTGTCAGTAATGAGGATTGGGCCGACATTAAGCGCATGGTGGCCATGCAGGACGAAGACAAGGATTGGGGACCACCGGTGTTTACACACGGTGATCTGAACCCTTTCAACATCATGGTTCGGAATGGGAAAATTGTTGCCATTATTGACTGGGAGTTCGCGGGCTGGTATCCCCATTATTGGGAATATACCTCTGTTTTCCTTGGAAACAAGACAAGGCTAGCATGGCAGAAGTTGGTCCCAAAGTTTATTGAGCCCTGCCCGGATGAACTCCAAATGGAGACGATTAGACAGAGATGGTGGGGAGACTTCTAAAAAGGAGGCCTGGTGGCCGTGTCTAAGGTACAGTCTCCCTGTCGTCCAACATGTCCCAAGTTGGCTTCGGCTCGAACATGCGCCCTGCTTCTGGATATCTCCCAGCAGCATTCTTCTCCCCCACGTAGCGCCTGGCCTTCGGCTCCATCTTGCTCCAGTCTAGCTTCAAAGTTCCGTCTCTGTCTTCACCTCTGACCGCAGGCGCCGTGGTTCCCGCCGTCTTCCCAGATGTATCATCGCGTGCGTGGTATACGGTCGATGCTTTCGCCTCATCTCGTCATTTAACCTGCTTGTATCGGTGCAAATAAGCTGCGCCAAGAGTCGACGCTCCTCCAGATTGTAGCAAGGTTAGGGATTCCACTCGTCTTGGTCCATCCTGAATATTGAGATCCCCAGCGAATCAGGAGGACTCCCGTGCAATTACCCGATCATGTGTTGAATTGTCTTCCGCTACCTCAAACTAGCATCTGTATCGACGCTGTGCTTCCATGCCTCCTGTCGTGCTATGGCCAACGTTCCATTCTCCAAGCCAACAGCTAGCGTAAGCCGATCATTTGCTGTCGCTGCACTTCCTGGGAAGTTTCAATGTTGTCTTGTGCGCATTTCAATGTGCTTCTACTCCACAATGCTCATTACCCAGCATCGAGCACATGATGCACGGAGTCGAACCAAAATGGGTTCCAAGTCTATCCAGGAAGCCACCGAATACGATCCCGACGTATAAAATTTTCTGGTTTTCGTCTTCGTACTCTATTGACGTCATTTCGCCCATACTGTGTCAATTTAGTCAAGGTAAACGCCCTTCCAAGCCTTTCTGGTATGAGGGTAATGCCCATCTTGTTATCCAATTTGCTTTTAGCACTTTGGTTATGTCCGGTCGCTCGCTTGGTATCCATGCAAGCATCCACCGGAGGAGCTCAAACAGCGCATCCCGCTCGTCTTCCCTAATCGTTTCCATGCCCCGAGATTGTCGCGGTTTTTGCACCCACTGCTCGAACCGCCGTTCCCATGACCAGATATCAGACGCATTGCTTAAAGGCCTGCCAGCTTCATCGTACCACTTCAGCCGCTTCTCCCATCTTCCCCACCACTCGGATGGCATGGGACCCTGCAGTTCTACCTGCTGTGCAGTGATCTCGTCCTGCGGTGCGAGGAACCCGTCGATGAGCGACCTGTGGGCGAGAAGCTCAAAAATCACGCAACCAAGGCTCCAAATATCAGAGGCAAAGGTAAGAGGCGTTGCGGGCTCAAAGAATGCCTCGGGTGGGCGGAGGACAACGGGCGTATATGACTCAAATCGAGACTTGTCGCCCGGCCGGAAGGCAACTCCAAAATCGCTTAGTATCAACTTTGCCTCGCCCAGGGTTATGCCATTGCTTGGTACGCCCATCCATACTGAAGGCACCGCATAAGAAGGAACCCCGGGGTCTGCTGATGCTGCCTCGCCGTCCAGACAAACTACTGGCTCTCGTTCCGGCTCCCCGTACCGTGCGTAGAGTTGCTCTACTGACAAGGTATTGAGTGATGAGGGCATCTGTAAGAGAAGGTTACCGAGATGAAGATCTAGAGCACGGTGTCAGTCAGGGTGTCGTCGTAAAAGATAACGGGACGCTCACCGCCATGGGCATAACCCCTAGCATGGACGAGGGACACGGCCATGACTAGTTGCGCAGCAAGAGATCTGGCAACGTCAAGCTGAAACAGAAAGCTACCCGATGCCTCCCTCGCGTCCCGCAAGCTGCATCGTGCCGGAAGGGTCACGAGGCATGGATGAGTGCCATTAGGCCCGCCAACGTCGAATCGATCAAGTACGACGGGAAGCGGCGACGGCTGGTCTTCCAAGATGCTGCGGCTTACGGGGCTCTGTGTGATCTGGGAGAGCATATCAAGCTCGCTGCGATCGGCATCCGCGGTGCCGAGTTTGATGGCGACATACTTTGTCGTCTTCTCGTCGATGGCAAGCCAGGCAGTGGAGAAGGCGCCGTGGCCCAGCTTGTGCACTATTCGATATCGTTTGTGAAGTCGATCGTCGATATGAAGTGGGTGATAGCCGCCAGGCCGGTAGTCACTGAGATGCTCTACTCCATGGATATACCCGTACTCGGCAGGTGGTGTTGACGTGGTCGAGTACTGCGACCGGGGGGAGCTCGATGCTATGTGCAGTTTAAGACAGGAGCTCAAAGAGGAAGCTCTTGCGGTTGTCGCGCGGCACAAAGAAATGTGACGCGGCAGCCAAAAACCCATCTGCAGCGCATGAGAGATGACCCGCTTTTGGTGTTTGATGAGGCTGAAGACTACATGTTTATCTGGAGGCAGGTGCACCGATTTCTGATGAAAGATGTCAAGGTGTGTTGCAGAGGGTGTTCAATGTTGTTCATTCAAATTGATCCGTTTTCGGTGGGGCACCAACGACCAGGCGCCAAGACGTGCTTGGTTCCTATTGGATACGGCCATGATGGTGCAGCCTGAGCAGAACAGAAGCGCCCGTTGCAACATTCATTACAACCAACGCACCGAGGCCACCAATCCGATGGGCTTGATGAAGCTACTGCAACAAGCAATGAAACCGCAAAATATGGCTCATAAGGTAATAGAGGCCGCCATGGTCAAATACTACTTCCATGCCGCGCAAGTTCCGAGAAGCGAAGCCAGGACGATGTAGCCTTAGGGTTAGGGTCGTCATCTGAAGGATCCCATCATCCCACGAGCCACGAGCGATCACGTTACATTAGCAATAAGACGCAGGTCCATTTAGATCGCGATACTCATGTCGCCTGCCACAGCCATGTCAAGGATCACTGTACGCTGGAATTCAAGGAGGCGACCCATGCAGCAGCAAAGGCCGCCTCAACCATGAAACGGGGCAACAAACCAGTTTGGCCAGATGACGAGGACCGCGTTCCATGTTCACAGGTTCTCCCATTGTTTCTTGAATGCGTGTTGCCGTTGGTAATCATGCCAGGTACCTGTGCGTTGTTGCCCTGTACACAATGAGCGACTTGAACAGTGTCAGAACTCAGACAATGAGCCCATGATCCTGACGTACAGCGCTGACCCTGGCTGGTTGAACTTCAGCCTTTGTTTTGTTTTAATGGGATCTCATGCTGAACATTGCAGCGAATCGATGCCTTGCGTCTTTCACTGGTCGAGCCCTTTGTCATGCTGTCGGAAGCCTCGCGCCTTTATTGATCCAGCACAGCCTGTTCAGAATTCGCCGTCACCTACTTATGTCCCGATTTCCCGCCACGTTCTAAACGACATCTCTATCCTAGTGCCTTCACCAGCGACGGGACCTCCCATGCCAGCCATGTCTTACTGTGGCGACTTGACCGACTACACTGGCTTGAGCAACGAGGCTGACCAGGAAAAGCCCATACAACGGCCAAACATAGCTAGCCTTGCGGCCCAGGCCCTTGAAGCCTTTGAGAGATGCCTTCATTTATCCGCCTCTTATTCTCGAAACGGTGCTTTTCGCGTCGACTATCATCTCAGAGATTTTGAGCATTGGACACACAACGCTGGTGTCTTCTCTCCCGGACGAGCTTGTCTAGACCACGCAGTTAGACCAGCAGATGTCTTGCACGATGACATCTGCAGTGACCTGAAGAATCTAATCCAGAGAATCCAAGATTGTGAGTACCGTGCACACTTCCATTGGACAGACTGAGGAGCTTGGCAGCAAAACTCCCATCTTCAATAATACCCAAGCCAACACCTGCTAATTTCGCTAAATAGCTTCATCTATCCTGGAAAACACCACAAACTCTCGACAAGAAAACTCTACAGAGAATGACCTAAACGACGCTATCAAAGCTATAGCCAAGGTCATCAAGTCGCTCTACGACCCCATCGAATCAGGCCAGGCTAAAGAAATCTCTAGGCGCACTTGGTACTCCACAGAAGCAAAACAATTCTCCTTACGAGATGATAACAATAATGATGAGGAGCCACGGCTACGGAAACTATATCTCGACTTTATCCGGGGCCGGTTTCCCAATATCAAGGACTATCTTCCACAACGCCTTGCCGAATATATGCTCTTACAGCGGAAAAGAACTTTATTTAGGAGGTACTATCACAGAGCTCATCCGCTTAGGGTCGAACATATAGTACCGCGGCCCAAGATTGTACGACCACAGTTTCTCCGCCACGCGCCAGAGCCGTCGGGTGAGGAATCGGAGGTGGAATCTGATGTGGAATCTGATGTGGAATCTGAGGCACCTCTCGCCAAGGGGATCACACTATCTCAGGCGGCAAAGGCCGCTGAAGCCGCCGCCGAAATGTACGAACAAGACTCGGCCTCGACGCCTTCGGCTCTTTCGATTACGCAAATGTTTGCTCTCAGCAAGCATGAGGACCTTGTCTTTCCACCCGCCCCAAATGCTATGGTTAAACAAGTATTTGAAGAACTAAAAAAGCAACGGAAGAAGACTCTCAAAGAATGCCCGACTGAAATCCCCGGCTTTGCAGATTATGAGGAATACAAGCGGCAGCCTTCCAGATCCCATGCTGGGTCAGCGTCATCATTCGCAGAGATTGATCGCAGGGTTACCGAGGAGAAGAAAAAATTCAGGGCTTGCCTCCAACGGGATTGGATATGCTGCAATGTGAAAGTCGGAGAAGTCGTCTGCCCCTTTTGCCTCTATGTGCTTCCCGCCTTCTCCGTGTCCGATGACGAGAAATGGAAGTAAGTGACTATGGACCCTCCCATTGCGAGAAATTTGTATTGACACCACCTGTCTATGTGACGAGTTCTGACTAACCTTTCCAGGGCCCATATTACGAGTGACATCGAGATATATTTTTGCCCGTTCGACAAGTGTAAAACACCAACGGAACCGTACTATGATTGCGACTCATGGATTCTTCACATGGGTGGCTGTGGCTGGCAAAATTACTACGCGCAGGACGTGATCAACCAGAGAGAGTGCCCAATATGCGGCGCTAATCATGAAGATGACTTAGAATGCCACATCGCGGGTCATTTGAAGTTCCTCGCGCTGAAGGCCTTGCCCCTGCCACCCGGATACAATGGACCGCAGGGTCTTGAAGCTGCAAATAATACAGAGAAACATGCCCTGCCGGTTTTTGAAGATTCCATCGACGGCTCAGCTTGCAGTGATGATGGCGACGGTGAAGTGTCGCCAAGCCCGTACGCACCATGGTGAGGGCACAGCGAATACATTGATTAGCACGTGGCAGACGTGACAGACGGCGATTCTGTTGAGCGGTCATTATTCGACGGGGTGCCAAAGGAGGACTGGGGACGTTGCGAATGGGGGTTTCTCACCAGGGCGAATGACAATCAATTCGGAAGCTTCCCGGGTGAGCCCATCATTCAGTCAATTTATCGGACACAACGCTAGGGCGGTTTGAGCGCGGAAAGAGCTCTAAAGTCGGATTCGAAAGGGAGTTGAGGAGGCATACTGGGTCATTTCAAGCGACATGAGGCAGTGGTTTCAGCCTTTCATGTCAGAGTCTGGGCAGAGAGGCTGCGAAAGGATGGAAGCAGAACGCATGGTCCGAGGCAGAATAAAGTAACGAGGGTTCAGTGGCTTTTTTACGAGTCGAGAAGAATGAAACGCAGATCATGTAACATTGATTCATTGGGAGAAAGAGCATGAGACTCTAAAACACACTTGGAAGGCGACGCGACAGCTCTGGACACAACGAAGACCAAGGAAGCACTGAAACTTTTCAGGGTGCATTTCATTGAGCAGTTGTGTCATATTTGTTTTTTTGCATTTCTTGAATTAGCTTTTTACAATCATTGTCTGTTCCATGCACGCGAGCCCTTGGTGTGAGTCCCATATAAACAACCCTCTTTGCTCTACCGATGAATCACATAGGACCACAGCTTCGACATCTAGATCAAACCATTCCTGAGTCCATGGAAGAATTACATTGTTCATTGAGGAGTTTTCAAACGAGTCTTACACAGTGGGGTAAGCGACAAGTGAACCCCATTGACTCGGGCATTTGATGTCGTACTGTTACAGGGCTTTTGTGGCGGTGCCCTTGATGTAGGTCGTCCGGTATACCCAGATAGGGGCCAGCTTATCTCCGGAAGACACCGAGTTTGACCATTTCAGGTAGCGAGTTGTGCGTTTGCAGGATGGCTGTCTGAAGAGGCGTTTAGAGTCCGGAAAATCTGTTGACGCAACTCCCATCCACAGAAGATGCATCGCAAAATGCCAGGCCGTAGATTAGCCTTAATGATATAAGTATTGTTTAGCCTTTGAAATTTGCTTCAAGAGAGCCCGTCACCTGGTAGTGCCTTGACCAACCACCCTAACCACTGCGTCTGACAGCAAATACAAGAATTGTCGCAATACTTTTGATAGCCAAGTTCCAATCAAGATCCAGTTCACATTTCAATTGAATCTAAAGCTTCTAGTCCGTGACTGGTAGGGCTAGTAACTACAAGTCGTTCCCGGTATAGGTTAACAACCGACGCTAATGCATCATCGTGAAATTAAGCGGTGGCGGAGCTCCCACTAAATATGCACTAATATACTATCATTGATAGTATATTGATGGCCAGGTACCTGATTTGGTTAAATACTCCGTCTCCCACTATGCCTAAGCTGAAATTAGAGACCAAGCCTGACAGCTGATAACTCCGAGCGCAGAAGAACCCAAGATGGATCCTCAAGGGATGTACAGAAGCCACATCGTTTCATGACGCAGCCGAGTCCCTCTTCGTGGCTGTTCAATAACGGAGGAACAAATCTCACATTACTGCACTCCTCAATTCCAAATCGCTCCGAGTGTCCTCTCTTGGTGCGGTATATCTACAGCCAAGCCGTGGAGGTGCTTGTCTGGCCAGCACCTCCCACTCCAGCTCTACTTGGACATGTTGACATGATGAGAGGATGGAGAAAATTGCAAGAATTTCCGAGAAAGCAAATGTTCGATACCTCACAATCATGTACATGCCCTTCTTGGTCTTGCCCACGATTCTCTTGGCATAGTGACCGATTATACCCAGCCATTCCGAGAGGTATTCATTGAGACAACGCCGAAAATCATCCAAACAGAGAAAAGCCTCAAAATATTGTACGAGGCTTCAGGTCCCAATGAGATTACCAAGGACCTAGACCGGACCATTCCTAGCTGGGTCATGGATCACACCAAAAGGCGGCAGCTTTTAAACGGGCCAGAAGTAACTCGTTTCGAGGGACATACCAGATTGTTCTTGGCGAGTTTCTATGCCTCTGGAGAATTAGGCATGCAAAAGGTTCTTTGGAGAAGCCCAACGGAGGGGAAGAATTTGTCAGCAACATATTTCAGCGGCATCAATCTTTCAAAGGCCCCAGTCAGCGGCACAGGCAAAGGAACGGGCCGATTAGTACCACAAGGTATTCGCATTGACATGCTTCTCGAGCCCCGGTCACCTCTTCCTCGAGAAGCACGACACAATTCTAGCTGGCAAGACTGGGTAAGAAAATGGGCCCCTCCCAATGTCGAGAGCTCGCGGTATTTGATGAGCGAGGACGGCGAGAAGTAGAGGAGGTGGTTCTCTTGAATAACAAGTAGAAGATCAGAAACATGGCGCAATCAGCGCCGGCAATATTCTCAATCAGGAAATGCGTGAGTCGCTTCGTCGGCGGTTTCATATTGCGTGATCTATATCCGGAGGTGCTTCGGCATATTAATTATTAATAGTGTTTGACAAGGCGGGTTAGGTTGGTAAAGCGGAGCAATGATCCTGGTCAAGTCAAAAAGGTTATTCCGGCCGTCAACAAACCCCGCCGTCCGTAACGCGGCAGAGACGAGATGGCGAGAGGGTGTGCGGCGGCTCCTCCGTCCTGGCTGGTCTGCAGTGTGCATCGCACAGGCGACGACGCCTGCAGTCCAACTCCAAATAGGCAATCAAGCACATGAGATTGCGTCGACTGCGCCGGGAATAAATAAAAAGAACGTGCCGCCAAGGGTACGGGCAGCTGGGCAGCTGGGACCAAACGCGGGGATGCCGTTTGGAGAGGGGAATTAAACAAGCCGCATCGAACCATGGAGACGACGGAGGGGGAGCAGCTCCAGTCCGAATTCGTCATGGGGAAGGCGCATTGCATGTAGCCATGGAGCCACCTTCCCGTTCGCATTCAGCGTCTCCCACCTGTCCTCCTCATTGACGTTTAAAACTCGAAATCGCCCAGATTTCTGTCCTTGAGCTGCAGAACTTGCCGCTTGTGTCTCGGATTGCCCAGCAGCCCAGCGCCGACGTCCATCATGCCTGTGATCCGCGTGGGAACTGCTTCGCCGGCCACCGGCCCCACCAAGGCCGCGACCCTCCGACACTTGTCCGACCTGGCTCGCCGAGCTGCCGCCCAATCCATTGACATTCTCCTGCTCCCCGAGGCCTACATTGGCGGCTACCCGCGCGGCACCGCATTTGGCGCCGTCATTGGCGATCGCCCCTATGAGGGAAGAGAGGAGTTTGCCAGGTACTTTGACCAGGCTGCCGACCTGGGGGACACCGTAGGCGGGGGTGCCGGAGCGGGAGCTAGATGGGTCAAGAGGGAGCTTGGTGGTGATGATGACTTGCCGAGGGGAGATGGCACGAGGGAGGAGCTGGAGAAAATTGCCAGCGAGACCGGCGTTTTCATTGTCACGGGCATCATTGAAAAGACGGGCGGCAGCTTATATTGCGCTGTAGTGTACGTGTGCCCCAAGGCCGGTATCATTGGAAAGCGACGCAAGGTCATGCCTGTGAGTGCTGGTCCATTGTCTTTTGTTTTTCGTCACATCTCCTTCGTCTTCCGAGGGACAAATCTTTGCCTAACGCTCGCCAGACCGGCACAGAACGCCTTTGCTGGGCTCAAGGATCGCCCGCCACCCTAAAGGCCGTCTCAACCGTCATCCGGGGCCAACGAGTCAATATCGGGGCCGCCATCTGTTGGGAAAACTACATGCCCTTTGTCCGCCAAGCCCTTTACGAGCAAAACATCAACTTATACCTGGCCCCGACTGCAGACGGCCGAGACGCGTGGATGGGCCTCATGCGCACAGTCGGCGTCGAGGGGCGGTGCTTCGTTGTGAGCAGCAACATGGCGGTACGCAAAGACGGCAGCGCTCAGGTTGCATCGTCGCAGCCAAGCCCTACCCGTTCCCGAGCGAGACGCAGCTCGACATTTACTGACCAGGGCTTCGAAATTGCTCTGCCGTCTGTGAGCCCTACCCGTCGCAGGCGCAGAAAGTCTGTGTTTGACGAGGACGGCAACGAAATCGTTCTTGGGTGTGATGAATCAAACGGTGCCGAAAAGAATGGTACCTCCCCTGGAGCTCAACCCAAGTCAACCGTCGCCACGGCTGACGGATGGGTGTCCCGCGGCGGGTCGTCGATTGTCAACCCGTTTGGAGACGTTCTCGCCGGGCCACAGTGGGAAGATGACGAGGGGCTCATCTTTGCGGATATTGATCTGAGGGAGTGCATCCGAGGAAGATTGGACCTTGATACGGCAGGGCACTATTCCCGGAATGATTCGTTCAAGTTTACTGTGGCTGGGCTAGACTTGGACCCCTTGCCGTACTAGTCTGATGTTGTTCAAAACCTGAGCAGACCAAGAATGGTACCGTGGATGTGGATGCATCTGCTAAGGACGTGTGTGTTCATAATGTGTGCCACAACTCATGTATGATAAGATTGCAAGATATTCTCAACACAATTCATGCGCCCGATTGTCAAGTCTACAGAGGTGACACTCCTTCCGTATTCTTAAAAAAAAAAGGAAAAGAAAAACTACTCGCTATGCCCTAAATTCCCAATAATATACTCCATGCCCATGGACGGCCATATCCCCAAGACGCTAAATGCTCTTCGCTCACAAAATCAATCAAACGCCCCAGACATCTCCCCCAAGACAAAATTACTAATGACTGGTCCCTACTCCCTCTTATCGCTCGGCTGCTGCGACCTCTGGCACGGCCGCCACCCCTTCTCAGCCGCGTCGCAGGCCTTGCGCTCCGCCTCATCCTCCTTCCTCTGCCGCTCGAGCGCAGCCTGGGCCAGGATCTCACGCCGGCTCATGCCCGCGCCGATATTCCCAGCGCCCCCGAGCACAAACTCGCCGCCCGTCCACCCGCCGTCGTCCTCGTGCTCGTCCTCCTCCCCGTCGGCCAGCCCCGCAACGGCATACCTCGACGTCTCGCCGACGGTGTGGCCGCCCGACTTCCAGTCCGCGGCGTCCACCTCCCGCTCGATCTGGCGGCACAGGTCCCAGAACTGCCGGTCGTGCGGGCCGTGCACGTTGTGCGCGAGCTCGTGGCACAGCGTCTTGCGGATGGTCTTGTAGTCGCGGTACCCGTCGTGGGCGTCGGTCCGCAGCCGCAGCTCAATGACCTCGCCCTGGTTGCGGTTGAGCCCGAGCGTCCTCGACGTGCCCTCGTGCGTGGCCTGCGTGTGCGCCAGCGGCTCCATCTCGGTCAGCAGCGACACGGTGAACCGGTGCTTCCGCATGGCGGCCCTGACGCCCGGGTCCTCCTTGAGCCGCAGCAGCAGCTTCTGGCTCGTCTCGGGGTGCGGCAGGCCCTGCAGCGGCCGGACCTGGAGAAAGGTGTACCTAGCGTCGTCGGGGGACCTGGGCCGGCTGCGCCGCTGCGCATGGTGCTTCATCTTGGCCTTTTGCGCGGCGCGCGCGGCGTTTCTCTGCGCGACCTTGGCCGACATGTCCTGGACGGCCTGGGCCTCGGCGGCGCCGCAGCCCAGGAGCGTCAGCGTCTTCCCTTGCAGGCTGGCGAGCGGCGTGTCGGGCTGCTTGAAGGGCGACTTGAGCAGGGGGCCCTTGGGCACGAGTATCTTTTGGTGCGCGACGGGGATGTCGAGCGTCGCCGCGATGTCGTCGAATAAGTCGGTCACGGTGGCGTCTTCTGCCAGCTCAAATGTGTAGTTGTGCTTGCGGTGGGACACGGTGATGGTGACCCAGCCCGACTCGGAGCCCGATGCGCAGCTCTCGTGTGCGTCGGTCATGGTTGTATTGGTAAAGGTCAAGTGTGGTTTCAAGAGCTTCCGAGGCGAGGTCACTGAGGTGGAGTGGTGATGTATAGGTCTTATATAGGAATGATTACAAATGCGGCAATGGGGTGCTTATGCTTTGCTTTGTAGTGTCTTTGGCGGTTCTGAAACAAGGGTCTGGTTGGGAATAACCCCGGGTGTAAAAGGTGGTATGACGACGTCTTGCTCAAGCAGGGGAGGCCGCCAAAACTGAATCTTTATACAAAGATGGGCTGCGTTCTTTGGGATTCCTTTGTTCTCATGCCGCCCATTTTATTACGCTAGGGGGGCGAGGATGGCCGGAGAATCGAAGCAAAGGCTAATTAATTTGTAATATATATGCCGATGACCGTGCGGGACGAGTTTAGCCGGCTGCGCCACATGCCCTTCTCGCTGGCAAAGGGAGGCGCATGACCGTGTGGCTTAGGTAAGATTCCCAGGCAGGTGCCAGTTGACCCCTAAAGGTTGGTAGGCCCGCTGTAATGAACGCTGCAATAGGGTGCATGTCCACTGTAATCTGGAATTTTTCGGAGCGTTGACGGAGTTAGGCTGCTTGTGGCCTTGTGAGCCGCTTGCGGCACCGCCAACTTCGCTTTGTCAGTCGGCACTGGGATAAATCAGGTGTTCAACGGTTCCATGTACCAAACAGACAGCCGAAACTCGATGCCAGCGATTTATTGCAGGTGGTGCAAATGCAAGGCAGCCCTGTCAGCGAATTGCTGCTGCTCAATTGACGGCTGTATTATATTTCAATACACCAGGTGTATGCCACGAATTTTTAAATTGAAACGTGTTTACAATACGCGCTCGCCATCTCCCCAAGATACTCAGGGCAAGTACATGCATGTACCAGCCCCATACCACGACTCTTCAACTTAATTCCGGACTAGTCCTGGACTTCTGGATCAATGACTGCATGTGCCCTGGCATCTGTGTGCTCCTGATTCTGAGACCTGTTGGCTACCAGCCATTTGTGGGCCCGATGAGCTCTCTAACCAGTCACCGTCCAGAGTCTTGCTCCTAAAAGCTAATAACGTACCCGCGTCGTGTCCTTTTTGATCGCACTACTCCGTACATGCTTAGTACTCGCTGGCCATCGAATTGAGCTCCCTTCTCCTGTTCGATTCATACAACCCTCGATTTCTCGAAACTAGCAATACCCATCGCGGACGGCAACATCCTCTTTCCTTCTCCAACCAGAAGAGTCCTTCACTTCCAATTGTTCAATCCGTGCGAATCCATCGACGCGCCTTCTGTCGCAAGTGCGCAACAGTCAAAATGGTCCTCAACGTATTCCGTATTGCTGGTGCGTCACCCGCCGCTGCTCGGCTCATCCTCCCTTGCGCTGCGCGATCCATCATGTAGACACAGAAATGGCAGCTAACTCTTCTCGCAGCGGATCTCTCGCATTTGGCGAGTATCCTAATCTTGCTACACAAGATGACCCAGCTTAACGTACAATTAACCCCCCTCCGCGCCCCTCGGAGACAACCACGACTCAGCCGAACGTGCCCCGTTACAACAGTCGCTAACATTCTGCAGAGCTGTTCTGGCATCTCGTTCAAATCACAAGCCCTCTACCTCTTTGTCTACGTGACGCGATATCTCGGTACGCTTCGAACTGCACTCCCTTCCCAGGGGCAACCTGCAGATGCTAACAAGCAACCTGTGCAGACCTTTTCTCGACCGAGAGTTTATACAACTTGGCCTTTAAGATCATGTTCATCGGATCCCAGGGATACATCATCTACCTCATGACCAACGCCTACAAGCCTACAAACGATCCCAACGTCGACACCTTCCGCGTCCAGTACCTCCTCGCTGGCGCCGCTGTGCTGGCCGTTCTGTTCCCTTACAAGTACACCTTTTCCGAAATCATGTGGGCCTTTTCCATCTGGCTGGAGTCTGTGGCCATCCTTCCCCAGCTCTTCATGCTTCAGAGAACTGGCGAGGCCGAAACCATCACAACGCACTACCTGTTCGCTCTGGGTAGCTACCGAGCCCTGTACATTCCCAACTGGATCTACCGATATTTCGTGGACACCCACTACAAGACTGATTGGATCGCCATCATTGCCGGCATCATTCAGACTGTCTTGTATAGTGACTTCTTCTACGTCTACTACACCAAGGTCCTCAAGGGCAAGAAGTTCAAGCTCCCTGTCTAAGTAGCCCACTAGCTGCATGGATATCCCTCAGTGAGGTTCAATCATGTTCGAGATATCTGGATCATCCACGACAATGCTTTCCGAACCAACTACACAGACATGGCGAATAAAGGCCATCTGTACAACAAGCTAACAATGCGTTGTTATTTTTTTGCGTTTTGTAAGCATGTACAGTGCTTCAGTCCGCAAATAGCATAAAAGAATTACGTTACTGCCGTTAAATGGCTGGCATGGTGGCGTTGAAGGCGAAAATACTGACATTTAGTGGTCGTGAGATTTGGCGTTTGCACGGCCAAGGTGTATATTGACCCTGGCGTGATGCTACGATAATAGAAGGAGACGATGTGTCTATGGAATATTAAAAGGGACGATGACAAGGGGCAGAAATGATGACCCGTCTTCACGGCACAGTCAGGCTAGTCCACCTTGTAGCTTAGCAAATAGTGACGCGAGGTGCATGCATCTTGTTTCGGAACATGTGAGCCGTGATTCGACATGTGAGGTGATGGCGGGAAGCTGACGCATAAAGACGCCACAAACGGCGATGCAAATATAAAAACCCAGCAAAATAATTCAAATCAGACTTTAAGCTCATACAATCCAAATTTATGAAGAAAACAGTGGTAGAGCCTTTCAATTCAAAGCCAGTTTTGAACCAGACAAATAGTGGAGTCACGTGATATCGCCTCGCATGACATCGTTCTTCGATCCCCTGCTTCCAAACATCAAAACCATCAACCACAAGTCAACCACGTCCAAGCTCGGCATCCCAAAAGCAAAATGACGAGCGAGGCGCCAGAGAATCCCAGTTCCCAGCCAGTCACTCAAAACGGGCAGGCGGAACAGCAGGAAATCCCCGATGGCCCAAATCCCCCGCCCGAGCTCCCGTCGGGGCAAGATCGACTGCCAACGCGAAAGGATACATCACTACGAGAGTTCTTGAACAAGATCGACGACTGCGCCCCCATTGTAAGTCGTTCCCAGACGCGGGGCCGCCGCCGCCCAATTCAATCGCGGCAGGTGACTGACCAAGCTCGCGACAGATTCCCGACGCCGTGACCAGCTACTACATGACCAAGGCGGGCCTCCCGCCGCCGCCGCAGACCGACGCCCGCCTGGCGCGGCTGCTCGCGCTGGCGACGCAAAAGTTCATCGCCGACATTGCCGCCGACGCGTACCAGTACAGCCGCATCCGCGCCTCGAGCAACACCAACAACCCGATGGGCACGCTCGGCGCGGCCGCTGGGTTCCCCATCCCCGGGCAACAGGCGGGCCAGCCTGGCAACAAGGACCAGGGGAAGGGGGCGCCGCTGGGGATCCAGCGCCCCGGGTACGGCGGCGGAGGGCAGGGCGGGAGCCAGAACAGGACGGTTCTGACCATGGAGGATCTGGGCATGGCGGTGGGGGAGTATGGCGTCAATGTGAAGCGGAGCGAGTTTTATCGCTAGATGGCGGAGCATGGGGTCTTGTACATTACTCTCGTCTCAGGACCGGCGTAGTCAACGGCTTGTTTTTTTGTTGTTGTTGTTTTTGCTTTGGAATTCGGGAGCTTGGCGTCTTGGAGGGCGGTTCAGCTAGATGATGGAGTGCTTGGCTCACGGCGTTGGTTTCTTTCATTGTCGGCACACGACGCAAGGGCATGGCAGAAATACAAGGAATTGCTGCTTATGAAATGAAAAAAAGAAAACACAGCTTCTACTAAACAAGGCTGGAGTGCATTGTGTTGTAATATTTGTCATTGCTCGCCATATTGTTACATGTCTTTTGTACAAGTCGCAGCAAATACCAGTCCGGCTCATCCCACCCCATGGTCTTACTTTCTGTCCCAGATGTTCGGCTTTCGAGTCCTGTCGCGCCAGTGGTCAGCATTGTCTCCCTCTCCCCCTTTCCAAACCCATTTAACGAAGCGAGGTGCAAACGTACGGTGAGAACTCGCCCAGCTTGTGTCCAACCATGTCCTCTGTTATCGTCACCTGGTGGTAGTCCTTGCCATTGTGAATCTCAAACTTGAGCCCGACAAAGTTGGGCAAAACGGTCGCCGAGCGGGCTTGTGTTCGCACGGGGGGGACTTTATCGCCTTGTTTCTTGGGGAATACAATCGGGAGCCTGGGGAACATTGCAAATCATTAGGGATACTGTTCGAGGGGGTGGTTTGCGGAAAATCGAGGTCGTGAAACGTACGGAACAAGGTGTGGTCCTGTGCGGTTGTAATCAGCAATTGGGCTTCCTTTTCGGCGGTTTTGGGGGGGCGTCGATGCGTACCTTTCCACACGGAGCGCTTCAACAGCGCTCGAGTGGCTTGCATTTTGGATCTGGGAGTCGGTGACTGCGCAGACTGTCAGTCGCGAGATAGGTGTGTCGGGGTGGACTGAGGTTGACCAAAAGTTGTATGTGGTCACGTGACTTTGATAGATGAACAGGCCGGACTTGCATGTAGTAACGGGTACGTAAATCGTCTGCAGTCTGCAGTCTGCCTCTTGGATTATTTGGGGTTTAGCCATGTGTACTTAGGTATATATCGGCGTACAATTCCTATATCATGTCGATTTTGGGTACTGGAATTGAGCAATGAAAACTACAGGGTATATTTGTGTTCGAGCCAGTTATGACGAAGTTACGTGTAGGTAGCGGCCTGCTGCAGAGGTGTCTTTGATGCATTGCTTACTTTTACGTTGGAAAATCCAACTTTGCAGCAAAGAATTTTTTTAAAAAAAAGAAAACTATAAAAAGATAAAATAAAGAATTAAACCGACTATTCATTACTCTGTCTTACACGCACTTTTGCAGGACGGTAATAACCTTTTGAGACGAATCATAAAAACAGGCATTTAAATTCCCGGGTAGGCATCTCACCATCACGTGGCGGTTCGACGGATGGGCGTTCCCCAGGCCAGTTCGCCTTGGTGGCTCTAGCGTCTCGAACGGCCCGCAGGCTACCAAATTATTGTGGACAGAATTCCGTCTCTAGTACGACAACGCATCCATCCGTCATTTTGCTATTTTGCATTTGCATCGGGGCAGCAGGGCATTCGAATTGTTTGCATGCCAGAATCTTGGCGATTTCCACCCAAATCAGCGTCGAATTTCATTGCCGAACCGGTTTCGTGTTGGACAGACACCAACGCTCCTTCTGCCGCTCCAGGAGCCCCTTCTGCCTGCCCGCCTTGCAGGAAGCGGCGTTGGATCGAATTCCGCCAGCCAGCCTGACCGACGGACGCGCACGCCCGTTTGCGCCGACATCAGGCAAAGTTTCGAAAAGCTCGCACGTTCCATAAGCGGATACACCGACGACAACTATCCCTACGCCTTCCACCTCCCCATCGATGCCTAGCGCTACAGCATCCGGGGCGAAGCCGGGCGGCGACTCGTCGGCTCGTTCCCGCGATCACAATCAAGGAAACCAGGGGCGAGCGTACACAGAGGATCAAAAGGCGGCCGTCATACGTATTCGGAAATGCAAGGGCACCGCATTTTACGACATCCTGGCACTGGAAAGCGTCAAGACGACCTGCACGGAAGCGGACATCAAGAAGGCCTATCGAAAACAGTCCCTTTTGACCCATCCGGATAAAAATGGCCACGAGCACGCCGACGAGGCCTTCAAGATGGTCAGCCGAGCGTTTGGCATCCTGGGCGACAAGGAGAAACGAGAAAAGTATGACAGGTTCGGCACCGACCCGGACAGCAGATTTGCCGCGGCACAGGCGCAGAATCCGTTTGCGGGATTTGCCTCGCGGCAGGCGTCGGGGGGCATGGGCCGCGGCGGCGCGGGCATGTGGGAGGAAGAGCTCAGCCCAGAGGAGATGTTTGCGAGGTTCTTTGGCGGCGGCGGCGGATTCGGCGGCGGCGGCCCGTTCGGAGGTGAGATACCGACATTGACCCCATGGTGCTTCGAGCCCGGAACAGCGTGTACTGACGGAGCAGCGTTCGACACAGGACCCCAGTTTGTCTTCAACCTCGGCGGCGGCCCTGGCATCCGGGTCCACCAGTTTGGCGGCGCGAGACCGAGGCGACGACCGCGGGAGGCGCAAGAGGCCGAGCAACAACAGGGCGGGCTGCAGAACCTGATGACTCTGCTGCCGATATTGATCTTCTTCATCTTGCCCATGCTCTCGTCCCTGTTTACGGGCGGGTCCTCGGGCTCCTCGGTTCCCATGCGATACGACGATCCCCAGCCGCCGTACACGGAGAGACGCTACACGCCCAACCACAAGGTCAAGTATTTTGTCAACCCCAAGGACGTCCAGTCGTTTAGCAAGTCCAAGCTCGCGCAGCTGGATCATACGGCCGAGGCCAATTTCATCCGCTTCCTGGACAATAAGTGCGAGCACGAAAATATTGCCCAGCGCCGCCTGCGGGAGGATGCCATGGGCTGGTTCTACGAGGACGTGGAGAAGATGGAACAGGCGAACCGGTATCCCAAGCCAAACTGTGACCGGTTGAGATCGTTGGGGTACAGACGGACATGAGACATGGTAGCCACCCCCTTTTTTTACAGCAAGACTATGAGCCAAGACAAGACGTAATTTTTTTCTCTCTCTCTGCACGATTCTACTCTTGTTTGTACAGACATGTAGCCTTTTCTTGTATTGAAACGAAGAGCTCGGAGTTTGGTGGGCTTATATTCTATTTTTATTATCTAGTTGGTTTCCGCATTGGCGATGGCCGAGCATAAATTGCATGGCATGACATGGCATGACGGGGGGGAGCGGATAATAAGCACGCGAGTGTCGCGGGACTAGAGAGGGGGTGCGTGTGCGAGTGCGTATGTAGACAATGGTGGTGTAGAAGGTTCAATGTTTCTTCCGTCCTGAATATGAGAATGTACTGGTGCTGGACTGTCTAATGTTGTAGGCGTAAGCATGGGGCATGCGTGACGGCACGAGGGTCGATGTGTCTCTGAAGACATGAAAGCACCAAGGCGGCAGATGGATTATCCACGTTTTGTTTCTTCATCCTCTATAGCCACACGAAGCCCACGCCGCCTATAGTATTGTTTTTTTTTAAAATGAAAAACGATGTGAAAATAATGGCGTCAAAGATTGCCGGTCCGAGAGTCAAGCCTCTATTCTATCCATGCCACGTTCCGGTATGCCGATTCTATAACGCGTCAACGTCTGGCGGAATGGCGCCCGTCTCCCGCGCCAGGCGCAGAACCTCGGTGACGACGGCCTTGACATCGGCCGTCTTGACGGGCAGGCGGTGGCCGGCATCCCACTCGACGAGGCGGGCAGTGGCGGGCATGCAGTAGCGCTCGAGCAGGCAGCGGTGCCTCTGGATGCCCGGGTCCTGCAGGCCGTGGACGTGCAGGGTGGGCAGGCGCAGGACGTGGAGGCCGCTCGGGGGCGCGCCGGGGTCCGGGTAGTCGGTGAAGTCGGTGCTGAAGGCGTCGGGGCTGGCGACGTGCGGCGGGGGCGGCGGCAGGCGCAGGTCGAGGTGCAGGACGGGGGCGCTGCCGGCCATCAGCACGGCGAAGCGGAAGGCGGTCCTGGCTCCACGCGAGCCAGCGGTAGAAGGGGGCGAAGTCGCCGTAGACGGTGACGATGTCGCGGTGCGGCCGGGACGTGTAGGGCGCGTCCATGAAGACGAAGCGGAACCGGTGGCCGAGCTGCGCGATGATGGCGCGGCACTGCAGCCGGAAGACGGTGCCGTTGACGCCGCCGCCGTGCAGGCACAGGATGCGGGGGAGGGAGAGCGTGTCGTCGACCGTCATTGTGTGTGCTGGCGATGTGTGGGCGTGGGAGGAGGAGGGGGAGGAGGATGATGATGATGGTGGTGAGTTTGCCTCGCTTCGGAGTTTCTTTCTCTCCTTTTTTTCTTTTTTTTTTTTTGGCACGCCGATGGGGGCCAGAGCAAGAATGCTGCGGCCGATGACAAAGGGTCAGAACGTGGCAGATAACGTGGTGGTCGGCGAGACGGTCTCGGAGTTTGGCGTGCATGACGCCATTGGTGCGGCGGTGCTGACGGCCGCACTCGGAGGAATTGTCAATCGAATGTTTCGTCTCTGCCAAGCGGGCGGCGGCTTTGTACTTGTTTCATGGCACTTGCCCATCTATCGTGTATCAGCGTCGCGGCCGACGGGGCAGCCTATTTGTAGACGAGCCGTGCCGCTATTTGGCCGGGATGAGTCTGGGTGATCAACAGGGTCCTGGCCTCCAACGGTCACGCCAAAGGCCAACTGCAAAGGCCCGGTGGCATTGATGCTGCGCCAGGCCGTCGAATCAATGTGCCCCCTCAGCCACACACAATGACATCAGTGGTGAGCGGCCGCCCGCGTGGCCCACCAGACGTCTAAGGCTGGGCCGATTGTTCAAGTTTCAAGTGACAAATGGCGACATATAACCCGCCGCTCGCCTTGCCTGGAACCAAATCACCCCAACGCACTTGTGCAATCGTATCGTCGTCGTGTAAAAACTCGCCGCCACCATGTCCAGCAATGAAAAGTCCGGCGAGAGTGCTGCCGAGCTCAGTGGCAACACCTACTACCCGCCGCCGCCGCCTGGCCCTCCTCCGTCACAGCAGGGTCCGCCTGAGCAGCAGCAGCAACAGCAGCAACATTTGCAGCAGCCTCTCGCTCAGCAGTATCAGCCGCATCCCCAGCAGCAGCCAGACCAGCAGCAGTATTTCCCTCCTCCACCAGGTCCGGCCGACGAGAAGCAGCCTCACGTGCAGCAGCAGCAGCAGCAGCAGCAACCATACTTTCCTCCGCCGCCGCCAGCTCCACATGCAGTCGATGAGACGCAGTCTCACCAGCAGCATCAACAGCAGCAACAGCATCAACAGCAGCAACAGCAGCCCTCCTTCCCCCCTCCGCCGCCCGCTTCGGCCGATGACAAGCAGTCTTACCAGCAGCAGCAGAGCGCATATGCCATACCAGCATACAATCCCGCCAATCCAGCCTTTGCCCCGCCCCCGACAGCTCAACATGACGCCCAAACACCGACGGGGCATCCAGGTCCGGCATCGTCGTACGCTCACCAGCAACCACAACAGCCTCAACACCAGCAGCCGCCGCAGCAGCAACCCTCACAAACTGCTCCCAAAAAGTCCGGCTGGGGCGATCGCTTCAAGCACTTTGTTAGTGCCGGAGCTGCCGCTCCCATCAACAGCCTTGCCCACAAGCTCGGCAGCCAAAGCTTCTTGCCCGAGACCCTGGACAAAGAATGCGACAAGTCAGCCGCCATCCTGAGATCTTTCTGCAGTATGTACAACACAAAGAAGCACCTGGCCCGTTCCAAAACTAACACACACATTCCCGCAGCCAAAGGTGTCTATGCTGACCCCGGGGCCGGCCAACCCCCAACCTCTACCGATCCGAAAGCCCACGAGTCTAGCAGCGGCGTCATTGACCCGACCAAGGAGAAGCCCAAGAACCGCGTCATTGTCACCATCCCGCCCAAGGTTATTTCCAAAGCAGTCGGCCTCGCCATCTTCACCACTCTCCGTGCTGGCTTCCAGGTCTCTGGCGCCACGGGCTCTGGCGTCCTGATTGCGCGGCTGCCCGATGGATCGTGGAGCCCGCCCTCGGGCATCCAGGTGCACTCCGTCGGCGGAGGCTTCCAGATCGGCCTCGACATTTACGACTGCGTCTGCGTCATCAACAGCAGGGAGGCCCTTGCCGCATTCATGAACACCCGCGTTAGCCTCGGGAGCGACTTGGCCGTCGTGGCCGGGCCCTATGGTGCCGGGGGCGCCGTGGATTTCGGCACCGCCGTGCAGCGCGGGAGAGACGACAAGGACAGCAAGGCCACCGCGGCTTCGGACGCGCAGCCCGCAGCCGCCGAAGCCCAGCCCTCGAGTGCGCTCAAGCCCGACGCGGGGGCGGCGTCCAAGGACTCGAAGCGCCGGAGTCTCAGTACCAGCGCCTTCAAGCCCGTCTTCTCGTACGTCAAGTCGAGGGGGTTCTATGCCGGCATCCAGGTCGACGGCACCGTCGTCGTGGAGCGCAAGGACGCCAACGCCTCGTTTTACGGAGCTCCCGTCACGGTGCAGCAGATCCTGCAGGGACAAGTTCCTCCCCAGGGGCCTCGGGACATGTGGCCCGTTGGCGCTCGCGCGCTGCTCGAGACGCTCCGCGGTGCTGAGGCGGGAGCCCTGGGTCACCACTCGTCTGCATCTGCATCTGCATCTGCATCTGGGGCGGCAGGTCATCCGGGGTCTGGAGCTGTGCCCTGGGCGAATGCGCCGCCTGCGGGTGCTGCACCCGGTGAGGCTTCGTCTGGTGCGCCGCCGGCGTATGTAGATGATGGGAGTCATGCGCATGTTGGCGATGCCAAGTATGCGTAGTGGGTGTGGCGTTTGCAAGCCAGGAAAAAGGGAGAAAAGGGAAAAAAAGGCAATCAAGTAATGAAAGCGCGTCCGGTAACAGTAACAGAAACTCATGTATACCATTTTTGTTGACACTCTGTGGTTTTCGGCCGTGACTGCGGCGACACTCTTGTAGATGCCTTTAGCATGGCTACATGGGTAGCTTGAAGTACAGGATACCCGGTTAGTAACTTACACTTTGCACCGTGCTCCTGCTTCAACCAAGACGCCACAAGTGCAGACGAATGTCACCCATGCGTGAGCTGGTCTCGGCGTGGCATCTGTGGACGTGGGGTAACATGAACTCCAAGTTGCGAAGCGACCAGCATCACGAAGGCGGGGTAATTATTACAAGTCACTTCTCGAATGTTACCCCCGCAGGACTGTAATGTTGCATTGTGTCGGGAAAGGTGTCTGGTGCTTTGGATATATATGTTTTGACAGCCAATGTCCCGAAAACCCGTCTCGTTGCTCACTTTCCCCCCCCCACGACGAGACCTCAGCTCCGACGGAAGCAAAAGCTCGTGCGACAAGTAACCCTAACCCTCATGGACCAGTACGCCATATATCCCAGCCTCCGCGGCAAAGTGGTCCTGATCACCGGCGCCGCAGAGGGCATCGGCGCCGCGGCTGTGGAGCTCTTCTGCCGACAGGGCTCGCAGGTCGTCTTCCTGGACATTGCGGACGACTCGGCGCGCGAGCTGGTGGACCGGCTGGCGTCGGTGTCTGGCGCCACGACGCCGACCTTTATGCACTGCGACGTGACGGACCTCGAGGGGCTCGGCGAGTGCGCGCAGACGGCGCTCGCGCGGTTCGGCCGCGTCGACGTGCTCGTCAACAACGCCGGGTGCGCCGGGCCCGGGTCGCGCGTGCCCACGAGCCGGGTGACGCCGGCGTCGTTTGAGCGCGACGTCAACGTCAACCTGCGGCACCAGTTCTTCCTGACGCAGCACGTCGCGCCGGCCATGCAGCGCCAGGGCGGCGGCAGCATCATCAACATGGGCTCCATCACCTGGCGCATCCCCGCGACCGAGGTGCCCGTCTACACGACCTGCAAGGCCGCCGTCGTCGGCATGACCCGGACGCACGCCCGCGAGTTTGGAGGCCACGGCGTCCGCGTCAACAGCATCATGCCGGGGTCCATTGCTACGCGGCGCCAGATCGACACCGTGCTCACCGACGAGTACAGGGCCGAGAGCCTGGCCGCACAGTGTCTGAAGCGCGTCCTGCTGCCCGTTGAGGTTGCTAGGCTGATGCTGTTCCTGGCGTCGGATGACTCGAGTGCCATTACTGGTGGGAGCCACGTGTGCGACGGGGGGTGGGTTGGTGATACTTGAGCATCATCAATCGAGAAGAGCGCACTTGCAAGTTGTGCGGATGGATGTGGTCACTGGTGGGCGAGGGGCTCTCGTTGTGTCGGGTCGTGTCTGCAAAGCTCTTGGGGCGAAATGTAAGAATGAAAAAATGAGAGGAAATAATATGAATAATTAAATTGAAATACGAATAAATAAACACATTTGATACTATATGAAATGAAAATAGATAGCCAATACTTCTCGTTCCTTGTGCCTGGCAGGTGACAGTGACGTCAGAGCTGGTTAGCTAGTCGATGCTGACTCACCATGCTGTGCCCCTCCATCATCAAACAGCCCCGACTTGACCAAGAAACAACAACAGACCAATCTTTCATGCACGCCTGGTCGGGTCGACATCTCGCGTTCCCTGCAACAACGCCCTCTGCGCCCCATGACTCAAGGCAAGATAAAAATGCGCGACAGTAGCATGTACGCATAGGCTGCGCATCCAGGACCTCGAATTTCCCACAATGGCGACGTGAGTTGAACCCTGACAAGCCGACCACGAGACTGAGCTGGCGTCACATCCCGTACCGGAAAACACAGGCACAGGCACAGGCACAGGTGCAGCATCGTTGCTAACAGTCGTGGTACTAGCACCGGCAGCATATTGTCGCTGCCTTTTCGGCGATCGACGCAGCTATCTCTCGCCTCCGTCATCCGGCAGTACATCAACAGCAAGTATGACCAGCATCCAGACATGTTCAAACAGGACCTCGAGGTCATCGATGCGCTGCGCCAAGATGCCATCAATGTTCGCGAGCCACATCCAAGCGGTATCAAGAAGCTCCAAGCTTATGCAGGACAATTGGCTTGGATATCAGGAAAGTTTCCAATCGATGTACGTCGTCGCATCCCCGCATCCTGCTCCTTCTGAGCGCCGCTGACAACGAGCCCCTCGTCCCCATCGCGACAGATTGGTGCGGAATTCACCTGGTATCCCGCCCTAGGGTACAACACGGAGCGGCCCATGGTGCGAAACAACATCAAGTACGAGCTCCTCAACGTCCTTTACAACTTGGCAGCCCTGTACTCGCAGCTCGCGGTCAACACGTCCCGAGGGACGGCCGAAGGCATCAAAACCGCCGCCAACCAGTTTTCGCTCGCCGCCGGAGTGCTTTCTCACATGAAGAAAGAAGTCGTGCCCTTGCTTCGCATGTACGACCCCCCCGAGGACATGGACGAACACACCTTGGAATCCCTGATGCAGTTATTTCTTGCACAGAGCCAAGAGTGCTTTTGGCAGAAAGCTGTTGTCGACGGGTACAAGGATGCATCAATAGCAAAGCTAGCTGCTAGAGTATCCGACCTGTATAATTTGGCCGGCGAGGCAGCCATGAAGAGCGAAGCCATAAGCAGCGCCTGGATTCACCACATGACTGCAAAACACCACCATTTTGCTGCAGCAGCGCAGTACCGTGCTGCGTGTGACTGCCTTGAAAAGAGGAGGTATGGCGAGGAGGTTGCTAGACTAACAGACGCAGTTGCGTGCGTGACGGAAGGTCTTAAGGAGACCAAAGGCGGCTATCTCAACAAGACTGTTGTCGACGACCTGAACGGGCTCAAGAGAAAGGTGGAGGAGGATCTTAAGCGAGCCGAAAAGGACAATGACATGATCTTCTTGAGTCAGTGAAAAAAAAAACCCGTCGCTTTTACTAACCCCAGGGGGCGCGTAAGCAAGTAGGCTAACACTATTTAGATCCCGTCCCTCCGAAATCAGAGCTCAAGATGCTGGAGAGAGCCAACATGGCGGTTGCTCGTGTGCCGCCTCAAGTGGCAAACCCATTTGACTTCCTTGGCGACCGAGCAGAGTTCGGCCCTGCGTTGTTTTCAAGGCTGGTGCCCTTTTCCGTTCATGTCGCCATCTCCATATACGAAGAGCGTCGCGATCGGATGGTCAACCAAAACATCATCCAGGACCTGGAAGGTCTCAACGACAAAATTCACTCCTTGTTCAGCGCCATCGGCCTCCCTGGCTCGCTCCAGGCGTTGGAAAAGCCTCTTGGCTTACCCCCAAGTCTAGTACAGCATGCCGAGGAATTGAGACAAGCAGACGCGATAGGTCGACTCCGAAAGAGCTTTACGGACATTGATAAGCTACGGGCTGCAGATATCGCCATCTTCGAGGAAGGGACGTCGGCCCTGGCGGCTGAAAGGGAAGAGGACCAGAAGGCGAGGAGGAAGTATGGCACCGATCGGTGGTCGCGGCCCGAGAGCCAGAGTGACGCCCAAGGCGGAAAGTTGTGGGGACATGCCGACGAAATTGAAGGATATTTTGCGAGCAGCGCCAGCAGCGATGGTGTCGTGCGAGAAAAGTTCGCTGCCAACGAGGAGCTACTACATGTCTTGTGCGGATCGGACAGGGGCCTGATGGATTTCGTGCCGTCAAGCTCTCAACGGGACACGAATCCTGAGCTCAAGGCATCTGTCGGCAAACTGCGAAGCGCATACAACGATATCCTACGACTGGAAAGCAGAAGAAGAAAAAAGGTTGAGACACTGCGAGAAAATGCGCGCAAAGACGACATCAAGCCGGATATCCTCAAAGAAGCTGCCAGGTTGGAGAGAACGTACCCCTCGACTGCGATTGTTCCGGCTCACTTTGAAGACTTTTTCGAAAAGCGTCTGGATCGTTTATATGAGCCAGAGCTGGACGCCCTGGATAAAGAATCGCTCGAACAGGACAGACTATTGAAAGAAGTGGAACGGGCAAACGCAGAATTCGAGTCCCAGAAACGCAGATGTGGAGACCGAGGCTCTCGAGAGCGAGAACAGGCGTTGCAGAAGCTGGACAGCGCATATTTCAAGTACAAGGAAATCATCAACAACCTGGAAGTTGGCAGGAAATTCTACAATGACCTCAACAAGATTGTTGGACAGGGCTTTCGAGATGTTGTCAAGGGCTGGGTGGCACAGCGGCGTATGGAGGCCAGGGTGCTGGAAGAGTAAGTTTACCATCTATCCTTTTTGCGTCGTCGGGTTGTGCATAGTTTTTTGCTTGCTGACCAGCCTCCCAGAGAACTGAGCATGCCGCCACTTTCAACACTCAACTTGTCGCGCGACCACGCCCCTCTGCAAGGTGCTTCCACAACACAGTATCAAGCAGCGCAGCCGGCTTACTTTGCGCCCGAGCCGGTTGCGCAGCACCATCAAACATCGCCCCAAAGACAAAATGACCATGCAGCAGGGCAGTCGACACCCAACCCGGTCGAAGCCTCCATACAGTCTTGGGCTGGTGAAGCGGTACGGCAGCCACAGCCGGTGGCACCGCAGACAACGAATCCAATGACGACAATGTGGAATCCAGCCATGGGGATCAAGTTTGGCGGCAGTGGTCCGCCGGCACCGAGGACTGATGGTGGGCAACAGCCAGGCGGTGGATCAGCAACAACTTGGAATCCCGCGTCGGGAGTCAAGTTTGGCTGATGTGATGACATGTAGCGTCGGTAATCGGCGCATGTGTAATCTGAGATGACTGGGCAGGCGGACACTGTAGATGGGCATGTAGTCCAAAATCGGGTTGCCAAATTTAGACAAGATGTAGCGCGCCTAGCGGGCATTATATGTTGAACTGACGGAAGTAATCTCGTCCGATTGGGGACTGCCCGTGAGGACTTAGAAGACATGATAATTAGTCTGCCATCGAGACGGTCAACGGGTGAAATGCGGGCATCTACAACCAAGAGGTACAAGGTTCAATAACAGGCATGTAGAATTCCCTGTTGCTTGGTGTGGTTAAACCGTGAAAACACTAGCCTCTTTTTGGTTATTGTAAAGTTCGGTAGTATTTCCGCCTATCCTTGGCATTGTCCTTTTGCCAAGTGCAGGGTGCCTAAATGACAACTGCTTTTTATGGGTCTGCGGTCTGTGACGATGGATTGAGTATTTTAAACTACAACGCTAACGGCATCATGGCCTTTTAAATCCTTGCATTCGGGCCCACCGACTTCTTATTTACAATGGCCTTGATAACTGCGATTATGATATCCAGTAACTGCGCTGTTTCGACCAGTATGTACAAGCAGCATGTGACTGGACCTTGATAACTGGGATTACGCTGATACCATAATAATAACGTATACTACTAATAGATAGTGGGAGCCAAGTACGATACCTACGTAGGCAACTATTATACTACGACCCGGTACGACAAGACACCGGTGATAATGGCGTCATAAAAAGTCGAACCTGACAAGATCAACAAAAGACTCGACTTGCAGATATCTTTCACCAAGTAAGTATATCTGAACATATAAAATACCTTGATTACCCATGTTCCACGGTATTGGCACGCAAAACATAAAATCGGCCGTAGCTCCGCGTGTTTCTGTTGGTCCAAAGGTGATGAGTAAGGCTGTTGGTCACGACGGTTGCTTTTCCTAGAGCTCAAATCAGTGCTCGGTTAAGCGTCACAGCAGGGGTCTTCAGGGGTTCCAGCAGGGTATACTCGGTGAAAAGGGCCAATTTCCCGGATTTTCAGGGCCTCCAACCAAGTGCTGCAGTCGTCGTCAATAGCAGAACATTTGCTCCATCAAGGCGCCCGAGCCTCCTGAAAGAACTTGATTCCGCCGTGTACGGAGTACATTACCGTTGTTTCCCCACAGGTTCCAGGGCGACTCCGGTGTCATGACAGCTACACAGGGATTAGAAAATGGAGAAAGAACCCCTGTCAATGTCGGGACCCTGAATCAAATGATTCACGGTGTCGTCAATCATGTTGAGAATTCTGAATGCTTCTTTGCGAGAGTGATGCTGCGCGAATGAGCAATGCGAAACCTTGTCGAGGGTAGTGAACGTACCGGTTCCCGATCCGAGTTTATCCTCCTCAACGAATGTGGCAGAATACGGGGAACTTCTACTTTGCTGAATGGTTGACCTTTGAGGGGCTGGCCGTCTTCGTCCTGGGCGTCATGCTCAGATTTCCTCAGGCGCTTCATCGCCAGACTGCTATCGAATCTACGCGATAGGACGCAGCGATTGTCACGTCCGAGGCAGGCGTCGCCAAGTGTCTCCTGTCCGTCTGTTGTACTGCTACGGCTCTGACCGCTGGCCGGCGTGCTCGGAGTGGAATAGTTATAGACCGCCTGAGAGAGTTGCTTTGCCTTTTTCGCTGATGCCTTTACTCAAGGGTGTCCGCGTGTATCCCAGCTCTGCTAAAAAGGCAAGGCAAGGCTCACGGGGCAAAAAGAAGTTGTCAATCAAGTAGTCTGCAAACTCCACCACTTTCTCCCGTATTCGATGCTCCGTCTCATTGTCCGACAAGTCGACTTCATCTTGTTCCTGTATTGACGAGCCAATGGCGTTGAAAACGGCCTGGAGAAAATGATGCTTGGATTGTCCGGGTATGGCAAATTCGTGCATTAGGCCAAGTAGTTTCGGATAGTTGTATTGGCCACCAGGAAGGGTGGGTTGATTACAATCCAACCCTTGTATGATTAACCACCCGTGACCTGACAAGGTTAATAGAGCAAGGTCCCCTGGCTGTATCGGCGCTCCAGCTACTAATCGTGGGTGGCTGTTAAGTGGCATAGCAGGGATTAATAAGGATACACAAGCCTTCTTATTTTTTCCCTTAAAATTTAGGTATTTATTTCCCCTACCTTTTAACTCTTTATTAGCTGTATCCCCCCTGTGAGGTCACGGGTGGTTAATCATACAAGGGTTAGATTGTATTCTCGTAGTGTATTGCAATTCGGTAAAACCTTTGTTCTGCGACCCCCCGGTCGTCATGCTCCATGGGTACGGTGGTGGGGTGCCGATGCCGTGTCACGGAGATGGTTGCAAAGCATTAAAACTTGCATGTCGTGGTTGCTTGAAGGATGCGGGGTGCTTTTGTGCGCGACGCTAGGCTGTTTTTGACCAGGCGGCGCTGGGGCAGTGGACCCGCCCTGACAATGAGTTTGCATGTGATGTCGCACCGCACGACCATGGCGAGGAACAATAGCAGACAATTCCTAACTTGACGACGACACACCCGTGGCCCGACTTTGAAGTTATTGTTGTCCGCCCAGCCATGTTATTGTCTCAAGACGCAGGCAGCAGAGCACACCCCCTTCTATTCTCGGCAGCTGCTTCAATCCTGTGGCTCAGCCCTTTCTCACGCATGCGCGCCAACCAGGGCTTCCAAATCCCGCCACATCACGTCAATCGCCGTGTGAGCATTGTGTGAATAGAGCTTGAAAGGAGCTTGCGGGGCCCGGCACAGCCAGCTCTCGAAAATGGTCAAGTCCAATTTGCGTTTGGCCTCCCACCGCGCTTGGCAGCGAAAGCTCCTACTTGATGCGAGGCCACATGACATGCTGCTGCTGCGTGTTTGCTTCGTCGCGGCCGGGGGCATCAAAGTTGGCTACTATTGAAACGGCCAATATGAAGCCCGGAGCCTGGACTACTGCCAAGTCACCGCTGCAGGCTGGAAATCGTCATGGCTTGTGAAAAGGCCACACGGAGGCTTGTGCGAGCGAGGGCGCACGGAAGACGCAGCGAGCTTCGACATGTCTGCCGTTTTTCAATACACTCACTCCACGAGGGTCAATCCAAGCTCATACTTGACCCTTTGCAGGTTGAGCTGCGGTGCCCCCTACGGCAGTGAGTGCGCATTGACTTTGTGGCATCATCATGTCGGCTGGCTGCTTCACGGGCGGCGGTGATTTAAAAACGGGCGAGGCCGTAATCCATACGCGAAAACACGTCGGTTCGTTTGGCCCGGTTGGATATTCGTACGAATCTCGCCTCGCAACGTAAACAAGTCCATGCGCACCCTTCCCAGTGTCTGACTGTCCTTTCCACAAGTGACGGTCGAGTATACTCTTCCCCGACAACATCTTCCCAGCAAGACTCCAAAAATACCTTGTCAAACCATGGCTATACCGACCTCGGGCGTCCTCTTGTTCCTTCTACTGGCCACTCCAGTCTACGTCCTTTCGTTGGTCGTGTATCGCCTATACCTGCACCCTCTGGCGAAAATCCCGGGGCCCAAGCTGGCCGCGGCGACGAGCTGGTACGAGTTCTACTACGATGTAGTCGGCCGAGGGGTATTTTGCTGGGAGATTAAGCGGATGCATGATGAATACGGTACGGCGCTCCGGTCGAAACCCCAGACATGCGCGCCGGGCAACGTGACGGCGATGCCCCGGGCGACTTACACGCGTGGTGTCAATGGTTCCCCCTTGCAACCAGTCAACTAAGCAGCCGTGGCAAAAACAGGCCCCATTGTGCGAATCAACCCCAACGAGGTGCACATCCTCGACACCGGCTTCTACGACGAGATTTACGCGCCGGCCTCGAAGAAGCGCGACAAGTACGCCGACTACGTCGTCTTCCTGGGCGTGCCGACGGGCGCCTTCGCGACGTGCCCGCACGACCACCACCGCCTCCGCCGCAAGGCGCTCAACGTGTCCTTTTCCAAAAAGGCCATTTACGAGATTGAGCCCCTGATCCAGGCCAAGGTCGACCTCCTCTGCGGCCGGTTCGGGGACGTGGCCGGCGGGGACAGGGTGGTGCGCCTCGACGCCGCCTTCTTCGCCCTCGCCAACGACATCATCACCGAGTACAGCTTCGGCGAGGGCTACGACTGCCTCGGCAAGGATGACTTCCAGGAGAGCTTCAAGGGGGTGCTGCTGACGGCCGTCGAGGCCGGCGCCTTCATCCGGCAGTTCCCGTGGGTCGTGGGCGTGGTCAAGGCCCTCCCCTTGCTGGTGCTGCGCCGCGTCAGCGCCGCGTTTGCCAGCCTCTTGGAGTGGGAGGCCATTGTCAACAAGAGGGTCGAGACGCTGGTCGCGGCGGCGCGCGCGGGCAAGCCCCTCGCCGACAGGTCCGTCTTCTCGACGCTGCTGCGCGGCGACCTGCCGCCCGGGGAGAAGTCGTTTCAGCGCCTGATTGACGAGGGAAAGTCGCTCATGGGCGCGGGCAGCGAGACCACCTCGTGGACTTTGACGCTGCTCATGTGGTATGTGGCGCGGGACGCGCGGATCCTTTCCAGGTTGAGGGAGGACCTGAGAGACATGCCTGACGGTGTGGCCGCGTCGTCGCTGCTCAAGTGGCTGGAGCAGAGGCGATATCTGGTACGTTGGTCATGGGCCCCCCTGGCGATGAGAAATGCTGCTTACACGTGCGTTGTGTAGAGTGCCGTGGTTACGGAGGCGCTGCGGTTCGACCACGGCGCCATTGGGCGGTTGCCGCGTATTGCGAATGAGCCGCTGCGGTACAAGGACCATGTCATACCGGCTGGGGTGAGTTGCGGAAATTTGCGAATGGGAATGGGAGGGAGCTAATTGCCTGACTAGACGCCGCTGAGCTCGACCAACTACTGGGTTCACATGGACGAGACGATTTTCCCGGACCCGGCCACGTTTTCTCCCGAGAGGTGGCTCCAGGCGGAGAGGGAGGGATTCCCCCTCCAGAAGTACATGGTGTCCTTTTCAAAGGGCAGCCGCCAATGCGTTGGCCAAAAGTGAGTCTGGCTGGTGTAAGCATGTCTTGGAATAGACGCTGACGTGGGGAGTAGTCTTGCGACGGCGGAGTTGTACCTGACGGCGGCGGCGCTGGTGACACGCTTCGATTTCGAGTTTGCCGGCACCACGGAGCAGGACATCCTGCCGGCCCGCGACTGTTTTATTCCACGGCCCGTGGTTGGTTCACCCGGTGTGTATGCCAAGATCAGGGGATTGGACAGGGAAAAGAAGATGGCTTCTAATTCGTAATGAGGGCGTTGAGGGCGTTGGCCGACGGCACGGGGGAGATCAATGTGTTGAAAATATGTTCCACGCTTGCAATGTCAAAGGTCAGGAGCTGCCTCAAGACACAGTTTGATACTATATACTATATACCCTAATGAAAATGAAGCAAGTCGACAACGAGTCAATCTCTGCCATTACAAAATATATTACATTACAAACGTTCACTTCGTATCCCTATTACTGCTTTTATTACATCACAAAGTGCCGTACGACAGAATAATGGCGTCAACCGTGTGGTAGGCAATATACGGCAGCGACATGCTCAGCCGGCCGTACGCAATGGCAAACTTGTACACCTCGGCGGTGATGCCGCCCTTGCCGCCAAGAAACTCGCCAGCCTGCCGGAACAGAGCGTCCGACTCGTCGTCAAACCTGCGGCCCCAGCCCGGCTTCTTGTCAGGGTCCAGGAGCCGGCCGTGCCACAGGTCGTGGATGCGGCGCACAATGTCGGCCAGCTCGTCCTGCACGCCGAGCGTCCTGCTCAGCCGTCCGGGCTCCTGGCTCCCCTCCACCATGTCAAAGTAGCTGTCGAAGAAGGCGTTGTAGGGCGCGTCCGGCAGCGGCGCCCGGCGGACAGCCCGGCCCAGCGCCTCGACGAGCAGCTCGTCGAGGCCGGCCTCTGTGATCTGGCTCTTGGCGCGGCGGAGGATGGCCCAGGTCCAGCGCCAAAAGTCGGGGTACCTGGAGATATACGCCTCGAGCACCTCGAAGATGCGGCGGTGGCGGGCGCGGCAGAAGCTGTAGGGCGGCGAGGTGGCGGCGATGCGGCCGTCCTCGCGGCCCCCGAAGCGGGCGAGCTTGTGGCCGCGGAACAGCTCGCACAGCATGCCCGAGAGCACCGTGGCCATGGTGGCCATGGCCGCGTCGAGGCCCTGGCCGCTGGGGTACAGCAGGCGCAGGAGGTTGCGCGTCTCGCCCGTGTAGATGTCCGTGTGCAGGTCCATGACGTCGTTGGGCACGGCGGACCCGACGAGGGCGTCCATGCCGGCGTTGTCCAGGTACGCGGCGCCGTCGCTGCACATGTACGCCGAGCCGATGGTGTCGAAGCCGCGGGCGGCCATGAGCAGCCGCGGATCCAGGCCCGTCTCGATGTGCGACACGCGCGGGGTCGTAAAGGCGCGCGAGTTCTCGAGCCTGTTCATGGCGGCGAGGTAGGCGAGCGAGACGCGCCAGAAGGACCGGTCCTGGCCGGACAGCCGGTCGTCGAGGTTGGGCACGGAGGCGCGCGCGCGCTCCTCGAAGGCCCGGAAGCGCTCGCTGTAGACGTTCTTGCCCCGGGCCCAGTCGACGCCCGTCAGCGCCGAGTAGACGTAGTTCTCCTGGCGCGAGTCCGTCTCGAGCCCGAACGACTGGCACATCATGAGGTAGAAGGGGAACTGGGAGATGATGGGCGGGTCGCACACCAGGCCCGTGAGCAGCCTGCCCCAGGGCGCAAAGTGCTCGTCGTGGGCGGCCTGGGACGAGTGGAATTCAGGCTGCATGTCGCCCGTGTTGCCGTTGCGCGTCGCGGCGAGGAGGATCTGGCCGCCGACCTCGAGCGTCACCTGGTACGTCAGCTCGACGAGGTCGAGGTCGTGGAGGCCGGAGCCGGCGGCGCGCTCCGTGTCGAGGACCTCGTGCAGCTCGGCGCCAAACGGCCGCACCAGGTCCATGCATTCCCTCGAGGGGCGGTAGTTGGAGAAGGCGTCCAGCACCCAGCCGGCGAGTTGCGATGTAAGTGGGTAGTGGCCGATCCGGCGCTTCGGATGCGCCGCCGGCGGACACGGGACGAGGCGAATCTTGCTCTGGCTCCAGGGCCGGCCGTAAAAGGGCTCCCGGTAGCATACGTCGTCGTCGTCGGCGCAGAGGGCGTCGCGACGGGGATGGAGGCCGCCCGACTTGAGACAGCGCAGGCCCGGCCCCGTGTACCGCATCTTGCGGGTGTTGATGACGCCGACCGTCTCCATGTCTGTCTGAGACGCACTGCTGACGGCGAGATTAGGTGATGAGACAAAGAGGAAGGAGTATATACACCATAGGATGTAGGCAGGGTCGAACAGGGACCATGGCCGAGATGGTATGTTGCCGGTGAAGATTCTTGAACCAGACATCAATGACACGGGCCATGGAACGCTGCTACGAGAGTTTTAAATATCTCTGGCCGTGTCCTCCAATGTCGTGTGGCTTCACGGCGTCGTCGTAGTGCGGATCGAGCTTGATTCTACAGCTCCCGAGTCTTGTTGAAATATAAGAGGCCTTCCAATGCTGTCTGTGGGCCGATTTGCCGGCTCCTTCGTCCTTGGTGGCTGTGATACAGCGACGCCTCGGCCAGACAATGACTTTTGGCTGGATTTTGTCTGCGCAATGCCTCGTCTCCGTCAACCCGGTCGTGTCCTCATAGGGGGCCTTGCAAAGACCAAACCACCCCCCGGCGACCGTTTATTAGTCGGGCTGGTGGGCATGGGTGAATGGGACAATTCTTCCACCTGCTTCCCGTTTCATTGGCTCGGTATATCCAGTCCTGCCCGGGGAATTGCTGCTCACCTCGGCGCCCAGGCCGCCTCCTCGGCGAGAGGGGTGTCCGTACCGATGCGAGATGTCATGTCTGGTGCGCAACGGCGGCGGTGCAGGAACCGGAGGGGGACATGGAGGCAGTCGACGCCAGGCAGCCTCGATCGAGACTCCAGCCCTGCGCCGGCTCAAGGCCCCGTCAAGTCCGTCAAGGACCATGTGGCGTTTTGCCCATGTGTCGAGTTGAAGCTCTCCACCGTCCACGGCGGCGGCAACACGCCGAGGGAGTCCTTCAATGTTGTCTTGGGCGTCGCCGCAGCACAACGTGGCCCGCGGCCAGGAAATAGCACCGGAGCGAAAAAAAGCATGGCGTCCATGGTCTGCGCCCGCTGATTTTTAATCTCTTGCAAATTTGGCCCGGCGGTGGCACATGGAGCGTCCGCCGGGGCGCCTCGGTGATCTGTGCCCTATTCACGCCCTCGACAATAGCAACGCACAATGCTTGCTGCGATATCTTCACCCGCCGCCGTGCAAGCCCAGCGTCTTTTGTCGATTTGATTGTCATGGACAAAGGACAATCTGTGCGCTTGGTGGCGTGTGCCCTGCGCCGTCGCGTCCTCCTCAACCACTTGCATCCATGGGTGCCAAGACCACTTTGTGCGTGACCATTCGTGGGAAACGTTGCGTCTTTTCTCGTGTGAATTCTTGCTCGCTTGTTTCATCAAAACCGGTTTCTTTGTTTTGATTAATTTTTTTTTGGGGAACCAAGTAGGCAATGAGCAACTATTGCTTGTTCCTCGCGCGCCATGTGGCAACATTGGTTGAGGTGGTTCAAGTAATGTACGGCAGAAACTAGCGAGGGCTTGCTGAATCCAATCTCATCATTAGTGACTCCAGATTTCCCTTTTGTAGTTGTAGCTGGTTGTGGATGGAAAGACGGATAGACAACTCATAGCGAAACACGGTATGCGCCGGACGGGGGCGCCTTATCAACAACCACATGCAGTCTGTGCCTATAAGCCAATCAAATAGCAGGTGTAAATACGTTGGAATTCATTTTCCTCTTTGGTAAAAGTTGGGAATATGTACATGAAGTGCCTCTATATACATGCGAGTAGAAGGGTGTGATGAATATGTCCGTAGAGCGAAATGAGAACAACACGTCAATGTGTCCAAGCATCATACGCCAGGGCAGCAGCCACTGATTCCTGCATGGCTTTGCCTTTGCCATGTTATGTGCGTCATAAGACCCGGTTGTGAGACAAGACGCGCCGCGCCGCGCTCCCTGGTCGACGTCTACGCTCCATGTCTTGTCTTGTGCCACCAGCCTCTTCAGAGCCGCCCCTTGACGTTGTCGCCAAAGCTCCAGTTCTTGGATCCGTCCCAGTTGATGGACCACGTCATGAGGCCTTTGAGAGAGCCGTTGTAATGATCCCACGCTTGTCCAACCAGACTCGGCGACATGTATCCGCCGCCGGCGCCCGACTGCGCAGGCAGACCGGGGACTTGCTTGTCGTAAGGGACCCGGATCGTGGTGCCCTGGATCACGAGTCCTTTATCCAAGCAGTCCGTCTGGGCCACAAAGCCCTCGACAGTCCCGGCTGAGTACGAGTCTCCCGAACACCCGTACATGTTGCCGTTGTAGTACTGCATGTTGAGCCACCACAGCCGGCCATTGTCGACATACTTCTTGATGATGGGGAGATAGGCGCCCCAGATGGCTCCGTACGTCACGCTGCCCCCCGTCACGTAGGCCGTCTCGGGCGCCATGGTCAGGCCAAAGTTGGACGGCATCTGCGCGAGGATGCCGTCAATGATGCGCACCAGGTTGGCCTGCGAGGTGGACAGCGTGCCGATGGTGCCGCTGCCGGTCAAGCCCGCCTCGATGTCAATGTCGACGCCGTCAAAGTTGTACCGCTTCAGGATGGGCACAATGGTCGAGACGAACTTGTCGGCGACGCTGCTCGAGCTCAGGTCGATGGCCGCGGCGGCGCCACCGATGGACATGACTATGGTCGCCCCGGCCGCCTTGGCCTGGCACATTTCCGCCGGCGTCGCGACCTTGACGTTGGCGTCCATGCCGTCCTCCCACAGGGCTGTTCCGTTGGGCAGGATCACGGGGAACGCGGCGCTGATCACATTGTAGCCGTGCTGCCGGATCTGGGCGTCTTGGATCGCAGTCCATCCAAACGGGGGGTGTACGCCGTTCTTTGCTCCGTCCCAGTTCTCCCAGTAGCCTTGAAGGACCTTGCCCGCCGGCCTTCCCTTGGTTGCGCACGTTTCGTTTTGCGCAAAGGCCGGTATGGGCCCGAGCAGTGTCGACACTATAAGGGGTAATATCACGAGCCCCGTGTTGAGGAGCGGCGCCATGGTGAAAATAATAATAATAAGGAACGGCTGGAAATGACCTTTTTGCAAACAACTAGATGCAATCAACGGAAGCCTCTCTCGATTTTTCACTGGTTTGTTTCAAACCCGGGCCAGAGGGCGAGGTGAGAGTGTGCACATGTGCTCTTATATAGATGGCCCTGCGCTTTAACCTGCTCCATGAGCGCCCTCCTTATTTTGCCTGGTGTCACAGGACCGCATCGTCCCAATTCAGAAAATACTATATCCGACACGTCCAGACGTGACCCCAACGCGGGACCCCCCCCCCCGGAGGAGCGCAACGTAGGATGGATCCGGAGGGCCGTCATGAGAACTGCTCATAAGCGGTTCTGAAACTCGTCAGCCAGAATGACCAAAAGTGGAGACCGCATTCGTCTGTTGTAAGGGTACTACTTGACAAGACGTTTCACAAGGCATGCAGATGCCGGGTTCATGGTTAGACAGCGCGTGGGTTACATTCCTACTTGGGCAAGTGACATGAATGCCAACGTCCACAACTGCCCATCGCCCCCATTCATTCGCATTGGGGGCATAGACTGGCAATTTAAAGCCATTGGTCTTGTTCATTTTGCCAGACGTGGCTTTTGCGTGTTGCCGCCTTGGGCGTGTCTCATCCCAGTGGCGCACATATAAAGGCCTGCGATTACCCTTGCCGCCTTTGTCTCAGGATCTGCAATGCTCTCGCGAATTCATTCCAGACTGGAATCGACTGTGTGCGGTATATCGACTCCCCATTTGCCATGCGAGAACTAACGGCGCCGCCAAAGTTGGCAGTCGGGCTTTTGCTTGTCGCTACTGTTGTGCTAAAATCTAGCATACCATCTTTCAACTCAAACATGAGAATTTAATAGGCCTTTTCATATCGAGCGGGATACCCCCATCTTTGCATGTGTACGGTTTAAAGGTCCGTCCTCGACATCCGACAGACCATGGCTCAATCTCTACCTAGTTCCTTGATCCCAGTCATCTACATTGGCTGTGGATAAACCGTCTTCCCATGGTATAAAGTGATTCGACAAGTAAAATCTTCAGGCATACATTCCTTGCCACTTGGTATGGACTTGGCTATGGATAAAGGATAAGCTTCCATGCCCGATCCCTTCGTAGTGTCTCGAAACAATATTGACCAAATGAGAGACACTCGCCATCACGTAATTCAATTTGGACATTCTTCGGTGTCCCATTGGGCGAATACTCTGCGATACGGTAGATCTGGTGCCCGCCCAAAACATGTAAAGGCGGTTTTATTTGCAGCCGGGATGAATTTGGACATCCACAGACAGGCATGACTTGACATGCTAACATTGAAGTGGTACGAATATTCACATCCATTTACCGATCAACCCATCTGGATAATTTAAGCGGGCCACGGTGCAATTCATGATGCTTCTTGATCCATCTACGCCGGTGCTAGGGTTAGGGTTAGTATATTAATAAAGGCAACACTTTCCCTGCCACTGCTTTGTCGGGTTTCAATCACGCAAGGGCATTCCACCGGTTCGGTGTTGACTAGTGTACATCTCCCGCCCTTCTGACAAGAACCATGTGTAAAGCAAGCATCCGCCCGAGGCGCTTGTATATCAATACAAAAGCGAAACTCCAGCTTCGCGCCCCGCTGCGAGGTCACGTTCCTAGTACAATGTGGGCAGTCATCTCACCACGTGCCTGTGACGAATGATCTCTGGCCATCCTGTCTTAAGATGCAGGGGCGGGGGATAAGTTCTCAATACGACTCTACACGGAACTCTCTCCCTTAATTAAAAGCGCCAAGCAGGCTAGGTTTATTTAGTCGGCGGGAAGTAACCACATAATGTAGCCAGGCATGGTGATGCAGTACGGTGGCGGTGGTTATTTTAGCTATTACACCAACTTGTACTCCAACTCTGTCCAAGTACGAAGAAAGCCAAATAAGATAGATTCAGTCAGGAACCAAGTCTAGATTGTATGCGGTCATAGCTACGAATTGTAATATATTATGTTCGTAAATTTCACCAAGGTTATACCGTATAATATATTCTATGTCACCTATAAAATGGAATTTATATACTACTAAAATTAGTTCCTGGTAGGGCTTACAGCATAATATCTCAATTTAATTATAATCTTAAAGGGTGTTAAAGATCCTTGGGGTTCCGAGAGAAAAAGAAAGGTGAGTAACTACTATATATACATGAAAGGAACTTTTGTGGCTGGGGTTTCCCCCGGGTTATGTATTCCGTCTATATATCTTAAGGTCTTTTTGTCGGTAAAACCCCTTTATTGAGCTTTGTTGTTCGTGTAATATTATTTGAGTTCGAATAGTAAGTTTTATTCGTCAATTCATTACTCGCTCTTAGTATTATACGTATCCAGTCTCTCGTACTTTCGCTGAGCTCTCTTGCCCTCGTTGCCTTGATGTAAATCGTTTAAATAATCCTTGAAATCCTTTGATAGCTCCAAAACAGCCCTAAAGTGCGTGTCGGACAAGATAATCTTGCCCTCTTCATCCTTCTCGTCGTCATACTCGGCTAACGCAACAGAAGTCTGAAAGGCTATATTCACCCATGTTAGTTGGTGCTCTCCTGGCCTGTCTCGCAACATACCATTTCTGATTTCTGTGCCATTCCACTTGACATTTCGCATCTCTGCACCGCGAATATACTCCTTGGCGTCAATATTCAGGCGCATGTAGCTCCTTCTTTCCCGAGCTAGCTTGTCGATAAATGTATGCCAGACCTGTTGTCGCTGGTTATCCGTAAAGTCTGGGTAGTATAGCTGGACATGAACACGCGAGACAAAGGCATCGTCAAAGCCCCCAACCCTATTAGTAGTGAGGAAAAGAATGCCGCTATAATACTCAAGGGCTCGAAGGAAGCCTAAAATCCCATTATTTATTACTGCCAGCCCATCAAATTCTCTGGCAAGATGATGTTTACTTACTTGCTACAAAGCTGTTGCGGACCAGGTCTGTAGTTGACCGACGCTCCATAAACACATCAGCTTCGTCAATGGGAATGACCGCACCCCAGCTCTGGGCCATATTGAATTTTTTAGCTAGAATGAATTCAACCTTATCTGGATTCGTGCCAATATCGCCTGGCGTCAAGACCATCAAGGGCCGTCTCGTGAATGCGGCGACACACTCTGAATAACAAGATCAGCGTCCCGAAAGGGCCACAAAGTGAGTCAAACTTACCCGCCGTGCAACTCTTGCCTACGCCAGGTTTCCCGTGTAAGAGGAAGATCAGGCCGCCTCCCTTTCCTTTAACAAAGTCTGCCTCCCACAAGTCCATAGGCACTATCTCGTCATTCTTATTGCGCCGCGCAAAGCTCTTGGAGAAGCCTTTGAGTATTCTCTTCCTTTGTTCTTCCATTACCAAGCTGTTAATCATATTTTCCTTAAATCTTGGCTCGAAGAAATTGCCAACGTGTAACAGCTCTAAGCGGGCGTTAACTTGGAAATATTCATGGAACAGCGTTGATGCTTACCCTATTTACGTGTCAATTGCAAACACAAAAGCGTGCATCTCGAAGTCACATAACAGATATTGGTGCGGTGTTAGACCATTTCGGTGCTCTAAATCGATTCTGGTGTAATCATCGAACTAGGGTGCGATCTGCTTCCTGGTAGAAACAGAATTTCTCTCCCTACAAGCGGCGCAAACACAGTCCGTGACCCAGTTGCGACAGTCAGTATCTTCCATCAGATCTGGAGGTGTGGCTTTGGCGTAGTAGGTCTTGAGATCTGTCATGACCAACCCGTCAACCTGCGGGATTATTAGCATCAACAGTCTATCACTCTGAGGGAGAATTCGGAAATCTAAGGTGCCTACTTCATTAAAAGGAAATCTCCGGCTCTTTCCTTTGTAATACTTGCACTGCTTCTTCAAAAGCTTCCAGGCGGAATAGGTCCAATCCCCAGGCGGATTATCAAAAACGCTATATAGAAGCCCCTCCTGTTGCGCTCTCTCTGCTCTAAACTCTGCCATGACATGTTCGTCCAAGAACTGTAGCAAAAGAGTGAGTTGCTCGTGTGCCTTCCTCTCTCTGAAACACATTTTGCTCGGGGCCTTTGCTGCGCAGGCATCCCCAAATCGGAAAGCTCATCGTAGTGATGGACAAGTACAGCATACAGCCACTGCACGACTATGACCTCGCCAGTGCGTTCTTGCGCTGGGTATTACTGCACCACACATCACACTGCATTGATGAGGGCAGGAGAGTAAATACGCAATTCGTACGATGGCGCCGTCATCCCTTTGAATGTGCGTAGGTCCAATTTTTGTAACGGACCAGGGTTCTAGCCAATAATACGTAACTAAGATTTTAAAGATATATAAGTATATAAAAAGAATAAAAATATACTAGTTTATTGTCCCTAATCAGGGAGTATATTTAAGTATCTTTAAGAATCATAAAAGAAGAGTGGGTTGAATACATCCATTGGACCTGCGCACATTCAAAGGGATAAGGGTAGGCAGTAGGCTTGCTGCCTTCTTTGAGTCTTCAGATTCTATTGGCCTCCTCGTATAGATGGTCAAGACTTCGAATGCCGGCATGTTAATACTATCAAAGTCTCGAAACTCGTTGGAGAAGCGCTCCGTCACTTTCTGGTGAATCAGGTCGCCAGTGTCGCGGTGTCGATACTCGATGCTGAATCTTATCCAAGGATTCTTGTCTCCCTCCCTGGGCGAACTACTGTCATTCAACGCTCCATCAGGGACAGGAGCGTTGCAGAGACTCACAGCGCAACAGACACTTGGATCAAGGTCTTCCAGCCATGGGAACCATCAGAAGTGAACGACAGGTGAAAACAGCGTCCAGTGAAGTTTGATAGACCAAGGTCCTAACAATGAGCCTAGGCCAGTGACCAGGGTCGTCTCCGTGGAGGCGACAAAACTTTGCGAGAAATGGCTAAAATTTCGACAGAGCTATTCCAAGGATGATCGGCTGGACTTGAAAATGCCTGAGCCGACTTTTGACAGTGATCTTGACACGGTAGAGTAGGTGAACAAGACGTGGCAAGAGAAAAGGAAATAGGAACGGGGAGAAGTGTCATGGGCTTCATAGCTTTGTTCCACATTGCTGAACATCCGGCTCTCACAGCTCGCTTCTGAAACTGCTGCCTGAGGAGAATAAGGACGTTTCCATCTTCACCGGAACCCTGAATGATGTTATAAACATTCGCAGAGCCCAATGAGAATTTGAACCCGTGAATCCCCCGTAGGCAAGCATCAATCACGAACGCATCGCCGAGAGTGTCTGAAGCATTCTCTTCTATCAGCGAAAAGATCACAGAGTGCAAGGCCGAACTAGAAGTATTCTACACCATGGACATGCTGGCGAAGGGTAGCTGAGCTGTAGCGCACGCCTTTCTCTTCCTGTCCAGCATCATGCACTATCTCGCCAAGAAAAGTGTTGTGAGATTGAATTCGTTCGACGAGGACTTGTGCAAGAAATTCCAAGATGAAATAAAGCAGATCAACGAAAAGTCTGCCGTGATGCGCAGCATAGCCGCGCGAGGCTCACGTGCCGAAGTACACGACGGATGGTTGAGGATCTACAAAGAGATGCGAGGGTTGGCCTCGAGGGTGAAGCAGGGAACCGTGCGGAAGTGAAACGTTTTGCGAATCTGGTAGACAAAGAACTCCTACATGCCTAAAAGGACAGACAAGAGGTGGACAACTGGTTGTTCGACTCACCTCCATGTTGCCGCAGGATGCAATGGGCCACGGCGATAAGAATCCCGACCATCCATGATTCCAGCCTAATATTCATAAACCTAATAATGACTGGTATTGGACGCAGCATTGCGCGGTACATGGCCGTCTCGGGGATTCACACGTCCAGGTATGAGTGCCGCACGGTCAAGACCTGGACAAAGGCATCGGACAACAAAGGTGAAACAACAACAAAGAAAGGCTGGCACCATGAGCCTGGGGTTCGACCTGCTTTGTGAGGACTGCCTCAGGCAGTAGCCCTCACTGGCCTTTTGTATTTAAAAAGACATCTGGACCCCTGGACCCTCGAGGCCGCCTGGAAAACCAAGGACCTTTGAGGCCTCAAAGTCGACTATTAAATTGATGTTCAACACACGTTCCAAGCGCTTTTCACAACGAGCCTCTTGCCCACTCAGTCCATTTGAGTGCCATGCCGTCCACGAACAAATGGACCCTCGAAGAGGTCGCCATTAACTCGGCACACCTTGAGGACTTCTTTCACCGTGATCGCGTGCGCCTGCCATACGATCTGTCGACAACCGTCACGATGACCGCCGAGACGTGTCAACACTTAAAAGAATGGGCTGAGTCCCCCTCGTGGAGCCTACTCTGGATCGAGGGCCCTCACATCGAAGCTGACGACATGGAAAACATGGTGACCCAGATAGCTGCCGAGTTCATCGGCTTGGCATCGGAGTGCGGTGTCCCACTTATGTCATACTTTTGCGAGTTACGCCGTGGCGAACTTCTCCGTTCGGGTCACTCGCGCGAGACCCAGGGAGCAATTGCTGTGGCATCTGCGCTGCTACGACAAATGGTTGAGCTCCTCCTACCACGCTTTGAGGCCGAGTTCGACTTCTCAAAAGCCCGGTTTAGTCAGCTCGATGGAACGCTCGAATCGTGGGACGAATGCATGGCAGTGATGCGGGAACTGACAGAGTTGCTGCCAGATGTGGTGTTTTGTGTTATCGACGGGTTGCATTGGCTCGATGACACTAGCACCAACAAGTACTTGAAGGAGTTGATACATTTGCTGAGAGGTGACAAGCTTAAAGTTTTGTTCACGACATCAGGCAGGTCTGCTTGCTTGCGAGACGAGTTGTCCTCCAAAGAGACGTTGGTTCTACCGACGTGTTAGACGGTAGTGCTTTCGAGACACTTGGCGACTGAGCGAAGAGAAATTGACAAGGAGGGCTGGACAAAGCATCCGAACTAAGCAAGGCATGATGCTTGCAAACCATGTCTAGCGACTTGCAAAGATTTTTATGGATTGACCCAGGGAGCAGACGTTCGGGGACATTTTAAAAATAGCGCTACTTCGCAATATTAACCGAGGTTAAATCCAAATAAAATTGAAAGATGAGGTGCTTCTCAGCTCCATTTTTTCTTGACCGAATTTGAGTCTTTTGAGAAGCAATCATGTAAAAGTGAAGCCAAGTATATGCGCAAAACCATCTCACAGCTTTAGTGGTGAGACATCCAACTCAACCGTCCAGATAGCCAAACAATCGCCGAAAGCCTTGTGCCTTGTGCAATGCCCGGTGTACATATGCAGCCGTCTGCCCCGGGCCGCAACTTCTCCGTTGCAGGGTTTCGGGAGATGCCCAAGAGTTATTTTTAACCTTATTGTCGACGCCTCATGACCAAAGAAAACCCCCGCTCGCACCCAACTTCTCTTCTGAGAATATTCCGCCGTCATTCTTGGCCCGTACTCCTCCTTCAAAAAAAAAAGGAGAGGCGGGGAGAACTTTTGTTCAAAACAACACATGATCAATAAACGCCACAAAGAGACAACGGAAACCAGCTACAAGTCCCTCTAGCTATTTGAAGCAGGCGGTTGGGCAGGTAAGAACGCTACGTGTCACATTTCTGCTTCGCCAGGCTTGATGGTGTGGTGTGGTGGGGGGTAGCATCAGGCACAAAGACCCTTGAACTGTTTCCCGTCTTTGCCAAAATAAGTCAACTGGTGTTACAATCTCATAGGACAGCGTGAACAGTGTCTTGGCCATAAATCCCTCCTCCACCACCAGTTTTCGTGCGGCATCGTCTTATATAACAATACCGACGAAGGGGCCCTCACCACTTCACATAATTATATAGGAATCGGAAAACAGAGTCGCCGAGTGCAACACATAAATCACACCAAATTGCATCCCTCTGACACAAGAACCATCAAGATGAAGTTTTCTTTTACGGTTGCTCTTTTGTGCCTAGCTTCCGGGGTGTATTCCCTGGTTGCTGCTCCACCGCCGACAAGAGTTGATAGATCCGGACCAACTCTTGTAGACCGTGACTTGGCAACAGCCACCTCTGTGCTAGCAGATGTCAAGAATGGGTTTGGCTCCCTCGCCACCGCTGCAAAAGACTTCAACGGCGATCCTGGACCCCTGAAGACATCCGCCTCGAGTCTCCTGGCCAAGGTGGACTCTGGCACAACGGCAATCAAAAACATGACGCCGTTGTCTTTTTTCGAATGCCTGTCGTTGCTCACCCCCGCGCAAGATCTTCAAAAACAGGGCAAGGCTCTCTCGGACCAACTCAAAGCAAAGAAGGCCCTGATTCAGCAGTATAACCAGTGCGTGACAACGTACGACTTTCTTGATCAAGGTGTCACCAAAAGCGCTACTCTTATTACTGCCGTTGTGTCCAAAGTTGACAGTAGCTTTAAAGAAACCGTTCAAAATGAGGGCAACAAGATTACGCAGCAACTCAAGGATCTCAGAGATTCCTTTAGTCCGGGGAACTGTTCGGATTCTTAGATTACCGAATATGTGTTGCTGAAAGGCATTTTGCCGAGGAGCTTTGTCGGGTGATCAGAAGAGATGGGAGAACCATTTTGCCGTCTGTCCTGTTTGTGTGGCGTTGCATCTTACTGCCTCGGGATTACGCACTGATGGTATGCGACAGGATATTGCAGTTGGCAAGGACCTAAAAACAGATTGCATTTGCACCGTGGCTTCAATATATGTTCGTCTCCTTTCCTTTTCAACGCAGTCTATGTCTCATCATGCCTATTATATGCGACCGTTGGTGCTACAGCAAGCATCACACGTTGGAGGTTTACGGCAATGGCAATATTAGTATGCCAGAAAATATTCCATGTCAATGATAATCGCACGTTTATTCAGGCCCACCGGAATAAATTGCTTTGTTACGTGTATTATGATTCTCAGAACTCCAAATCCATACGCCAGTGTTCCTGTAATATGTTCTCCATTCAACGGGTTGGCAAAGATGAGATGGCCGAAATGGAACTCTGGGAGAAAGAAGGTGTGCAAGCCAAATCCGGGAACGACACTTAAGTGGCAAGCAACTGCATCGCACGGTAGGGGTATATACTCAATCCAGCGCCATAAACATCCAAGGTTGAAAAATCAGCAACCAAGCAACTCGGCAAAACTTGATCCACTCAATTCTTCCACAAGGTGCGTAGCGGCAGTGTACACCATGTTGCACTTTCCGTCTGGCTGGGAAGAGCAACGTCTCCAGGCACAAGGACGCTGCAGCTTAGAACGTGGTGCCTGTTTAGCCAGGCAGTTTCTAAACACTTGAAGAAATATATTGCCGTCACAGTTTTGAAATACCCAGGTGCCAGTCTTGATTAGGAGGTCCTTTTTTAGCAGAGCATGACGCCTTACTCTCCAGGTTGTTGAACGCGCTTGTTTACCACTTGGGAAGTTACTCAACTTGACCTAAAGAAAAAAATAAACCTTGGATGGAGTTGAAGTAATAAATGTTGACGGTATAGATGTGGGGGTTGCAACTATAACTGATGTGGCGACAACAGCAACGTCCATAAGACATAACCAATGCGGGGCAATTCATCAGTCTCATCACATGTGCTCATTTTTACATTCTTACATTCTCGGAACAAAACACCTGCTTACTTGAGTCTAGGTTATCCACCTTCACCAAAAACACAGCCAGGCTCCTCCAATCCCCTCTCATCATTGCCGGATCCGAAGCAACGCGCCGCCGCCACCCAAGCAGGCATGAAAGGGTCCTCCAGATACTCCCGGTCCCGTCAGAAAGTCTGCGACAACTGCTCGACCGCCAAAGCAAAGTGCGACCGCGGCCAAGGAAAGTGTTCGAGATGCGCAGCCCGCGGCATCCGCTGCACGTATCCCGGCGCCGACACCTCTACGCGAAGCTCCGAAGCGCCCGAAGACCAAGATGCCGTCGGCTCCGACTCTCCGGACCGGCACCGCTCGGCCCGGGGGCACCGCGAGACGCCCGACTTTGCTCATCTCAGGCTCTGCTGCCCCATAAACGTGGACGACATCCAAAACCGCTGGCTGAACCTCTTTGTCCCCATGCCGGGGCAGCAGCCTAAACAGTACCCGGCAGCCATCACCCTGTTCATCAGCCGGGTTCTGAAATCCTACGTAGCAGCCGCGTCAAGAGGTCGCACCGTACCGCCCTTTATACACCTGCTGCAGATGCGTGTCCTGGCAAGTGTGCCGCCGCTGTCCATATGCCTCAGCCTGATGCGCATGTGTGAGCAGCCCGCCCCCGGGAGCGAGGGCGTCATCGTCGACCTCTTGCGCAGGGAAATGGCAACCATCTACGCAAACCGCAGCGGGTACGACCACGCGGCCATGCTGGCGGCCTTTCAGGCCTTTCTACTGTACGCCATGTCCTTGTTTTTCACGCTCGCCCAGGGCCCGGACGCCGGCATGAGGGAGGCCATGCTGCACCTGCAGGATCTCGCGGCCATGAGCTGCCGGCACGGCCTGGTGTGCGCCGAGGAGCAGCAGCGGGCTCGGCCGAACTGGGAGGCGTGGGCTGTCGCCGAGGCCAAGAGGCGGACTCTCTTTACAATGTATCTATTTGACAGCGTCCTGTCGTCTCTCGATGGTCTTCCCACGTTCCTGGGCACGGAGCTGGCGGGACTGCCTGCCCCGGCCTCCAGGGTGCTCTGGCAGGCGGAAGAGAGGGGGGCTTGGGAATCGTCGTACAGCCTGGATCTGGCTGGCTGGTCTACTGGGAGGCTTCGCATTGATGAGCTTTGGCCAGTGTCGTCGGATATGGGGCAGGCTGCTGTTCTGGAACGGTGTAATAGGGTGGATCGATGGCTGGAGGATGTGGACGAGTATGGGACGATGCTTTATGCCGTCACGAGCTGTACGCATGGAACTTGAGCGGCTGGGCGGTCCTCGCGAAGCGTGTTGTAGGCACAATTATGTATATAGTTGTGAAAAGAAATATTTCTGTTTCTCATGTAAAAGTTGTTGACAGCCGCAACTGTCCTCAGCCGCAACGGTCCTGTTATAATGGCTGTTTCTCATTGAACTGATAACTAGTCACTTTGCCAGTCGCTCAGCTTATATTCATCTTTTTAACGATTGAGACTAGATGTATTTAATTGTAAATAAGGGATATTAACTGGTTAGTTTTTCATTTTTTTTTTTCATTTTTTCATATATATATATATTTTTTGAAGCCGTCCTGCAGTAGTTGAATACTCCACGCTCCAAGTTTTCCATCCTCCTTCTCTTTGATCCCCGACTCCTAAGCCTGCACACTATACGTCGTCAAGACGGCCTTGTGGTCCGACGTCCATTCATTATTGCCGTGATTCGGCTGCGCGGTCGGGTTGCCCACCACCACCGCCTCGGAATCCCGCACGGCGAGCTTGCGGCCCTTGTGATAGACAAAGTCGATTCGATCCAGCGGCTCCGGTCGGCCATTGTTATCCAGGTAGATGGGCGACCAAGTAATACCGGGCGTTGCCACGGGATCCGAATGCGCAACGCGGAACGAGTCAATCAGCCCGGCATCAGTTGGGTACTTTGACGTTGGCCAAGCGACTTGACCAATGCCGCAATGCTGACTCTTGCTGGCCTCGGTCCAGTCCAGGTGCGACGGGGCGTTAAAGTCTCCCACGAGCAAAACAGGCACATTGTCCGCGTTGGCAAGGTGGTCGCCCATCTTTCCGGTCATCTCCTGAATCTGCGGGGTGCGGCCCGACTGCGCTTCTCGTTCCATGACGCGGCTGACGCTCATCTTGTCAAAGCAAAAGTCGTACGGGCCGTACGGGTCATAGCCAAGATGGGCGTTCCAAAAAATAATGTCGCTATCCGCTCCATCCAGGGAAATCCTCACTGAGCCCGAGACAGATGTCGCTGGGTACACTTGGGTGATGGGGTATCGACTGATGATCGAAACATCGGGTCCCTGCCAGGAATACCAGCCAAGGGCATGGGCGAGGCGAGTGCCGTGACCTCCCGTGCTCTCTTGTAATCCTACAATGTCGACATTCTTGTCCGCCAAAAAACGCACCTGCTTCTCGTGATAGTTGGAAACCTGTGTGCCCCCATGCCAAAGGTTAAACGATAGAACCCGCAGGTTGTCCACGAGCGAGGAGCCTGCAGGGCGCACGGGAATGTGGACGGAGATGGAAGACGTGACTCCATTCTTGTCTTGTGCTTCGACGCTTAACGTCGTGTCCTTGGCGCTCGATGAGGGCGTGCCGGTTATGACGCCCGAGGAGTTGATGGCAGCCCAGTCGCCGCCTCCAACAATGTTGAATTTTGTATCCTTGTCACCGGGCTGGCTGACGAGATTGCCGAGGCTGGCTTCAAACTTGTCACCCTGGCGGGCATTCTTGGTCGTGATGTCCTTAACAATGAAGCTGAAGGGCTCTGCGTTTCGCACCTGGGCGGCGACTGGTTCAGACAACCATTTGTAGCCACCATCGGCAAGGAGGAAGACCTTGTACTCTCCGGGGCTTAGGTTTTTGGTCGACAGCGTAACCTCTCCCACGGATGCGGGAGCCCATTCCCACGTCAAGGAGGGTTGGTCCTCGACCTGATTTACCGGGCCTCCCCCTTGGGCAAAGTACAAGCCAATCCAGTTCTTGACATTGGGCTGCGATGTAGTATACTTGATATTGATGGGCGTTCTGCTGTAATCGACGCTGATTGAGCCGGAGTATTTGGCTGATTCACCTAGAGCGAGCTGTACCGGCGCCGCAAGCGACTTGTACTGGTCGTCTGCCAAGAGGTAGGCCTTGTATTCGCCTGGCCCCAGTCCGTCGTTGTCAAACTTGACAGAGCCTTGGGCCTCGGGGGCGTACGACCATCGGATAGAAGGCTGGTTAAATACGCCGTTGTCGGGCCCGCCGCCTGCAGCATAATAAAGGCCAACCCAGTTGCGGGGGTTTGGCTCTGAAGTTGTGTACTTGAACTCTAGGGGACTTGTTGACACAAGAGCCAAGGAGCCTTGTTCTACTGAAGCCTGGCGTCTCAAGCTCACGGCAGAGTCAATGAGACTTGCCTGAAGGACAAGGCCCAACGCAACGGTCCGGAGAAGTCGAAACATGATGGCACGGGCTAAGCAAGCATACCCATGATACGCTGAGTGAAAGCATTTGCGGGAAATGTTTGGTCATGCGCCTATCAATTTATATACTCGAGAAACAGTACAGTTACTTCCAACGTCGATGGCGACAACACCCGAAGCTTGAATTTCATGCAGCTAGCGCCGGTCAAGGTCACATAGCGTCTGGCACGCGGAGAGCAGCATGTGAGTCTGGCTCAACGTTTCGCCAAGATGGCACCGGGACATCAAGTCGGACTCGGAGTTGGTGATGCAAGACGGGCCATCCTTGCCGAGTGGTATTCTTCATTGGCCGGGTGTTTGTGGAGTTGCACGCGAGACATATCCAATCTGGAGCAATCGATGCGCCACGAGGCAGATGCGCACGAATCAGAGACGGGCAAACTGTTGGGTAAAACCTGCCATGACCTTGAGAGCCAAGACGTAGCGTCAACTAGCAACTCTGTCCACACTGTCACGACTCACAAGGGACCACGAGGCGGTGTATTTCCTCTCCATGGCCAGCAATAGAACCAAAGTCGAAGCTCCACGTGTCTTGTATCCCGTCCTGGTAGTGGCTGTCGAGGCCTGCTCTTCTGCCGAAAGATGGAACTAGGCCGATCAAATTACCGAGCAGTCATGCTTGTGCACCAGCAGAGTGGCATTGCCAAGACCTTTGATCCTTGCCCATGATCATCGGACATGGGTTGAGGGAATTAGGCGGAACTTGAAGGCCTGATGATCGCTCTGCCGCTCTGCCGAGGCTATCGATGCAACTCGCAGTCTGTTCGCATATTCACTACAATGGCGCGTATTCCCAGAGGCATAACGTCAACTGGTCCGTAAGTAGACCAGGTACCTAGTTATCACGTTCCATGCTGGAATAAACTGCAGTACAGTCTGGTAGTATATTATTATATACCTCTTGACGGGCCGATATATTCCACCACAAGTAATACATCACGGTTGAAGCTTCTGACGATGGGGTAGGGCTGAAATAAGGTTAAGCATATATCCTTCTCATTTGAGGCTGAATTGTCGCGTGCCTCTTGCACACCCCATCGGCATACTTGATCATGCCGGGAAAGCTGTACGGACAAGGGCTGCGACCCCGTGGAAAAATAAAAGTGTCTCCGATCCAGCCACCATGGTTCATCCCATGACGTGCATGCGTAACCATCTGGAGCAACCTGGATGTGATACATGTCATTCCGCGCCTTGAACAAGAGCTTGCCCGAGTTGAATGTTCCAAAGGCAAGTTCCAAAATACGACGAGAAAAAGAAATAAACTCTGTATCCAATGTAACAAGACTTTCTTCAGGTTCTTGGCCGGCTTCGATTTCACCCAGGCGTTTGAGAACTTTTTTGAAGTCACCTCGGCTCTCCCATCCCCCCCTGACGCCGTTCCCAGCGCTTCAGGGTTCATGTATGTTTATGCACGGATCCAAGATGGCTCGCGTATACCCAGGGGACCGTTGAAATGGCGCTTTGCTTTCGGTACCTGCGTCTTGATTATGCGTGACAGTGTTTCCATCAGGATGATAAGCTGTGACGCCAGTTTGGAAGCTTTATGCAGCGGCATTGGTTTCCATGTCCCCTCCTTAAGATTTATGCGAGAGCTTCTGCAGATGATCATCATACTGAGCATCTTGATCCATATACAGGGTCATGTTCTCCCCATTGTTGTCAGCAGTGCCATTGAGGGGTGATCAATGGGCATCAAGATGTCGGTTTTTTCTCATCAAGTCGACAATTCCCTTTCGGACCTCACCGTCTTGGTTAGGATCGGACAAGATTTGATCTTCTCAAGCATGGAAAAGACAGCTGCCATGGCGACTTTTTTGAGATTGACGAAGGATGGAAACATGCCTTGTGGTGCGACGTTGGAAGATGCTTCTTCTGGCCTGTAGACGCACGACTAAGCTCAGGCTTTAACCGATTGACCGTTGACCTTTCTCGACTTGCTGCTTCACTATTTGGCCCTGATCCTTTCTGCCCTTGTCTGACAACAGGCTTGCCAGAAGGTCCAGTGCTCCGTCTCGGGGCACCACTCTTGCCAGCAAGCTTTCTACTTGGTCCGGAAGCATTTCGGCGGTGGCTCACTAGTTGCCATGCATTTCTTGAGCAAGGTGCTCTTGACAAAATTCCGACGTCAGTGTTTGCACCTGGTGTTCCTACATAGGGGGCTGGCTGGCTCGTCACGCGTAAACAGACCAGACTTGACCGTTTGTTTTGATCCAATCAGTTTGGCTGTGGATTGGCTGACAAGATTGAATTGACAAGACATCAATCATGAATGACTTGGCTCTCCACAACCCCTCCATTGTGCCCCTCCGAAGTCCGGCCACTTGCATCCAATCAGTGCAAATGGTCAGTAAGCCCAGACGCAACCGTCGACCCCTCCACCACAATTGACCAGCTTGCTCTGCCGCCATCGGCCGGATTCTTACGGCCCGACGGAGCCCCGCACTCGCGAGCCACCGTGCTCAAGTGCTCCCAGCTGTGTCTGGTCGTCATATTCCAACCACCTTTGCGGCAGATTGTCAATTTTGTTTAATTTTTTTTGGTGTTGCTCTTGACCATCGACGTCTACTACGAAATATTACCAGCTAAAACCCAAAAATCTACCATGCCGCAACAGTACGTCCCGTCCCGGCACAATTGACGCATGTTATCCCGCGTTACTAACCCCGCCATGGAATAGATCTGTTCTCATGCTCGGCGCGGGCTTCGTGACCAGTCAGTATTTACAATCAGTTTCGAACTTTGCGAATTTTCGACGGCTGACTTTCTCTCAATTAGAGCCCACGCTCGATCTTCTGACCAAGGCCGGCATCCCAGTCACCGTCGGTACGAACGCCCCGCCCACCGCCGCGTACGAGTTCTTGAGGAAAATATGAAGAACCTCGACGTCGATTGAAATGCCTCTGCTGACGCTTATTCTCGTTATCTTTGCCTTGCACAGCCTGCCGAACTTTGAAGACTGCTAAAGAGCTTGCCGGCAACAATAAACTTGCCACGCCGACGACGGTCGACGTCTTGAACGACAATGCCCTGGACGCAGAAGTTGCCAAGCATGACTTGGTTATCAGCTTGATTCCATACATCTACCATGTCAATGTCATCAAGTCCGCTATCCGCAACAAGAAGAACGTTGTCACTACCAGCTACGTTTCCCCCGCAATGATGGAGCTGGACCAGCAGTGCAAGGACGCCGGGATCACTGTCATGAACGAGATTGGCCTTGGTATGTTCATTTGTTCCTTCTTCAAAGTTCCATCCACAATCGCTAATCTTCTTTTTCCGCCTAGACCCCGGCATTGACCACTTGTGTAAGTACATGGCCGGCCTGAGGGCTCAGCACCACAGAAGCATCACCACTACCACCACCACCACCACCACTGACCCGGATTAGATGCTGTCAAGACAATCGACGAAGTCCACGCGGCGGGCGGCAAAATTATCAAGTTCCTTTCTTACTGTGGAGGTATGTTCTGCGGAGGCCGACTTTCCTGCGTGGATACCCCCTACTGACAGCTAGCTCCAGGACTTCCTGCACCCGAATCGTCCGACAACGCCCTCGGTTATAAGTTTTCTTGGTCCTCAAGAGGCGTGTTGCTTGCCCTTAGGAATGCTGCGTCCATCGTTCAAGACGGCAAGATCTTCAACATTGCAAGCAAGGATCTCATGGGCACAGCCAAGCCATACTTCATCATGCCTGGTTTCGCATTTGTTGCCTACCCCAACCGTGACTCGACTCCGTATGCCCAACGCTACAACATCCCCGAAGCCCAGACAATCATCCGCGGAACTCTCCGATACGCGGGATTTCCCCAATTCATCCGCTGTCTGGTGCAGGTCGGCTTCTTGGAGGAGACGCCCATCAAGGCCCTCGAGTCCCCCATCACCTGGAGGGAGGCCACTCAGGCTGTCCTCGGAACTGCCTCATCCGACCCCAAGGAGCTCGAGGCTGCCATCGTTGCCAAGGCTGAATTCGACTCACCCGAGGATCGTGATCGAATTCTCTCAGGCCTCCGATGGATCGGCATCTTCTCTAACGAGAAAATCACTCCCAGGGGTAACCCACTCGACACCCTCTGCGCCGTTCTCGAGCAAAAGATGCAATTTGAGGAAGGCGAGCGAGACATGGTCATGCTGCAGCACAAGTTTGAGATTGAGCACAAGGACGGATCCAAGGAGACCCGTACGTCTACCCTCGTAGAGTACGGAGACTCTACTTATTCGGCCATGGCGCGCCTGGTCGGAATTCCATGTGCAGTGGCCGTCCAGCAGGTTCTAAACGGCACGCTATCTGAGAAGGGTGTTTTGGCTCCCATGACTGCCAAGATCAACAACCCCATCATGAAGGAATTGAAGGAAAAGTACGGCATTGAGATGAAGGAGAAGACTGTCTTGTAAAGAGGTCATCTAAAAAAAATCCAATGAAAGCGCTCGCGAATCAAAAGGGAGAAGGCTTGATTGAAAGGTTGATAGAAATGGCAAAATAAACGTACAAATGTCGTCACTCCCGTGGTTTGTTTGCTTCAATGTGCTTTTGCCAAGATGTCAAAGAGGGCCAAGGCTCTTGGCAACTAAAGGGAAAACAAATATCTTAAAATAAGACAATTTTTTATACTTGAGAACTACTGTTACAGGCCTGTGTAGGTCAACCTGTTATTGCCTCAAACTTCGATCGGCTTGAGCCGATAGTCCCTCTAAGAAGCCTGCGTACTGCCATAGCAATACTGACTCTTTAGCAGGATAAGGTCTCGTTCGTTATCGCAATCAAGCAGACAAATCACTCCACCAACTAAGAACGGCTATGCACCAAGGGAAGTTGGCACAAATTTGACAGACGACCAAAGGAACCATTTGTGTATAATTTCACGTCCAATAGTATCATCTAGCAAAAGTCTCTCACATGTCCTATAACAGGACAAAAGAAGACTAGGCTTCTATAATAGATGCTTTCTATCAGATGCAGGGTATGTAAGCTACGCTACACTACAGGCCCTTGGCCCAACCGAGACGCTTATTGCCATCGTCGTAGACGACAAACCCAGACTTGAGAGAAACATCACCAAAGATGGCCAGGCCATTCAGCCCACTGTAGTATGCAATGCCGCCCACGCAGCTAGAGCCATCATTCTTGGCGTAGTTGATGTCCTTGCCGGGGACAGTCACTCTCCCCGACCCAACGGCAAAGACAAAGTCCGGCAGGGTAGTGTCGCACGGGAAGAGCCAAACGTAACCAGCATTTTGCGGGAGGCGAGCTGGCTGGGCGCTGGGAACAGCGGCCCAGTAAGTTCTGACAACCTCCAGAGGGAGGATGAGAAGCGACGTACCAGTGTCTGCGGTGCCGGTGATGGTGTGTTTCTTGAAATTGCCGTTGCCGACAGCGTAGCCGGTAGACTGGAAGAGCCGGTGGCCAAGCTCGTCGGTCGACGCGGGCGTGTAGCTAATGGGGCCAGAGTATTGCGACTCGTCAATGTAGCCAAAGTTGTAAGAGCCCTCTGCGAGTGGCGTTAGCGTTAGCGAAGCCACCACCATGGCGGTAGGAACAGGAGGACGTAGGGGCAGGGATGACTTACTGGCCTGGTGTCTCAGGCGCACGGTGAAGAGAGGCTCGGACAGCCGGGGCATGATGTTGGAGAACCATGTCTTCTGCTTGCTCGGGCGGACCGTGTTGCCCTTGTCCAAGGCAAGGCCGAGGAGGCCCGAGTTCTGCTTATCACTGCTGAAGGACTCCGACACTTGCTGGGCGGACTCGACGGCCTGGTTTTCTACCGAAACGCCGCCTATAGTGACGACGTCGGAGTAGACGATGCCGCTGGAGGTGCTGTTATCGCCGTAGTGGATGGACCACTTCTGTCCATCCAGCCGCTTGGCGGAAGAGCTGCCGCTGGGTTTGTAGAGCGTCTGGCCCTTGACCTGGCTGGCGCTGGTGTCGCTGCTGAATACCCATAGATCGCTGGACCCTGTGTCAAAGTCGAGCATGAGCTTCTGCGGAGGCGTTCCGATGCTGACCTCGGTGAGGTATAGGTTGTCCACGCCTTCGTCGTTGGGCTCGGGGATGGTGACGACGGTGCCATTCTCTTCTCGTTCACTCAGGACAGCCGACTGCAAAGCCTTCACGGTAGCCTGGTCGAGGAACTTCCGTACGACGCGCCGCATGTCGTGAACAACATGGGGGCTAGACACGTGGGTTGTCTCCGCGCTGAACTTTAACCCCGTATTCTGCGCGGGAGCTGCACGGGAGCTGTTAATGGCGGCAGCCAAGAGCACGAGGATGTTGGTGGTCTTCATTGTGAGCAAGATACTGGCAGAGAGACCAGATGTAAGAGTATGAGCTTGGTACACAGAGAGATGCCCGTTGTCAAGATTGGGGATATACGCTTCTTTATATACACAAGGATATTCATCTGCATACACCCATACTGACTGTCAGAACAGTTGCATTCTGTCCAACACATTCTTTTTCGGTCTTGGAGCCTATGGCGCAATGAAGCTGTATAGATTAGTGCCGAATACTAGCCCAGATGTGGAAGCGGATGGGGTACATGCCGAAGATCACGGAGGTTTGGAAGACATGGCGAAACAAGAATTGGAGTCGTCATCCGTGCTTTGCACAACCGCAGTGACGGTTATACTCGTCGACATTACTCCACGGATCCACAAGATCAGGCTACCGTGCCATCAATCCGACGTTGGGTTGCATTGTGAGCTGTCCAGGCCCCTGGGTAGAATCGATCTACGGAGGTCCCTGCCGTACTAAGCTTCTGTTTGGAAAAGCGCAAGCGTGTTTATTAGATGCCCAGTCGGAAGATCTGTATTCTCGGCTACTGTTTGGATACTACCACTCGACGAAGTTTCCTACAATCACGTGCGCTAGCCATGTGCGCAATAGGGTCAAGTTGTATTATCCGCGGAACGTGTTCAACTATCACAAGTTGGAACCGGGCTCTTCAGACATGGTAGAATAGCGCCAGGACACCTCACTATTCCGGAAGTGGCGCGTCTTACTCCCAGGGCTCATATCATATGAACGTCTTGTCATAAACGGAGGAGCGTTGATAAAAAAGTCGCTGTCGAGTTTCAACCGCATCACCGAATTTCGGTTGGTAGTTCCGCCGACCAACCCGCAACGGAAGCCTTTAACTTTGGACGGCTCGTAGCTAGGGCTACTTATTTCAGTTTCTTCCCGTGCTAATCCAAAAGGGCCACTAGTTCTGGAACACAAGGTCGTAGCTCTTCCAGCGCGGGTCGTCTCATTCCGGGGCTCGACTTCTTTCTCGCGGGGTTCCAGGAACTTCTATTATATCATTCACCATCTACTAATAGACTGCCACAAAGTCTCTTCTTGTAATGGCAAATGCCGCGGCGAGCAGAAGAACTCCCAGAGTCTCACATGGTAATGTGTGCATTTTCAGTCAGCGCCGGAGCGAAGCTTGTCAACCATGAGCATTCCAAGTATCCTGTCTTCAATACACACATCAACTCGGAGTAGCAGTCTATTGTGAACAGGGTCGGTCGCAATAACTTCAAGTATGCCTCGCCGTATTCATTCTTGCTTGCCTTGTCTTTTGTCAAACCTCCTTCTACTACCCCAACGTCTCTACCATGACTACTCGCAACAGCCACGACCGTAGTGTGCACGGCCTTGACATGACGTCAAGACTCCATCTAGCAATCGTTGATTTTTCCGTCGAGCACCACCGGTGTATGAGGCGCGACCGGGGCTGGACATTGCCTTTGGACCGTTTGGCAGCGAAAACTTGTCGAGAGTCTGGTCTGCCGCTGGATTCTGGAACGAGAAGTAAGACGACCGGCACGACAAGATTCAGTGCAAGCATGCGCGGAATGCAGCCATCTTCTTGTAGTCTTTCCATTTCATTGTTTCCATCGAGGCCGCTGAACGACGGCAGTCGGTTATACGGTTAAAAATGAACGTGGACGATTCCCGGGAACAGTGCCGTAGATATGGCAGTTCAATTCTAAGCTATTATCTACTATAGCAAGCAGTAGGTACATATGTATCTATATACAATGGCAATTAGTCAAAATCTATCTGCGAGAGACCCCTATACAGGTTCGCATTTATAATGAATACAAAGACGTCAACGCGTCTTTCTAATTATCTAGAATGCCAACCAACCAACGCGAAAACAAATAATGAAAAGTAGAATACAGCGTATGTAAAAGCGTTAAAATCCGACCAGCGCTACCAACAAGGCCAATCCAACAGCTACGGCCGACAATCCGGCTAAAGATTGAGGCCGCCGATTGCCTTTTGCAGTGACAACGCTTGGAGTTGGCGTGCCACAGCTTGAGCAAGCCTCACCGGATGAGACGACTGGGCCGTTTGAATGCGTCGCTGTTGCGTCGTTCGTGTTCGTTACGGAAGTCTCCGGCTGCGCTGAAGGTGCCAATGTCTGGCTGCAGTCGGAGCATTCTTGTACCGTGACATCTTGAGCTTTGGTCTCCAGCTGCGTCTGGGCGGGAGCGGGCGTGTTGAGACCAGATGGATGAGATGAGGGCGCCAATGGTGTTGGTGCTGCTTCGCAGTCCATACAGTCACCAACGGTAACCGCGACGGATTTTGTGACTAGAGGCACCACGGTCACGACCTGGGTAGGCAGGGTCGTGGGAGTAGTACAATCCATCGCTCCCTTGCCGCAAATAAAAGGAGGCAGTGTGTAGATCGCGGTCGTTCCAGCCGGCGTAGGATTGGCGGTATTGCCGCCAGGTCCGCCACCCAAATGCGATGTCGCGTCGAGTACCATGATTGAGGTTGTAAGCTTGCCTACTGGGCAATTTGAAACAGTTGGCTCGCAGGATGTCACGGTTAATGTCGTGGTTACTGTGACCTTGGACGGGCGCTCTGGCCATGAGCTGATGCTGAAGTCTGGGGATGCAGTGGCAGTAGAGTGCGCAACAGTAAAAGAAATGTTTTGAGCATGGGTCATGTGTGGGCTCTGCCACGCAGAAGTCTCTGTATTTCCTGCTGGGGTGTTTCCAGCAGAAGATATCTCTGTTGCGACTTGATATGTGCTGCCCCTTGAGGAACCTGTAGCGAAAGGCGGCTCGTTTGAAGATATCCCAGTTGGCAATGTAGCGGTGTCAACAATTGGTATAGTTTGGTTAGACACTGGGACATGTATCGTGGCGTGGGATGACACCGTCGTCGACCATGAAGTTGTCGACGTTGCTGGTAACGGACTCGATTCGGCTGTCGAGGAAAGGCCAATGGCTGTTGTAACATGGCTGGTTGACAGACTGCTCGAAGGAGGGAGCAATGTTTCCTCTGACACGGATTTAGAGGCGGGAGCGGCTGTAATCGAGCTTGTACAGATGACTGAACTGTGTTGAGTCTCAGATGCCGCAATAGAAGACGACGATGAAGCGGTAGTTGTGTTCAATGCGCCCGTCGTCGAGAATAAAGAAGATTGCTCAACTTCAGGCTTGGTAGATGGTGAATATGTTGCGGACACGGGCGTGGATGTGAGAAGTGATGCGACTGAAGAAGTAGACAACGATGTAGGCGATGAAGCGGCGGACGAGGTCGTGTTGACATCCTTTGTCGCGGCCGTTTCACTCTGCGGCAGAACAGGAGAGGACTCAAGGGAAGACGAATATACTGGTGATGACGATGTGGGTGATGATAAACTAGAAGGTGAAGTGGAATTGACGTTGTCAGTTGTGTTGGACTGGGTCTGCGACGTGGTTGATGCCGTGATTAGTGTAGCTGATGATATGCTTGACGGTGTGCTTGACGATGCACTTGATGTCGTGGTTGATGTAGTTGACGATGCGCTTAGCTCTGTGATTGACGATGTAGCTGATGATATGGCTGATGATGTGCTTGGCTCTGTGGTTGACAACGTAGCCGGCGATGTAGCTGACGATGTAGTTGACGATGCGCTTGGCTCTGTGGTTGACGACGTAGCTGGTGATATGGCTGACGATGCGCTAGACGATGCAGTTGACGCCGTGATTAGTGTAGCTGATGACATGCTGGACGGTGTGGCTGAGGATGCAGTTGACGGTGTGCTTGACGATTCACTTGATGTCGTGGTTGATGTAGTTGACGATGCGCTTAGCTCTGTGATTGACGATGTAGCTGATGATATGGCTGAAGATGTGCTTGGCTCTGTGGTTGACGTAGCTGATGATATGGCTGACGATGCGCTAGACGATGCAGTTGATGCCGTGATTGGTGTAGCTGATGATATGCTTGACGGTGTGGCTGACGGTGTAGTTGACGGTGTGCTCGACGATGTGCTCGGCTCTGTGGTTGATATAGCTGACGATGTAGCTGATACGGCCGACGATGAGCTTGGCAATGCGCTAGACGATGCACTTGATGCCGTGACGGATGTATCTGAAGACGTAGCTGACGACGTAGCTAATGATATGCTTGATGTCGTGGCTGACTCTGCAGTTGACAATGTAGTCGACGACGTGGTTGGAGACGTACCAGGAGCTGCGGTAGAGGATAAACGTATCGAGCTAGCAACAGACACAGACGTTGTAGAGGACGCGGCCAACGATGTAGACGACTCGGAACTAGAGGATGAAGTAACCCTGACGTCCTGTGTTGTCGTCGACTGAACCAGCGACGCCGTGGTTGTCGTGGTCAAAGTTGCTCGAGAGCTGCATTCACCCACCAACGACGGAACGGCATCGGTTCCCTTGCCAATCGGGACCAGATTCGTCCCGCAGTCAGCAGCAGGAGCCAGGTAGACATTTCTGTTATCCATATCGTAGATGGCATACGCCGATCTCAGAAACGTATCGCCCAGCACGAAAAATGCTGTTTTGGGCGTATTAGCCACGCCGTCCCGTTGCACGTTGCCATAGTTTGCGTCACTCACAGTCATTTGGCGACACGCCCAGCACACATATCCCGTGCTGGGGCTGCTTCCACAGAAAGTCGTCATATCGAACATTGATGACGGTGTTTCCAAACTTGAAATCGACCGTGCCCGCGAGACTGGCCGCCGCGCAGTCCACAATGTACTGGTTGGCATCGTTCGGGTCCTGGCGGGCAGAGGGAAACGCCTTCAGAATCTCCGTCACCATGGTTCGCGGCAGCTGTGTCAGCGTCGTGCCGCTGTCAAGGAGGGCGAGCAAGCCGTTGGTTTGGTCGAACACCGGGATCCGAGACCCGTCCTCTCTCGTCACCGAGAGTCCATCCACGTAGATCCAGTACCTTGTTCAGACGTCAGCATCGTAGTTCAGAAGCATTCAATGCCTGTGTGGCATACCGGACACTGCCGTCGGGCCCCGTGGCAATGGGCCGCTTTTCGAGACCGCCGATGTACTTCTTGGTGTCGATGCCGCCAAAGATGACGGCGCCGAGGGGGCTCTCGATGGGCCGCAAATCGAGGCTGAAGGCGCGGCTCTGGATGTGATTTTGGCTCACCAGCGAGTCGAGCACATGGGGGTAGGGAGACTGCCAGCCCAGGACCCAAGGACCGGCGCCTAGAATGCCATAGGCAACGACCGAGGTGTCGTAGGCCACGCCAAAGATTTGCTGGTTGATCTTTGCCCCTGTTGGTGTCGAGACTTAGCGCGGCTCGCCCTCGCAACAGGCGGCGATGTTATATGTACGGCGTGGTGGTTGTCCTTACCTCCGACAGAGATGTAGTCGTACATGTACTTGAACTTGGCGTAGCCGGCGCCATAGGCGATTTGGCCGGTTCGGTTCGTGTCGACCAGTGTTGTTGACCCCGTGAACCGCGGGAGGCTCTCGCAGATGGCCGTCTCGGAGGTGTTTGCACAGCTCGGGTTGACCCATAGTTCCCACGATCCGGTATCAAAGTTGACGGGGACGGCCTGCCCCGGGGTCCCAATGACAAGGTCAATCGTGTAGAAGAAACCCGTGCTCTGACTCGTGAGGTCGGCGTTGTTTTGGCGGCGGAGACGACGAAACGTGCCGGCCGGGGCTTCGGACACGGTGATGGGGAAACGGATGAGGCCGGGCTGCTGAATGACACGGCGCTGATTCCCATGCGCCGACGAGCATGTCCCCCACGGCAGCGCCGCCAGCAGCAGAAGAGCGTGAAGCATCTCTGCGCTCGTTGCAAACAGTCGAAAACAAGCAAGACGAAAAACCTCGGGCTCCAGGGAGCAGCTCCCAGCACTTACATACATGGGCATCATGGCTCGGGTCCTCAGCCGCCGTCGGCCGGGGCAATATAAAGCGTCCGTCCGTGCAGCATGGGGCATGGCCAAGCTTCTCCAAGTCCATCCATCCCGACCTGGCCGGGGTAATTCTCCCCGCAACACCAAAATGCCAAGGCGCCGTGATCCACGATGCAGAGCCTAGATCTTGTCTGGTCGGACCACCAAGACCAAGACGCCCTTGCGCGACGCACCATGGCCCTGTTTTCCCTGATCCAACGGCTCACAATACCCACGCGTACTTGTATATACGTCGCGCAGCTACACTGAGAATACCGTCGTGTCGACTGGAGTGTCGACAACCGTGAGCAATTCCCCAACGACAATGCCTTGGCCCCTAACCTCGGTGCTCGCAGCCACAACCCAACCCGGTTAGAAGCGCTTGGCAGTCTGGGCAAAGGTGACCGACTACCGATAGTTTCCAAACTTTAAGAGGGCCTGTGCGGCCGAGATGGCCCAATGGGTGCGCCTCGTGGCGTCTGACTCGTCAACCAAATTGCCAATGTGCCTGAACTAGTGGCCAGGCGACGCGTGGATCGAGTCGAGATCGACCGCAAGGGAGACGTGATTGTAACGTCACAAGTAACCGCGGCTGGCCAGGGTAGCACCGACTACGATTGGGTAATGTTGATACTATAAGCAAGGCAAGCCTTTTGGATTTGAGTCGACTTTAGAACGAAACGTACCAGTAACCTCTTTCTTCCTTGTCCCCATTTTTTGGCGCACGGCCGAACTCTTCAACTACAAAAGGGTCAAGGTTCGTAGTACGTACGTATTCGACCTCTTTGGCGTCAATCAACGCCGCGAACGGTCGAATACCAACGTCCACAGACTGGAGGTTGAACTCATTATGCTTGTATTTTTTGTCAACCGCCTAGATAGTTAGATCTAGGTAGCACCGAATACACGCCCATCTGTGCGGCGATTTGTAGGGTCATCGTCAGGGGTCCCGACCGGATATAAAAGGGGTCAAATTTGCCCCATGTTTCATCAATAAACTCAATTCTATCGTCATCATCAACACAAAGCCATCAATTGAGGCCCTAAGAAGCCTCTTGAATTATCATCATTTTCCACTACGCAAATTGCTGCTATAAACTCAACTAATGTGACCTTTTGTTAGTAGCCGCTCATTTTGTAGCCAACCACGTTTATTCTCGGTTATATACCTCTGCGGTGTGACTGTCCAGAAACTATAATAGTACCTTGACATCTTTCATTTAATAATACATGTCAAATATTCTAACAGCGAAAGAGCAATCACCTACGGCTTATTAGTGCATCCTAAACCATGCTGATTCCTGTAAAATATTCTTGCCGCTCCGTGTTGCCTCGCATACAAACGATAGTTCTTTTCGTTTTATCCAAAATAGAAGCCCCTACTGAAGTCGGGCAGGGCTATTCACCTCGGTGAGCGCGCTTCAGAGACGCCCAACTTTATGAGGCGTGCTATGTTCCGGGTTTGCATTGATCGTGACTGGAATCCATATCTGCTTGAAAACGTCCTACATCTCTCAAAGACCTTGAAAAACGCACTTTACAGTCAGGCCCGTGTGGCAATTGCCTTTATTGTTATAAAGTAGAATGTATCTTTCAATAGCGTATCTTAAACCTTTATATCTATTATACACGGTCGGCGTGGTAACGGGCCCCGTTTATGCAGATATAAACTAAGTAACTTAGGCTATTACAGCCTATAGCGGTTTAATTACCCTTCAATGTTTTGGCCTTCCACGCTGCATTCCTTATCCTTCATGCGATCGTCAATCCTGTTATCGACACAATTCCGAAAGCCTTGTTCAATTGATCCGTCAAGTGGCTTGTTGTAAAGCAGGAAGATTCTACACTCCTGGATAGACTGCGAAACATGACGGTGGCAATTTATATCGTCGCTAAGATTCTTAGAGTCCAGATAAGCGTTTGCGGATCTGCGCAATTCAGAGTCGCACTTAGTACGGCTCTCCTGACAGGAATTAAACTTTCCAACTGCCTCAGAGAAGGCGGCCTCGATAATAACCGTGCCATTCACGCCTCTTTGAAAACACTTCGAAAACAAGTCTATAAACTTTTCTGCAGACTTTTCAGCAGCCTTTTGAGGCTGTTCAGTATCCTTTTGAGGCTGTTCAGTATCCTTTTTAGGCCGTTTAGTATTCTTTTGAGGCTGTTGAGGGAACTTCAAAGCATATCTTAGGCATTGGCTACCCGAATTGAGCACCTGTTTACCACAGGTTTCACCCTGACACCTCAGATACTCCTGAGATATATCTTTGCAAATAGCGTCTTTGCCCTCCTGGTTTATATCGATATCGAGTCGTTTAACATCATATCCGGCCCATATCTCTTCATAGCATGTTTCGTTTAATTGTTTAAGTGCCTCTAGGCTAGAAGTGTTATTGGCTTCAGACAGCGGACTTGATGGGCACTCTAGATCCTCATTCGGATCAGCAGCTGGCATGGCCAAGGTCGATCCAGCTAGAAAGAGGCTGAGTATAGCGAGCTTTATAGAGAAAATCTTGTTGAAAATTGAAAAGAGGGAAAAGTAGCAGAATATATAAAGTAGTAGTTGACTTATACTGATAGTAGTAGTAAGTAATAGATTGCTGGACTATTAACACAGAGTAGGTTAAGGGAATAGTATACTTTTATACTCGTCTTGAATATTAATCTATCCATGATTCTCTCTCGCCTTATACCTAGTTCCGGCGGTATCTCCAGCTATAGAGCAGGCTTGAGGTATATTCTTAAATTATGCGCATTACGAATTTTCTTAGTCGCCGAGTCATAGTGCTACAGCTAACAGCTAGTAATTAATAGCCAGGAGTTGGTACCTTGCATAATAGCCAGGTGTCAGAAATAATGCGTAATACTTCCACTTTCCGACGTTTGTTGCAGAACAAGTTGAAATATACCAAGAGCGTTACAAGAGCGTCTTTCTGGAGGTCTACAAGGGGAAGGCTTCCAAGAATTCATGCAAGGACTAGCTCCCCTGTACATTTAGCCCACAGACTTCAGAATATTACACCTTAGGAAGTTTCCTTGGACAGGGTAAAGGAAAAGGTGGCCTTTTAATTTAATAATTTCTTGCTTTATACTACTCATATCCTATGCCCGTGCCACAGCTTACGGGCTGTAAGCAGGCATAATTCATGAATAGTGTAATGCCAAGCCAACCTGATACTATCTTTGTTTGGCAAGTAATAGGCTTGCGGGTCCGTACTATCAGTCACAGCAGGCAATTAAGCCAGCCAGTAAAACTAGGTACCCATAATTTAAGACGTAGGGCTATAGCCCAACTGTCTTTGAGCCAAATTGCTTAGAGGCCGAGTAAATCGCTAATAAGTAGGGCATAAAGGTGGGTGTGGAGATCTGCCAGATTCGTGTGAGCAATCAGCTGAGAAACTTTGTATGCATAAGAAATGCTCGAACCTGGAACAGAGCCTGCTGCCGCTAATTCCTAGTTACCGGAGACTGCCTGATCTTTCTTCGAGTCATAGGTGCCGGGAACTTAGTAATCGTTTGAAACGTCCTTCGCTGCTACAACGTCCACGTAGCCCTTTTGATTGCTGGCACCGGACGGACCCAAGACATACTTTTGCACAGCGCCATGGGATCATAAGGGCGACACGAGACCTAAGTTTCCCCTACAGTTCAAATAATTATGTAGGCTCCTGTCGTTGCCCTGTTGGTAGAATCCTGACTTGAATATTTCAGAGGGAGGTTGAGCGTCGCCGCGGGGAAAGTCTCCCTTCATGCTGCTACCTGCTTTGTTAAACTTGGCTGCGTCAGCGGCAGAGGTTGTGCGAGGATTCAATGGCGGTGCCTGACGTCCGAGGACATTCAGGCACCTGATGGCGGCTCTCCTCGCGCGATCGGCCTGCTCAACAACACTGTCAAAGACTGCCTTGCCAATGAGCGCCGGGTCGGCTTGAGACGTAGCAGACTTCAGGATATCGGTAAATCCGTCAGGAGTCTGGCTTATGTCTGAGGCGCACAGATGGCACGCGCTGTAAGCAGAGCAAGCAGTTGGTAAGGCTTCATAGTTGGGTAAAGAGGTTGAGCCGAAGCCAAACTGAATTAAAGGTTCTTCTTTTCAAGTTGGTCTGTATTTTTTGTTTTCTTTTTTCCAAAGGGACAATGTCACAAAAGCAACACGCTGTAATTAAACAGCAGCTGTACCCCCCTACATTTCCCGTGGACACACGACGTGCAAAGGGCCGAGCAATAAAGTAGCTACTCGATCAACGAAACGATACTTCATATTTATAAGGGTTACTATTGCCGCTTTTAAACGCTCCCCTTTCTAATTTCTCTATTTTCCAACCAATACCGCGTGAATAGCGGCTTGATAAACTGCAGATATATCCTTCTAACGGGCATACAATGAAGCAAAACAAGCAGTCCCAATGTGTTGGCCCAGACGCCAGCTGCATAAGCAGAAAATGGTAGCTGGGAAAAAACCCATAGTTGCCGCCCAGTCCATGGTTCCTTTTACTCCTTTTCCCTAATTATTAGCAGACGACCTTCTTGCAGCCGTTTGGTCCCTCGCCGTTCCTTCCATGATATTCTCATCAAGGGATAAGGTCTGCAGAGATTGTATCCGAATCTTGCCCCTCCTAGCCCCCGACTCGTCTTCATTATCCTTTAGAGTATCCTGTAGATGAGCCGGTATCAAATTCGACTGAGACAAGTCAACCAAGTCGTTTTCACAGCCCTCGTCAACAATCCGTGAAATGCTACTGCGCCTGTAAAGATTTCTCGATGTGAAAGAGGAAGATGCATAAGAATCCGACTTGAATGTCTGAGGGTACATGCGCATGAGTATGAGGCGCAAGGCAGGCAGACAAGTGCAAATAAACCCGACCGACACCTCAATCGTGGACCAAAAGACGACACTCCATTGATCCCAAGTTGGGTTGTACGAGTTGGCAAAATGGACCAGAGACTTGAGCCGGAGCATGGACACAATGGTAATTCTTGTCACGCAGTTAGTCAACCATGTCTTCAAGATCCGAGGCCCAACAAGGCAAGCACTTACATTGCGCCGGTCAAGAACATGATAGCCGCGGCGACCTTCTTTTTCCAATGCAGCGTGAGCCTCTTGAGCTGTGTCAGCGGCAGGGCAAAGAGCCAAATATCCGCCACGACGCCAATCACGCCATTCACCCATCCCGACGCATTGATATCGACGCAATGGCCTGTAGTTGAAGCATCGCCGTTGAACTTTTCCCAGTTGTACGCGACCGGCGTGCATTGCAGCACGGTTTTCAGGATAAAGGCCAGTCCGCAAGCGACGTGGAATGCCACAGTCACCCACAGCAAGCGCCGAATGACAGTCCCCGGGAATATGCTGAGGTAGAACAGAGACAGCGCCACCTTGATCAGCATCATCAATGTCAGGTACAGAATCTCCATGACGTAAAAGTAGCGGCCGAACGCGATCAACGTGGGTATATCCAGCGTCCAGATGTCTCTCCCCAGCCCCGTCGGAGTCAGAAAAAAGACCTGGATAACGATGCTGGGGACTCCTAGAATGAGGCCCGCCACGATTGTCCAGTCGTCCAGGCCGAGTCTTTTGCTGGTGCTGAGGTACTTTTTGAAAAAGAGTCGCATGACGACTAGTCCGAGGGCCACGCTTCCCAGCAGAAAGTTGACGACTCGAAACTCGAGGCCCTTGTCTCTGGTGGGTTCGTTGCACAGCGTTGACGTCAAGTTTCTCGAGACTACGTACAAGATGCCGTTAGTTGCAGTCTGCAAGCAGCGTTGGCTCGTGAACGGCACACACGGGGTTCGGCGAGCACTTACAGAGCGCATCCGACAATCCACATGATTGAAACATGCATGTCCCCATGGCAGAAGTATATCCTCCGTGCTGGCATATGCAGGTTACGTTGGCGACGTCGCATCTTGCGGCAATGCATGACGACTGTTCCGTGGTTGGATGTTAGCCACAATCCCGTCCCTTGATCTCGCCTACCCGCAGAAAACACGTCGTGCAAGTTTGACAAGTCTGGTTGTATAGAAATATTACCGGGGACGCGACTCACAGCGCAAGCCGGCAGCTGCGTGATATTGACAGCAGAAGCCGCGAGGTGCACAATCCAACCAAACTCCATACCGGTCGAAGCCCATACTCTCAGGGTACGGACCGGGAGTTATACAGTCGAAATTGATGCAGTGTTTGTCGGCATGGCAGTCGCCTAAATGCTCTTCATCATCGCCGAATATTTGACTGTCGTCCTCAATCGCGTCACGAGCTGTGATGCCGTCGTCGAGTGAATGGTCGCGACTCACGAGAGCCGTCGGGACACGCGACCTTTTGAACGTTGGGATACTTTTATGGATCGTAACATATACGTGAACGTCTGATGGGTGGTAGGTGGCATTGGTTTTCAAGACAAAAATATATGGCGTAGGTCTCAGTCTTGTTTCTCGCCAGATGATACTTCATGTCCATCCACTTGCTTGCACCGCACAAGCAGCGACTATTTCCTCCCTTCAAATGTCAAGTACGGACGGCAACGCCGGCTAAAATTGGCGATGGTAACTTGCGGTTTAGTGCTGTCACGGTATCACGGCCGACATCCCCGGCAGCCCGTCGACCGCACGGCCCTCTAGACTTTGGCATCCTGGCAGCAAGTCCCTGGGTCATCTCCGCCACTAGGGTCTTTGCTGTCTTGTTTATTCTCGTTTAGTAGAGGTTGACTGGCAGTCCGTCGGTCGCTAATCTAATATGGGATGAACTAGCACCGGCCATGTCTTTGACTAGTTACATGGTGCCCCCTTGGAGCCAAGAACTTTGTCCCTTTAATACAAGCCCACTCGCATCCGGATATACAGTATAACCCCTGTTTGATTAACCACCCGTGACCTCACAGGGGGGTATACAACCAATAGAGAGTTAAAAGGTGGGGTGAATTAGTACTTAATTTCTTAAGAAAAAGGTAAGAAAGCTGATATTTCTTATTATACCCCACTAAATTACTTAACAGCCACTTACTATACAGCAGCTAGATTACCAATACGCGAACAAGTCTAGGGTGGATACTTCTAGATAGCTTTTTAGTAATCTTATAACAACTAAAATTCCTAAAAGATAAACTAGTTATAGTTTATATTAATAAAATAATTAAGATAATTAATTTAAGTAATTAAATATTATATTAATAATAAATTATAAATTATAATTAAGTAATTAAAATTAAAAAGTTATAAATAAAACTTAAATTAATATAATAATTATTATTAAAAGCTAAAAAGCTAAAATTTATTTATAAAAAAAAATTATAATAATTATATAATTTATTATATAAAATTAATTAAGTAAATTAAAACTTAATTTTTTTAATTTTTATATTTATTAAAATAATTAAACCTTAAATACTTTAATTATTTATATACTTAATTTTATTAAGGTTTTTTTATTAATAGTTATTACTATAAGGTAGCTTATATAGCCGGCCTATTTTGCGACCTACACTGCAGCTTGCGGCTAGGTCGTAATAAGGAGGCTATAAACGAATCGAAGAAATCGCGACCTCGAGGATTTAAGAAAAACAACCGCAAAGCAGTAGTTCAGGTTCAGGTTCAGGTTCAGGTTCTATTCCTACTTAGTTTTAGCCGCTATTAAAAGCAGCTATACCTGGTAAGCAGGGTTTAGCTAATTACTAAAGCGCTTTAAATATTTATTTATTACGCTCTACTTTACTAATACTATCTGGTCCCTGGCCAGCTATTTCTAAACTTCCTACTTTTCCTCTTAACCTTTTTATATTAGCTTACTAGCTTCTATAAATCGTGGTTTTATATTAATATATAATATTTATATTTTTAGGTCTAGGTAAGGCAAAAATATACCTTATATATATATATTTTTACCTACTTTCCCTTAATACTTAGCTTAGTTTAGTTATAAGTTTATCTTAAATTACCTAAGAATCTAAGTTTATTTTATAAACTTAATAACCTTTATTATTACTTTACGCTTACTTAATAAAACCCTAAGATTTTATTATCCTAGAAATTAGCCTAGTTCTTAGTTTTAAAATATTATATATTTCTTATATTAAAGTAAAATATAAGCTATTATTTACCAGCCTTTTTTATAGTTATATCTAGGGTTTTTAATTTCTGGTACTTTTTATTTAAAGAGAAAGTTATTTATCTTAATTTTCTTTATTTAAAGTTAGATATAAATAGTGCTTTACCTTTTACTAAAGTTTTTATATAGCTATAATACTCTTAGTATTAGCTCTAGTATATATTAAAAGGTTATCCAGCCTTTGGTTTCTTGCTACTAGTATACTTATTACCTTTTATTAGTAACTATACCTATTTATTGCTTTAATATAGATCTTAGTAAGTATAGGACTTAAGGTTATTATACTTTTAGCCTTAATAGTCCTTTTATTCTTTATTTTATAGCTTTTTTAGCTGCTTTATTATTATATATTTTTATATAAGCAGGAATTTATCTAATCTTAATAGTTAAGCTTTACTTTTATAATTTTTATACTTAATATATTTTATTTTAGAGAAAATAAAACCCTGATTTACCTCTTAGCCTTATTATTAACCTAATAGCTGCTTAATTATCTATATATATTAGGACTTTATTTCTAATATTACCTTAGCTTTTATCTTCTTAGGCGATCTATAAAGCTAAAAAGATCCCTTAGAGCTTACCGGTATATACTATTAAAACAGCGTTATTACCTATATAAGCACTTTTAATTTGACTAGTAGTTATACACCTAGCTATAGCGCCTATATAATTGTTGATACTACTTTTATCCGTATATATATAGATAGCGCTTAGAAGTAATATATTTAGTATTAAATAACCCTTGTTAATATTCTTAATATATATTAAGGATATTAATTTTCTTAATATTAACTCTTTAATATAAGGTCTTTTAATATTAAGAAATATTAAAAATATTAAGAATATTAAAAACCATATTATATTAACTAAATTTAGTAATAATTAAGCGTAATATAAATTAGGGTTACCTTCTTAAAAAAGGTCTGGCTATATCTTAAACTTCCACGGCAAATTAAAGCTAGATATAGTAGTAAAAAGCAAATTATGCAGCTTAGGACCTTAAACTCCTGCTACTAGACCTATTAGGTAGTTTATAGAAATTAAGAATTTTAGGCTTAATAATTTATATTTTCTTAATATTCTTAATATCCTTAATATTTTCTTAATATTTTTAATACTTAATACTTAATATTTAATACTTAATATAAACTTCTTTAATATTAAACTTTTTTAATACAAGGTTATATTAAGTATTAAATATTAAATATATTAGTGGTTTCTAAGACAATAAATGCCGAGGAAGTGGACAAGTACTGTAAGTTTGAATAATATAATTATTTATTTTTATATTAAATTCTTAATATAATATTTCTTAAAATTATTAACAGAATATAAAGGAGCGTTATTGTTTCGTAATTTAAGTATATAAGCTTAATCCTATATTTTATAGTAAGGAGTAAATACTTGGCAAGAAATCTAACCTCAAAGCTGTAGCATATAAAGCGGCGAAGAATCTAATTGGTACAAGGTCAGGACAGGCTGCTCTTGTTAGATGCAGTAACTCAAAGGTCCGCCGACCGAAAACATTTCTAGAATTTCCTCCATATATCTAGTATTAATGTATTTATGTGGCAGAAATAGGCTTCCCTAAGGCTACGCTCAGTTCGCCTCTTGGCTCGACCTTTCGAAAAATATTGGCTTTCCTTGTTCATCTTATGTATCACTGCGGCCGGACCGCACCTGTAGCTATATAATGAGTTCCTCCGAAGGCTAGAAGTCACTCGAAAGTTGGTTTTGTCGCCTGGACTTGCGTGCCGTCAAAAGTGGGTGAGATTATAGTTCTTTTAACTTTGCGCCAAGGAGGCCACATGGTTTGGAGGCTTGGCAGCTGATCTTCAGCTCTGACAGGATTCAGCATCAAACAATCTTTGACGCCACAGCAGAAGGATAATTGGCAACAGCCTTTAATCCAGCCTGAGGGGCAAGGATTGATTCCGGATTAACTGGACGAATCAGTAGAGCGGTCAACTGGTGTTGTAGGATGGTAGCTGGTTGTTACATCGTGTCAAGTATAAAATATAACATATATTTTAATAAGCGTATCTAGGATATCGCTGCCCTTTTCCCGTCTATATAATGAACTTTTTTCCGACTCAACTCATTACCTTAGCTGCGGAGTACGTACAAAAAAATCTTTGTGTTGCGAGTAGCCGTGTTATAAGGAGGAGACGGGGGCCAGCTCCAGTGTAGTAGCCCGAGGATCGCTCCCGTCAGATTCTGATACGCACCCATTTAACAAGGCTGCCTCTCCTAATCGTGAAGGCTTGGGAACATTTGACTCGGACATGGATCTATGCAAAGGGTGTGTAGAGTTGTAGGCCGTAGGATATCCGTTGAGAGACGACTGCCTGGAGTAAGGGCTGCGAAGCAACGGACATTGCGGGAATAAAATGGCGAATATTATATTCCATTGCTCTTCTTCCGTTATTCCCGGGCTGGCTGGTATTTGAATCGTCCTTTCAAGTATTTCCTCGTCAATATCGTCATATAGCCCCAAGCCCATCACTCTTCGATCCCCCAATGCGCAGCCGGAATCTTGTATATGCTGGTCTCGATCCTTCATGTGGTCGAATTGTTTAAAGCAGCGCTTACAGTAGGGCCTTAACCAGTAATGCTCCTGTAAGTGATGTTTTAGCAGAGGTATACTGGTTAGAGCTACACTCTCACACCGAGGGTATTTCCTCGGTCCCCATTTGTAGAACGGGCAAGCTAGATGTTTATTGGCTGCCTCTAAAGCCTCCTGTGGCGGTGGCGTTCTCTCGATTGTCTTTGGCAGAGATGCAATCTGTACATCACAGCCCGGCTGAGAACTAATTCTGTCGTGTGATGTCGGGACGCTTGGTGCCCAGGCTGTATTGTGCCCTTCTAACGCTGCTGATAGACAGTGGAGGGCGTCCTGGCATTAGGAAGCCAGTGTACGAAAGTGTTGGGCATAATGGTTTAAAACGATGGCATCTTGCGTGGACTTGGTCGCGCCCTTTGCAAAAAGGGGCTGCAGACACAGGACGCACTTGCGCGACTGGCTGGGCTCCCACTTACACCATTATGTTAAGTAATATAGACTTAATGCCGAGTAGGTCCCTTTATGCATTTCCCACATATGTATTTAGAATTCTACTTTAAAAAAGAATTTCTTTAGCTCTTTAGAGTGGCAGGGAGATTCGTATACCTAGCAAGGTGACACGGGGTGATTGCTCTGCATATGCTTCTGCTAGGAGTTCCTGCCGTTAAACAGCGTTAGTGGATGCTCACAGTCTGGGAGAGGGCAAAAGTAAATCTCTTTACAGCCGTCACTGCCGGACGAGGACCAGGGGTTGTCGAACCTGCACTTTATTAGACCGAGAGCAGAGAGTTGAGAGGACATTAATGTATAATACTGATACGTACCTTGGCCAGGCAGTGGCATTTGTAGTCTCAGAAGTTGATTCCACTTTCATTACAGGCCTGGCGTGTGGCCCTTTGGAATCCGACTTGGACCGTCGGACATGAATACTCTTGTGACTTTTGCGTATGGGTGATTGAAGGGCCAAGAGGTGTTTAAGGTAGGACGAAATAGCCACGGCCGCTCTGGTTTGGGATACCGGGTTGGCGGCATTGAAGTTTTAAATAACAATGAGTCTTACATAGGGAAATATGGCGCAAATAGAGGATTCTAATAGCTCGGCAGTATATTTTTTAGCGCCTGGATAGAGATGTTTGAAGACAAGGTCCCGGTAGAGATCAGACATGTCGTAAATTTGATCCATGATACAATTTATCATCTTCCAAGGGGTCGCCGATTGACGTCTTGTGTGGTGCTGTGACGCTTTTTGACTGGAATTGGCAACTTTGGAAAGTGACGAGCCCCCCCTGTTAGCTGTCGGATTTGCAACGAGGTCTCGCGAGTCGTCGTGAATATCTTGTAGATGGTCTTTGAGAATGGCAAGGACGTGGAAAAGAGGGCTGGGGTGTATCCGTGCTCTTGCGGCCACCGTGTCTAGGCTTAGGATTCTGAGACACTCCTTTCCGAGATGATGGTTACGTGCGCTGGAAATTTCTCTTTCGCGCCATCGGTGGAGATCTTTCCAGGCCCGCTGCGCATTTATCCGGTTTGGATTACTATAGTCGGTTCGGAGTGAATCTAGCAACTCCAATGACTTGGTCGACAAAGCGCTCAATGGCTGTTGCACGGCCTCTGATGTCGCTGCGAGCCCCTTGGTTAAACGCTCGGGCCCCATGTTCCTGAAAGAAAAAGAAGCTAACAGACTTGACGGGAGAAAAAAAAGAGAAGATGCCGCCGAACCTTGGACTAAGACCTACGTGCTGCATAAATATTTATTCAATCGTGATCTCATGCGACTACCAACTTAAAATGACTGTTCTTGGCCCTAAGGTTTTCGGGCGTTTAACTCATCTAAAGGATGACGCTGTCAAAAACAGTCTGTATGGAATCAATTGGTATTGTATCGACACTATTTGTGGGTCGTGGCAACAACCTTCCGAGTGCCAACACCACAAGTTCAAGTTCCAACTTCTCACATTTTTACCTTAAGTCAATCCGAGGAGCTGTCCACTTAACTCCCAAGCACCAGCTACTGTCTTAAGATGTGTTCTTGGCCCTCCCCTTCATCTACACCGAACTCTTTCTTGCCCACTGGGTTACGGACCAAGACCGAAATCCCTTCCAATTGTTGCGTAGGTGTCTCTGCAGCGTCGTCTTTCAGCGATTGCACGTTTCCTTTGATGTACTCTTGCTGGCTGATTTTAGGCACATAGTGGATTTCGTTGCATTTATACGCATAAACGAAGTTGGTTGCGCGTGCATTGGCGGTTGTCTGATGATTGTCAGCCCCGAAGGCGAGGTTAGCGCCCCCTCGGAATGGAACACCACTTTGGCCGCCATCACCACTTGCCGTGGCCCTTGCTGATATGGCAGTATCCTCCTGGGACTTGAGGCGCGCTTTGATGGCGACTCGCACACCGGTGACAATGTAAAGCCTTGGCCCAAGCCATCCTGTGAGCTCGCTGAACTTGGTGAGCTTTTCCTTGATGTAGGCTAGAACGTGCCTGTTGGTACATATGTGCTCGATGTAGTCCAGTCCAAAAATTGTCGTTTCCCCCCTCACTTCTTTGAATTCCCAGACGAGCTTTGATCGCATATCGTTCGACATGCCTGCCGAGAAGTTGATTGGAATGCCCACAGCCTCACCCTAATAATCAAAGCTAGTCCCGAGATTTTACTTATACTTAATGTTAAGTCCTTTGACCTTACTATAGGAGATCTTATAACTGCTTAGAACTGGAGGAGGGCCCTTGGGAATCAGAGCAGAGCCGCGTCTTTACGGTTCTCTAAGTATCTGTCCCAGTCGTAGGTGGCCGTCTGCAGTGTAGTCCATACAGCCAGTAAAGATCCAGGCCTTGACAGGTCTCGACATGTTCAATGGTTTCAAAACACCGTCTTTATCCAATTGGAATAGACTGAAAAAGCGTCGGTACGGTTGTAAGGCGCTGAGAGTATCCTGTAGAGAGAAGTAAATGCCAATGTGTATTCAATGGGGGAAAAAGGGATGCCAGGAACTAGAGAGTCGACAGGGCGTATTTATAATAAGCTGAATGGGTATCGGGCATATTCGGCCAAGGACCGCTGTTGCTGCTTTTGTTTTTGTTCTATGGTCTCCGTGGCCAAACCCGATAACCACTGTGACAAGAGACCATAACAGACAAGTCTTGAAAAACCCCGTCGACAAGAAATGGCTGAACCCGAAGCCAGGCGCAAATAAGCTCGAGATGGCGCTGTAGCTGAATTGATGTATCCAACTTTAACGCCCACGCTGCTGGGCAGCATCCCTCAAACCAAAAAAACAAATATGTCAAGAGCCGAATGTCCACCTGCCATCTCTTCCTTCAGCCCACTAACCACTTGTTCAAGTTTGCTTTCACTACAATGGCCTCCGTTGATGCACAGCAGTGGTTTGACAAGGTCTTGCCCAGGCTCGCAGAAGAAGTCAGGAAGGTGTCGATATCCGCTACGAATGAACGGAATTTCCAAATAAGAGATATTTCTCACCAGATCAGCATGAGCTTGGACATGCTTTACCTAAGCCTCCGTGTTAAAAAAGAAAATACGACTGGTAATTTTCAACTTTCAGATAAATCATGCGTTGCAGGCTTTTTCCACGAGCTCGACTCCATCATCTCGCCTGCTGTCTTGGACCGCTTAGCGGCACGCAATGTAAATTCGGTATGTGTGAATTCATCACCGTTTAAAATTAATATCCAGCTGGGGGACCTTTGATTATGCGACTAATTACGATTCGCAGTAAATATTCGCCGAATCTCTCTAGAACTTTGCGCAGGTTACGCAGCTTTATAACTATGTTAATCAGTCAGTTAACTGGGACGACGCTTCAGGACTGCTAGTTACTGGTTCTCTCCTGGATACTTACCAGAAAATCACTGGGTATATTAAGATACTTATTACACGTGTTGGACGAAGCGAGTGTATTTTATTATTAGAGGAAATAGGGAATTGTCTTGATTGTCTGCACTGGGCGCTACGTTTCATTTCGTTGAACTGCGGGTGCGAGACTGCCTATAACGAGTTAAGACTAGCTTACTGTAACTCCGTAAGGCTTCTCTTGGAGGGAGCCTGGTGCTATTCGAAAGAGTTGACGTGATATGCTGCGAAGCCTTCGACTATTCTACTCTGTCGAGACAAATCTTTCCATGAGTGTCCAGTTCACGTTAAAGAGTTGGTTTACCCCTTTCTAGTCTGTAGATGATGGACCTCGCTAACAGGCGCCAGTGGCAATGGCTAGCCTTATGTAAAGGCATGTCGACTCCCAAGGGACCCTTGCCTTCTGCTTCAACTATTTGTTGATTAGTCACAGAGGCTCTGCTTACACACTTAGCTTTTTAATGAAAGACTAAGCTGCCGTTGGACAGAAAGCGAAGAAATCACTCTGGATTGATTTGTGCCACATAATACGATAGACTATACAGAGAAGATGATTCTCTGTCTAGTTTTAGCATATTCTTTCCCGAGCCTCTTAGAGACTGGGTGGCTCCCTAGCTATTGGGTATTATCAAATATATCCATTTTTCGACTGGAGAAATCTAAGGAGATTGTTTTGCGCAAACCGTACTTGTCGATAGAATTTGAAAATGACTCTAGTCCTGAACCGTCACAGGCTATCCATGGATTCCCGCAACTTCTTTGGCTGGCAATTGTCGTAATGCGGCTCTTACTAGCGAATAATATTGGAGACTTAAGCTCTTGGGCAAGACTCGAGGTTGGAAGTTCGGTCAATAACGCCCTTAAGTAAGCCGAAAAGCTGCTTCAAGAATGCAAGCGGCATTTCTCTTTCAAGCCATTACTATTTGGAATAAGCAAGTGTCTTGATCTGAAGTCCAAGCCTCCTTATCCTTTGGACTTTATTTACCTGTATCTGGTCTGGCCTTTGGAACGGTCTGTTTTGGACACCTTGCCGGCGACTTCAGTGGACGTTACATGGACAGATCTAGTTAGGTTCTTGGGAAGCAACGATAAAAAGAATGCGGCTCTGGCGAATGAAACCGAAATTACACTGCCGAATCCAATATTTCCAAGAGGCAACCCTGACAACCATTATATAACTTCAACGACTACAAGTGCAGATGCCAATGGGGAACTCGCCTACGCTGTGGGAAAAGTCGAAGCCGTAACCCAATTAGACCAAGACGCTCGGGATGAGTAAGATTATTGACCCGTGGTCAGGACAAAATAGCCGTTGAAAAATCTAACTATCGAATAGGATTAATCGGTGGTGGGATAAGGTTGGGGAAATGCGCAATAGCCTCCGAGAAGCTTTCCCTTGTAATACGCCTTTAATGTCAAAGCAATGGAATAATCTGGTAAAAATAGCAATACTAGACACCGGCTGCAACCTTAATCATGAAATGATAAGACATTATGTTAAAATTTCGTAAACAGGATATCCTGGTATAATTGAATATAAGGACTTTATTTACCTAAGGTAAGCTAGGATAAAGGATAGCTTTACGGACTTGTATAGAACGTTTATAGTATACCTTTACCTTAAGGTAATACTAATAGTAAAGCTATATATTGTAAGGGTTTTTGAGCAAAATAAGGGCAAAGATATAAATTATTATTCTTATATTATATCAGTAAGTAAGGACTTTGTTAAATAGTGATAAAAGCCTAATACTAGTAAGGCTATTAAACATACTATTAAAAAGTGGAAAGTTGATATTATTTCCATGTCTTTTAACTTAATTAACCCGCCGCCAGAAGTCAAAGAGGCTATTAATATCACTAAAGAGCAAGAAGTGCTGTTCTTTGCTGCCGCTTGTAATAACCTTCACTCTACTGAAATTTTAGTTAGGTTTCCTGTAATACTACGAGATAGTGTAATCTGCGTGAACTCTCACGACGCTAGGTTCAATAAGTCGGCATTTTCTCCTGACGCGCGAAATCGAGGGTTTAACTTGTGTACGTTGGGTGAAGGCTTGGTAGGGCCAAGCAGAGACCCAGTACGGGAACGAATCATGAAAGGCACGTCTTGTGCAACTCTAATAGCGGCCGCTTTTGCTGCCATGGTATTGGACTTTTCATGGCAACTCGGACCTGATGGTCCTTGGGAAGATTTAGGGGCCCCAATGTCGGCTGCCTGGGACAAAAACCGTACACACAAGCTGAAAAACTGTAAAGTGATGAGGAAAATCTTCTTCCATACTATGACAGAATATTCATCTCGGCGAAGAGGCAAGTATAACGGTCTTAAGCCATGGCTTTTACTTTCCACTGCGGAAATCAAGGCTTCTACCCCCTTGAAGGAAGCTAAAGTTAAGCTAGAAGATATAGCAAAGAAGTTGTGTGAGTGGGTAGGAAAAAAGCATGAAATATCTAGAATATAACGTACAAGGATATCGGGTTAAGTTCTAGTAAGTGCTAGGTGCTTATAAAATAAATTTTATATTAATTAATAGCCTTTTATATAATAAGAGATTATTTTACTATACTACGTGAAACTATTTAATATTACCTTTATTACTCCTCACAAATCCACTATCCTCGACTTGTAAGTAGCGCAAGTAGTTATACGTGCGAGTAGTTATGCCTTCGACTCCTGTAAATTTGTCAGGAGGTAGGTAGGGCTTGTAACCTTGCTTTGGGTTATACAGACTAACCGAGTTTGTATACTTTTACCTTTATAGCTTTAGTCTTATAATAGCTAAGGTTCCTAAAAAATAATCTAGTTATAATTTATATTAGTAAAATAATTAAGATAATTAATTTAAGTAATTAAATATTATATTAATAATAAATTATAAATTATAATTAAGTAATTAAAATTAAGAAATTATAAATA